GTATTATACTCAATTTATTAAAATAAAGGTCAAAATAAATGGATATTATATAATAAAATAACAATTAACTAACAACTTCTCTACTATTTTATAGATTTATTGAATTTTATTATTAAACTGCTTTAAATAGCAATTCAGATAGCAATAATTAAATATAATAGTTATCCAAAATTACAATACAAATAAATAGTGTGCCGTAGCATTAATAGCAGATTTGATATACGACCGATCGGCACTATCCTATAAATATTTCGCTATCCCGGAATTTCTTAGCTTCCTCTTTTATGAGAGGGGGTTGACAAAAGGTCCCACTTTTCACTCAACCGCCAAGTAAATCATCTTGTTCGGCACCATCAAGGAATTGTATAGAATCGACTGAAGAAGCAAGCACAGAACAGATGACAACTGGCACCGGGACTTGTGACAGGATCTAAGTCGGCGCTTCAAAGTTCCCGCTCAGAAACTCGGTGAAGGTCAGATCTAGTCCAGAAGTCTCTTGAAATCCGCCTCACAGATTCAATTGAAAGTGGTTGTCCGTTGGCCTCTTGAGTTCATGATGGACGCAAAGACCACAAGCGAGAAATTGCATGATTGGGATTTCCACTTGCGTCAAGCAGACGGTTTTACATGTTTTACTTCCATCTTTCCCCTCCTCAAGATTCATCCGCTGATTTTCTCCAGCCGAACTATCGAGGTGTCACGGTAGCGATGAATTGGCCAGTGGTTATTCGGCTTCAGGCACCTCGTTTTGAAACATTCCAGATGCTACTCTCAACACCAAGGAGTGTGCTTCAGGAGTGTCGCAAGACAGGGGTTTGCCCGTCTAAGCAACACCAATATGCGATTACCCATTGATGATCGAGCCGCCTTGACGACAGCCATGGTTCGTCTCAACCGTCTTCTCGGTGTTCGTGAGCTGTGCTTCGTTCTCATCTCTGACATCAGATCGCTACTACGATCCTGATCTGCCAATGAAAGTACATGGGTTAGGTTCTCAAACACACATCTGTGCTCTACTTCACCATGCCCCGACACTATCGTCGGAGGAGCCATGAGGAGGTTGGTCCGGTTCCAGTGCGTTGCGGAAAAACGAAGCCTGCTTGGGCGAATTCCCATTTCTGTCGTCCCTTGAGCCATCGAGCGATGGTCTTCCCTACGACATCGCAAGTTTTGTTCGCCAAAGTGACCATTTTTCTCATCACTTGCAGAGGGTTCATGATTATACCGACATAGACAGGCCCTCAAGGCCCAATCAGTCCCTTTGTTCACCCGGCGTGCCATTTTTTCTATCATATCGATATTAATCATCTTTCTATTTTCTGCGACTGGATTCGCCAAAAAGGGAGGTACAGAGATCAAGATTCAGCATGTCATCACCCAACCTTCCCTCGGGAGCAAGGTCGTTTATTTTCACGACTACCAGAGGCAAGCGATGTACAGCGATACTCAAAGTTGTCCAATCCAGCAACGTTCGAACGACTACGGGCCGCAATCCTCGGTTGCCGGTGACAACCACGACGTCGACGACAGCTATTGAAGCGACAACGACTACGATAGAAGAGACAAGTAGGGAGGAAAATCCGGTACCAATCAACACCAGTGCGAGCCCGCCTCCGCCACTGGAGGACGATTTATTGCCGGGTTTAACGAGTACGACGAGCACACCAGCCACAACATCCAGTATAGCCATTACGAGCACCTCTTCGCCCTTGCTCTTGACATCAAGACCTGTAACAGAAGAGAGTCCTGCTAGCCAAGAGACTGAGACTTCACTGGGAGCAAGCATTGTGAAAGTAACAGCCTCAGAAATATCCCCGGATGATGTGGTAACAACGCCTTTGGCTAGCACGGTTGCCAACCTCCAGCCATCATCGGACAACAATGCAGCACAGACCACGGAAACCCCGAGTATTATTCCGACTATAAGCTCGATTCTGAGCACCAACAACAACAGCGAAGCCGCGAAGGTGGCTGGAGGCGTGCTCAGTGGTCTTGTGGTTCTCAGTCTCGTTGGACTCTTTTTCTGGCTTTGGAGGCGACGGAGACTGCAGAAGAGAAGGAGAACCCTTTTGACTCCTCTGGGCACTGGTCCGGGGACAAACCCAGACAGGAATGAAAAGATGCCTTACATCATTAGTCGACGTAGCATTGGGCCTACGGCGATGTTTGCAAAGGCAAAGACCGCTCTAGGTCACAATGTGAAGAGGATCCGAGAGCGTATCAGTCAGACCTTTTCAGAAGGAAGCATCCGGATATTATCACCTTCCAACCGACCCCAGTCTCAGGGACTGCTCAGCAGGCACGGTCGAAACCCCTCACTGGTGCCTACCAACGAGGTGAAAGGGAAGGGGTCGGTGAAGGCGAGCATCTTGAGCTGGTGGTCTCGAATAACATCCCATATGTACACCAGCAAACGGCACAATGACGAGGTTGTTCGAGACAGATATCCCGGTACAGGAAATACCAGCGAAAGGAAGGCCAGGCTCCAGTACCAACCCGACTTCCTCACATTGATACGGATGGACAACGATGATCTTGGCCATGAAGCCCAAGGACAGCAGCGTCGGGACAGTGACAAAGTCCCAAAGGCACAGCCATTGCACCTTGGTAACGAGCGCGACACCCCCTTCAGAGACCCCAACACGCTCCGCCGCAAATCAGCCATACCAGCGCCCCTAGCCGCCGGTACCGGTTATTCCGACGGCAACAACCCTTTCAGTGACCGTGTTCCTAGACCTCCGCCAACCACAACCACATACAACCGCATTGAGGACCGCCGCCACCGCCGCCGCAGGCAATCACGGGGTCTCTCCATCAGTACCAATGCCAACACCACGAGCATGACAGCAAACCCAAGTCGACAGCCCAGCACCCACACAACCTACCGCGAGAGCATCGACTCCTCCTTCACCACCCACCGGAATAAATTCCGCTCCGATTCTTTTGACCTTGAGCGGCCTGAGCTCTTGGGCCACGGTGTTCCGCAGGTTATTATGGGAAGTCAAGGGACGGCAACGACAGGAGGGCCTAGACATCCACCCAGCGCTCATACCCGCCAGGAGAGCTTGGGTGGTGGTGGTGGTTCGTCGAGGTACTCGTCGTACTTGAGCGGTGGTGTCGTTAGTTTGGATGATGATGATGATGAGTGGAGAGATCCGGGGCCGGATGTAGGTGTTGGTCTTACTTCTTCTGCTGCTGGGAATGGGGGTTATGGGAGGGTGAGGGGTGGGAGTGTTAGTGTTAGTGTTAGTGTTGGACGGGGTGGTGGAAGGAAAATGAGCGTGGGACGAGCGATGTAAGATTGTAAGGAAACTGGTGGTCAGCGTTGTAGACCACCGTCTCAAGGTTCTGCTACAATGTTCACTTCATCCTTCTGTCTCCCAAGCCTTTTTGTGTACTCTACCACTCACATAAAAGTACCATTATTGCTCCACCGATGTGTTTTTTTAGTCATCCATGTAAGCATAAAAGGCGTTGCAGCAAAAGAAGAAAAGAAGAAAAACAAATGGAAATGAAAAGGATTTTATCGTATGCTGCGGAATGGAGATCTTGTAAACGGCTATATAAATACTAAATCTGAACCTAATTCCCAACAGCCTACTACAACAGCTGATTAACAGTTGTACATCTTCCGTAGTATAGTGGTCAGTATGTGAGCTTGTCAAGCTTGAACATCAGTTCGATTCGCTCGAGACCCGGGTTCAATTCCCGGCGGGAGAGACCTTTAATTTTTGTTATTTTTGTCCATTGCCTGCCTACCTGCTACGTAATTTTACGTTAGTTTTCGAATTTTTTTTAAAAAGAAAATCTTTTCTTGTTCGTTGGAAGTGTATATTATATATATATACTCTTGTCCTCTTTTTCGTCTTCCTCTTTTCTTCCTCTCTTCCATTTTCTCCTCAGCATTCCATACGGTCCACAAGATGGCCATTGTTGGATGGCTTGCATCTTTCGGTCCTGGATGTAATAAACCCATTCATCTTAACCACCGTTTTTGTGAACGTGGCCAGGATCGTCAAATTCAAGTCACTTAGTCATGTTGTATTTCTACGTGCAGAACGTATCCATTCACGAGATGTCTTTAATCATGATAAGGTTCCCGTTGTTTTTTCTTCATTCAATGCACAACAGTTGCTAACTATGATCATTGCAGCATAACATCGTGATAGTGGCTTCGTAACCGCCACTATACCTTACTCTATCACCTCCGGATATGATATGAACGCATTTCATGCCATTGCCATTCATTGTTCATCCTCATTTCTAGAGTTGTTCTTCGCCGAGATTTCAGCCGTGAGCTTCAACGCTCGTGGCGCATCATCCTTCGGCATCCACAACTCTACAAACTGCAGGCCCTTATACTCGTTGAAGTCCTTGTCCTTGAGGAGCTCCTCCAGTTCGTCCTTTGTCTTGATAACGAACTTCTGGCCGTGGCCTTCCTTAGCGCCAAAGACCGCGGGGATGTCGGTGTAGTTCCAGCGGATAATGTCGTTGTAATCCGCATCCATGCCGTGGATATATCGTTCGATGGTGAAGCCTTCGTTGTAGATGAGGAAGCTGGAGTAACAAGTTAGTCGGAGTTTGTAGGACCCAAGGGTAACAGGGTCCCCGGGAAAGACTAAGGACACTCACATAGTAACCCTCAGGTTATGCTTCATCATAGTACTGACTTCCTGGCAAGTCAACTGGAAACTGCCATCACCCACAAACAAGATTGTCCGCCTATCTTGTTCCAGATCCTTCACTGCCAGTGCCGCACCCTGCGTAGCTCCTACCGACCAGCCAATGCTTCCCCAAAGTACCTGCGTCACGCCCATGACGCCCTTGGGGAATTTGCTTTCCCAGATGCCAAAGTTGGCTGTGCCTGTCTCGGTGACAACGACATCACCTTCTTGTAAGAACTCACCCACTCTGGGCCAGAACCACGCTTGGGTAATAGTCTGCGAGTCGTCCTTGTTCTCGGCCACAGCATTCTCGACCTGAGGAGAAGGTGTTATCGAGAGCTTGGAGGTGTCGATACGCTCAGTGACCTTCCGGAGCACACCACGCATTGCGACACCGGGGTATTCGGAGTAGCGCACAGTGCAATGGTCGCTATGCAGATCGATGGTGTTCAATTGCGAAGTGTGATACGAAAAGCCAGCAGTGTTGAAATCGCTCTTGATCGCGCCAATGGACAAAACCAGGTCAGAACCCTCAACGCGCTTAGCGACTTCGGGAAGAGACCCGGTGCCAGCATAGACGCCGCCGTAGTGCTCGCACGTCTCGTCAAAGGCGCCCTTGCCCATGGGGGTAACAAACACTGGAATCTTTGTCTTTTCAATGAACTTGTTGACTTCTTCAGTGACCCTGTGACGGATTGCGCATGCGTCGACCAGAACCACCGGGTTCTTGGCTCCATGGAGGTACTTGAGGACCACATCGACGACATAATCCTCTCTGTCGGGGTCATTCTCCGGCTCGGAGAGATCGATCTCTGTGTCCAATCTCGCACCCTCAATCTTCTTTTCAACCATATCGGTAGGTAGCCAGATGTACACGGGCCGGCTGCGGATCCAGCACTCCCGGATCGCATGGTCAATTTGCTGGGCGATCTCACCAGGTTTCACCAGCTTGGCAACGTCGCAGGAGATATGCTCGCTCATGTTGGCAAAGACATTGAAGTCGCCGTTGCCGAGGGTATGGTGTAGGAGCATGCCGTTGCGCTGGGAGATGGTCGAAGGGCAGCCAACGATGTGGACAATTGGGACGTGCTCAGAGTAGGCACCAGCGACACCGTTGATGGCGGATAGTTCACCAACACCGAAGGTGGTGACGATGGCAGAGATACCCTTGGCGCGGGCGTAGCCGTCGGCGGCGTAGGCTATAGGTATCTAATATCAGTAATGGTACATATGGGACCAAACTGAGAGACAACTCACCTGCATTGAGTTCGTTTACGCTGCCAACCCATTTCAAACCGGCCTTGGGAACATAGTCGAGAGCAACCAGGTTGAAGTCTCCTGGCAGGCCGTGAACTGAGCGGATGCCGATTTGGTGCAATCTTCTAAAGAGATACTCGGCCACTGTCACAGGCTTCTGCAGACTTTGTGTCCGGATGTCCGACATTGTTGTTATTGTTGTTGTTGTTGTGATTAAGTGAAAGGTCTTCGTGTATCCGTGTCGTGCAGTAGGTTGTCGGGTCTGGGCCTGCTGGTCTGCAACTTATTGTTTGGATATATCGTGAGTCTTGTACCGGGTAGGATGGTGCGTATAGGTAGGAGTAGGTGTTAGAGCAGCAATGTATGAAGGCTAGCGAGGAGAGACGTGTATGTGAGACTGAGGGAGTCGAAAGAGATTGCTGGAGCTATTTGTTTATGAGGGGGAGCTTTCTTTAGGTAAGTATGACAAGATGCAATGTCGATCGAGGGGCCGGAAGGGCCCGGATACCACAGGGAGAGCCATTGTTCGTCGTTTCCACCACAGGGCTGTCGAGGTGAGTGTCAGTGATAGTTTCCTGTGATGTCATTGACTCCGTTGAAGCGTTGAAGTTGGTGGTGGGGTGAAAGTATAAGCAGGTACATACCGCTAGGTGGAGCTGCAGGTACGAGCAAGTAGTCTGAAAGGTACCTCTAGGTACAGTACCTGCAGCTCACCACCTACCAACGGGCAATTCTCGATCATTTTCGACCCCTCATCCGTTTTACGATGTTAGCTCACCGGAGCCATCCAGAGCTTCAACTTCGTGGTGTAGTGTACAAGTGGCCCGGGCTGGATGTCCTTGCAATATTTATTCATCCCATAACGTCCTAGGTGTCGCTTCGTTGTACTGGAAGCACCTTGTTGACCTCCGTTTTATGTCACTCTTTCAATTTGCTGTACTGATCTGGTAACCAAAGATGAGAGTAGAGTCTTACCATTGCGATATGTAAGAGAAGGGATATAGACTGGATATACTTATGCCAAAACGATACAACGCCAATGCTCCTTGCCATGCTGCCTATGCAAAACTCCAATCACCAACACCACCTAACACCCAAATATGTGTGTACATCTCTTTTTCACCGAGACTCAGACTTCTCGGGTCCCTATGGACGCTGTGGCAGATTAGTCACAGCTTCCATCCTTCCACCCAGTCCTCCACCTCTCCTGCCACTTGGAGCAGTCAAATGTTGGCTTGCCCAACTTCCTGTTGACTTCGTTATGCGCCTCACACAGCCAATTGCCGAACTCGCCCCTGCTACCCGTTTTCGGTTCTTCTTTCTTGATATACTGTTGGAAGTCTTCGGCGCATACCCAGCAAGGGTACAGCTTTGCGAACAAGCCCATGAATAACTTCAGATCGTTTTGTTCGGTTGGTGTCGGAGCGGGAGGGTACGTCGCGGCGATCGAGTGGAGAAGAGTCCAAGTGCTCCGCCCGAGTTGTTCGACGTCGGCCGGGCAGTCTGTTCTTCTCTGAGGTAGCGTAGTGGCTGACGAGGAAGCTGCCGAAGCCATGGTCGAAGCTGCGGTTGAGGAGGCATCGGGGTTGGTCTTTAGGGTGGCCTTGGCCTGGGATGCCCAGGCACCGAAGGAGGTGCAGGAACGGCAACTAGAGACGATCTTTAGCAACATGATGTTGGACTGTGGAGTGAATTCATCAGAAGTTGGAAGGGAACCTACGGTTTTCCGTCTTTGCCTAGAACGACACCCTTGGGGAACTTCTTGGGTGGCTCTGCCGCGGTACCATCTACAGGAGCTGTCGCTGTTGCGCCGATTTGCGTCGGACCATTGTCTGTGGCATTCGTTGCCATTGCTGAGTATCCACGGGTAGCGGATGAAACGTGGTGTGATGGTTTAACGCTTGCAAAAGAGAAAGATCTTCTCTCCAAGACACTCGGGTATGGTTTCGTTTGTTGCGCCTCGAGGATTAGAAATCAGCCGAGTCGCGATTCTCGATCCAACGGCAACTTGATCCTTGTCCTCCACTTATCGATAAAGCACTGCCGTCCATGCCGGCACGTTCGGCCGGCAATAGTGGGGCGGCTCTTGCCGGTTGCGGGCCCCACCCCGTGACTACACATACGTAGAGGTACCGGAAGACCAGACGAAAGCTTCCCCTTTGCCATTGCTTTGTGTCACACCGCGGGAAGCAAAAAAGTCAACATGTCGCAGAAGACGCCCGTTTTCTTGCTCAAGACAAAATCAACTCCTGGGGATTCGTACCAGGAGCAATTCTCCTCCGAGACGGATGGCTTCAATTTTGAGCCCTTCTTTGTCCCCGTCCTTGAACATCGATTCAAGGACGAGGGCCTAGCTACGGTACGCAACCTTCTCAAGACGAGAGCTATCGGAACCAGTCCCGACTGCGCCTATGGTGGTATGGTCTTCACCTCCCAACGCGCTGTTGAAGCTTTCACCCACCTTGTCCAGGAAGTAACAGGTAAGCCATGCTGCATCCTTTGGAGAGGCCAAACATCATAACAGCTGTGTAGGCGATGAAAGATGGCCCCATCTTCAGGACATCCCTGTGTACAGCGTCGGCCCTGCGACAACCCGCGCGTTGAAGGCAGTTCCCCAACAACCACCGCTCCAAGTCTTTGGTGAGCATACTGGCAACGGTGAAACATTGGCACCCTACATCATTGAACATTATGGCGAATGGTATAAGGACCGAGCCACCAAGCCGCCGCTGTTGTTCCTGGTTGGCGAACAAAGACGGGACATCATTCCCAAGAAGTTGATGGATCCTGCTTTGCCATCAGACAAGTTCATCCGCATCGACGAGGTTGTCGTCTATGGTACCGGTGTTATGGAGTCCTTCCAGCAAGATTTCACCAAGCTTCTCAAAGACACCGAAGACCGTCCGGTCAGATGGGTGGTGGTCTTCTCCCCAAGCGGCTGCGACGGCATGCTTAGTGCCCTGGGATGGCTGAACGAGAGCAGTGGCAGAGTGGAAGGGAAGGTCCAGAAGGAGGACCGTAAGACGTACATTGCTACCATCGGGCCGACAACTCGGCTTCATCTTGTCAACAACTTTGGCTATGAGCCTGATGTCTGCGCGGAGCAGCCCAGCCCGGAAGGGGTTTGGGAGGGCATTAATAGGTTTTGGAACGAATCGAAGAAATAAACCTCGGCTACCAAGCCATTATTTTCGAAGCCATCCATGTTGATTGCCTACCTATCCCAATGCCATGCCACACTGTTAGGTGGTGAAAAATATGTTGTGAAGATGGTAGCAAATGATCTCGTCGAAGTTGTCGAAACTTAGGTAATAGTAAGGTAATAGTAATTCTCTACTGTAGGGACAAAGGACGCTGTGGGCTACCTGCCCTGCGGGCCACACACAGCTCGCTGACAAACAGGAGGCACTAACAGACATTTATACGCAGAGGTATATGGACATGGAGCAAGCATTGCCCCGCGCAGATTTTCCCCACAGACAAAATGCTGTACGCTCAAATACGATCGTGATACCGTAAATAACAAAGTACGGGGTACCTGACATTGCTAGAGCACAACCCCCTGGCCCTTACACGGAAAGCAACGTCAACCCTTCTCGCACACGGAAGCTCCCATGCGTCGTCATTCACAACTAACACAAGCCATCGCCGAGGGGGTCGATATATATAAGAGCTTGGGACGCACGCTACGGCACTGCACACAAAAGTCGACAGATAAACCAACCTTTTAGGTAATCTCACAGCCCGCCGAGACTCATATTCATGCGGTAGATCTTGGACCTTCTGTCAAGCTTGGCTTTTGCCAGTTCATCCCTGCTGTCCATCATCAACCTATCTCCAATTCATGTACAACATCCCCGTCTTCTCTACCGCACCTACAAGTAATCGATAATCCGTAATCTTCAGCTGTCAAAGCTCCCTACGCTCTTCTTTCTCGGCCGTCTACCTATTTATACCATACCTTCGACATCAATCTTCGAATTCTTTGGACAAAGGAAACCCGAAACCATGAGCTACCAAGACTCTCACGACAGACACCCCCTTCCGACCCAAACCTTCCGGTCCGAATCGGGGTACTCCTCGCCGGCCCCGGGCTCCGGCGCCCAAACACCAACAGGGACGGGGGCCGGCAGCTCTCAGTCTCCAGGACTAGTCTCCAGCATTTGGGGAGGTCTGATTCGACGATTCTCCGCCGAAACACCGTCCCTCACCCACTCGCATTCATACCCAGCAGACAGTTCACACTCCAACTCCCACGCCTACAACAACAATAACGGCGTGGATGGAGTCTACGTTCCACCTCGATTTCACGAAGCCATCCAACGAACCGTATCACCAATGCAGCCGCCTCCACTGGAACCCGTGCAGCTCAGGGGGTTTGCACCGGACACCCCCCAGTCGGCCAGGATATTAACACAGGCGATCGCGGAGGAGATACGGATCATGGTGCCTACGAGGCTCGGCATCGTGGACGAGTGGAATCTGATCTACAGCCTGGACCAGGACGGGGCAAGTCTGGGAACGCTTTACGATAAGTGTGCAAAGTATTCCGGACGACGGGTGGGATTCGTGTTGGTTGTCAAAGATGCCGAGGGTGGTGTAAGTCATTACCTTTTTTTCTTCTTTCTTCTCTTTCCTTCCCTACCTTCACACTCCAATCCATTGCTGTCGAAACCACAACATAGAAGTGTCAAAGAAAGAAAGGCCAGAATGCTTACCCTAATATCACACATCACAGATCTTCGGCGCCTACCTCTCCGAACCCCCCATCCCGCCCCCAAATACTTCGGAACAGGCGAATGTTTCCTCTGGCGCGCCTCGGTCATGGCCTCCCTTCCGCATCCTCCCTCCGCCGACACCACCAACTACCGCGGCCGAACATCCACCATCTCCTCGGTCGGAACGAGCGTCGACACAACAGCCACGAACCACAACAACAGCAACAGCAGCGGTGACGACGATCATATTGCCTCATCAACTGTCTCCTCCTCGAGAGCGAACACATCATCAGCTGCTACATCACCGCATAACGGATCTGTCGAAGACCTGCTGCTAGCCTCGACAAGTATCGAGCAGACAACCCTCCGCTTCAAGGCGTTTCCCTATAGCGGTGTGAACGAGTACTACATCCTCTGCGAGTCGCACTTTTTGAGCGTGGGCGCTGGCGATGGCAAGTACGGGCTGTGGCTGGATGATGGGCTGGAGAAGGGTGTGAGCTCTACGAGCCAGACGTTTGGGAATGAGCAGCTGAGCGATCAGGGGGAGAAGTTTTCGGTGTTGGGGGTGGAGGTTTGGGTTATTGGGTCTGGGGGGTTATGATTGATTGGCTGCCTCTTTTAAGTCTTGCCTTGCCTTGCTGGAAACACAACTATCAATTCAATACTGGGAAGAGGCAGGCTGGGCTCTTGGGAACTGATGGGTTATGTGTCATTTCCGATAGGTCTTTGGGGCCTTTAAACACCAAACTGGGGAAGGATATGGAAATATTGTGGCGTATGGCGTTATCATGATGGGTTTTGGTTGTTGAAGAAGCAAAAGGAAAAGGAGACCGGATGGGAGAAATACCAGGTACAGGCCTCGCAATAGTGTCTTGATTTAGCCAGTCTTTGTATCATTATATACCCTTCACTCACTCGCATAACGACGATTAGCTTAATCCGTTTCTCCAGCTCGGAACGTGTAGCCGAAGCTGACAAGGCAACATACAGTTATCACCAGCTCAGGCGAGATGAGTATCTAGGTTGAAATTCATGACAGTACGGAACCGGATCAGGTTTAAGAAGCTATAAGAGCGTATCAACACCGTAAAGGAAACGAAATACTCAACTGTCCCCACGCGCTCGTCTAGCCCGTTTGTCCACATATCCCCCCTTCCTTCAACACGCACGCCATGAAGTGCTAGAAAAAGCATATCCCACTTCTTCCTGATATCTCTTCCTACGGCCCAGTAACAGCACCGAATAAGACAACATTGTTCCAATACTCTCCTGCAAAATCTTCTGCGAACATCTCGCTGTAGTATTTCTCCTGCTCAAAATCCTCTGCTGATCCTATCTACCCACAGCTTGTATGCAAGTAGACGTTCACCTCATGATCTCGTTGTAGATCAACTGCTTCAGCTGCTCCTTGCTCAGGTTATCCTTGTGCTTGTCGAAATCAAAGAACTCCTCGGGAATGGGAGGTGCGGTCGGCTCATCATCCGGGTCGTGGTAAGGCTCCAGGTACGGGTGCTTGAGCGCCTCTTCGACCGTGATGCGCTTAACAGGGTTGAAGGCAAGCAGCTTTTCTAGCAGGTCCAGGGCCAGTTCCGACGTGTTGGGGAACAGCGTGCGGAAGGGAACCTTCTTCTTGAAGGGCAGCGAGCGGATGTATTCCCGGGCGCGGCGCGACTTGATGCCGTAGTAATCCTCCATGGTCGGCGTGCCGAGAACGTCCAGGATGAGGGTCAGTTGGTGGTGATCTATGAGGAAGAATGCGTGTTAGTTTGCGCCATGATAGCAGCCGTAGGCTAGGTTGGAATGGGATGACAACATACAGTCCTTGCCAGGGAAGAGTGGCTTGCCGCTCAACATCTCGGCCAAAATGCAGCCAACGGACCAGACATCGATGGCCTTGGTGTACTCCTTGAAGGTCAACATGATCTCGGGGGCGCGGTACCAACGGGTGGCAACGTATTCGGTCATGAAGCCCGAGTTGTCCTCTTGCGACGCGGCCGAGCGGGCCAAGCCAAAGTCGCACACTTTCAGATCGCAGTTGGCGTTTAGCAAAAGGTTGGAGGGTTTCAAGTCGCGATGAAGAACATTGGCCGAGTGCATGGCCTTGAGGGCGCGCAACGTCTGATAAATGAAGTATTGGCAATGGTCGTCCGATAGCTCTTGGGTACGAATGACGCGGTGCATGTCAGTCTCCATAAGTTCCTGGTGAAAGCCATGTTAGTGAGGAACAAACGGCCCAAGGGCCTTGACAGTATGCTCTCATACCTGGATGAGATAGACCTCGTTGAAGGTGTCGTAGCTCCGTGGTTTTTGAATATCTAGAATAGAGATGATGTTTTCATGGTTGAAGTACCGAAGCAGCTTCATCTCGCGCAACGTCCGCAAGCAGAACATGGAGTGATCAAAGGGGGTGATCTTCTTGATGGCGACCTTTTGGCCCGAAGGCTTGTGTACTGCAGAGCTGTCCGTCGGGTCGCCTGTCAGTTTCCGTGTTTTTCTCCCGGTATGGGCGAAGACTAGTTGTGGTGATCAACTTACCAGACGACACCGTAGGCGCCTTCACCTACGACATCCTGAATATCATACTGCTCGCTGACGTTGAAGGAGATCTTGCGAGCTCCGCCTCTTTGTGCGCTGCTCATTTTGGCGTGTCCCTGAGGGGTTGTTTCCGGGAGACAAAGACTGTTTAAGGGACACTAAGTGTTTTGGTCGTATCGCCCGCTTGAGGGTTGAAAATGCTGGTGTTGTGTGTATGACAGCGGAGGCGTTGATCGCGAGTCAACGGGCGCTACTGAATGAGGGGATTCGTCTGTTGGAGTGGGGTTGTGCAAGAACCCAGTCGAGTCGCGCAATCGAGGGGCCGTCGACGACAATGGTTGCGATCGAAGAACAAGTACGGTAGGTATTGCTCAAGACCGAGTTGTTGTTGTTTTTAGAAAGAGTGTAGGTTGTGAAGGAAGTGACCGTCGCCAAGGGGATGTGTGATGGGAGTGGAAATGCGGGGGCCTGGACGTTGTGGTTGGTGCGGGTTGCGTTGTTGCGTTGTTGTAGCGAAAGGTGGTGGTGGCGGAGGGGTTGGGCGCGAATTTGGTCTTAGTACCCTATACCGAGACCTAGGCTGTCTTGAGAAAGGCTGCTGGCTATGATTAGCTGTTGACACACAACTCCAGGATGCAGGTGAGGGTATCCAATTAATGAGTGAGGGCTCTGCAGTGCAACAGAGCATGGAACCACTGGGCTTGCTCCTTCCACTCTTCCGCGAGCCTCGACTGCCAAGCGGCGCACCTCAGATCCGGGATGATGAAGTTGTGTGGATGTCAGTGTCCAGGGGCTGTCATAGAGAAAGCCAAGGTCTAGCTCCTTCAACACTGTGGATGTTGCGGGTATAGGAACCAGCCGAAAGCAAGATTGATATCGGATGGACGATCTGACGATCAGGTGGTGTGCAGTCGAACAACTTCCACTTGGGCTCTCTGTCCTGCAAGTGAACCACGAGAATGTGAAAGCGGGCCTGGCGGGACGAGTCTAGACGTTTGGCGACACTTACACGTTTCGAGCCTCTTTGCAGAGTCACCTTAAGAGGTACGTTTCGAGGGCAATATTGTGATTTGTTTGGCGGTTGGAATACTATCGAGATAACGAAGAACCGGCCGAGCAGAGAGACAAGGGAGACAAGAGAAATCTCTTTACGAAGGATGGGTTAAAGGGAAGTTATCGAGCTGATGGAGGAATAAACAGGAGAGAATGACAGGAGGTTTCGAGGCCCCAACCACTTGACGCTTCACACTTCACACAGCTTCTCTTCTCTGGAGCCATGTTGACGCCAGAACAAAGTGCGACAAGGAGCTCCCAGCGGAAGCTCAGCCCACGTTGTTTGTCATTGTTGGTGGGGCTCATTCAGAATCGTCAAACGCATCAAGGAGACCGGGACTCCGCCAGCGGGGTTCAGCTCGCTGACGGTCGGCTTGGCCAGGGGGACAACCATTAACTGGACAATGGAATCCTTCTTCCTTTCCCGTTCACATAAATAGGTACAGGACTGACGATGCTTGATTGAGGTGGTAGAGACTGCCCCTGGGCTACAACATCATATATCCCTCCTCATGCTTCAACTACAGTAACACGAAGAGCGGGATGATGATGTGCCATCGGTCTACGGTTTCACATACACGTATAAGAACATGGAAATGCTTCGCGGTATCGACACCTTGGCGGCTAATCATTAGCTATGCCAACACCGTCTGTCTACTAAGAGCCTGGCTCAACCTGGACGCCGGTACTTCTAGAGGTATCACATTGCAGCATGGGCTAGACTTGGACCTTTGGATGCCCTTTCGGTTCATCTTCACTCCTCTTCTTCTTCCCGTTCCGTCTCTCTGGCTCCTGAATCCGGTGTTTCTTCTCCTGCTACTCTTAGTCGCCAGCCCGCCCGTGGCCAGCCTGTATGCGACCTCCTGCAGCCCTGTGAGGATACCGGTACGTCGAGAACTGAACCGTCAAATCGCGTTTCCAGAACAAACAGTGCCCAATTCAGTGGGCCCGTCTCATTCCCTCAAAACCAGCATAATCCCACCACGGTCAGTATAAATATGTATCCGCTCCCAAGGCAATCCATACCTGGGGTTAATTGAGTAACCACCAATATCGATAACTCATTTGCTCTCCGTATCTTTTCGCCTTTGCTTTGTCGACAAATGCCGGAACTTGTTGGTCGGGGTGACGGAAAATATTATAGGTCCACAACCAACCAACTGCCAGTTAAGCGCCCGGGCTAGCCAACCAAAATCGACACTGACTGACTGGTCAGTCTCCGTCTGTTCGTGTCTCAGGTCCTCTGCCCCTCCATCAAAGTGGGTACAGGTGCACTCAGGCGCCAGGGACCTGGGGAAGCTTTCCCCGTTCGTTTCACAAAAGAGGCCCGGGCGGTTACAGACTACCAGGGCACCTGACTTTGAAGTCAAGCGAATGCACCCCGTTCGGGATTTCTGACCAAGTCTGTGGTGGTGATACCTGAAAAGGACGACGAGAGCATATGAACGACAGACAGCGCTGCCTTCGATCTATCAGCTTTATAAATAGTGATGAAACAAGGATTGTGTCCTGGGAAAAAGAAGAAGCGGACACAGGTTTCTGACGAGAGCTATCCAATGTGACCTGGTGAAACAGTAACAGTACCTACGATTGCAAAACTGATACTAAGACAGAGGCGCAACCTGGTAGCGAGAAGACCAGAACCGAAAAAGGAAGCCCAAAAGGAAGAAAAAAAGCAAGACAAAGAACAAAAACGCATTGGCCTGAGCATGTCGTTGCAAGATTCAAGTTGAAAAAAAGTCAAAAGTGAAGGTCGTACCCGGAATCGAACCGGGGTTGCCGGAATGTTCTGATGGAATTCAGAATCCGGAGTGATAACCGCTACACTATACAACCGTTTGATATGCGTTGGCGCTAGGATACAAGCTCATAAAGTTCATTCAGGCCTCACATTCTCAGAGGCATTACCTACAAGAAGCTGTAAATGTCTACGTAGTAGATGAAGCCAAATGAGCGTATTACGTCACTGGCTGCACTGTGGATTTGTCACTTAAAACCAATATATAACAAGAAAAGAACCTTCACCTCAATTATTCGGAGTTAAATAATGTGCGGCGTTTTTAACTGCTTTTGAAAACGCACACGTAGGCGATTGCGACAGGCTTCTGGAAGGTAGCCTACTTGTCTACTACCACTTGGCCACCGCAATTCAAACGATCCGGTAGTAAAGACAACTGGTTCACCGGTAAACAACGGGACGAATCTCGAATTGATCGTATAAAAAGCCATTTTTAAAGTATTACATTGAGTTTGTTATGCGAATCCGCTTCTTCTGCGTCTGTCCGCCGCCACATGCACCCCTGTCTCTTTTCTTTACACCCGCTCTCAAAGACCTCAAGATGAACATGTCCTGCCTGAATCCTGCCATCGGCATCCTTCGCTTGCCGTTACATATAAATACCGAGCCCCCCTTCTCGCCCGCTAGGATGGTGTGAACGTGATCACTGCACAACCTGTTGCAAGTCTGTTAGCGCCCCAAATCCGCTTTCCAACCGTTGGGTAGTAAAACAGAAAAGCAGCAGCAACAAGGACAGTGCAAAACGACGCTCTTAGTTACTCACCTTCTCCCTCAGCATGCCCATCCACTGTTGGAAGCTCATGCCCTGATCCGCCCGGTCTTCCACCAAGAGAGTTTGAGCCCACAGCTTGAGGCTTGGCTCACCATCCTCTCTGACAACGTACAGGTGAGGCAAAGTAATGCTGCCAACACCCTTGCTCTTGTGGTCTCTGCTCTTGGCAATCACGTTCCTCACACGCTCGTTGAAATCATTGTCTAACTCAGGCAGAGTACCCTTTCCAACAGCGACCTGTGTGCGTTCCTGCACTCCGAATACATCGAGGATAAGCTGGGGCACAGCGTCACGTCCAACCCAGAGGAATTGCGTCTGGCCGTCGTCGATAAGGTACAAGCCGAATGGCGCGAACCGCTCCGAGGAGAGGTTCATAGGTGGCGGGAGGACAATCTGGCTCGTCTCCGGGTCGGGAATACCGGCGTTGTCAGGCATGTCGTGCAATGAGTATAGCCTGGGGTAAATGTACTGCATAAGCAGTGGCAAAGGAAGCGTAGAGAGCTGGTCGAGGGCAGCAGAGCGAATATCCGAAGGAATAAGCGCCGACTTCCTCAAACCAACATGCTTGGTCAAGCCCAGGCAAAGGGCGGGGAGACCACGAAGGTTAGACGGGAATTGAAGGCCGCCGCCCATGCTGCCTCCGCCCAGCTCCTTCCTGAAGGTCTGCAGAAGCTCCGTGACCTTCTGCTGGGGCAGATCCCTTGCCGCGTCCAAGGAGTTTCCAAGGGCCTTCTCAACCGCCTTGTGGCTGAAGTAGGTAGCGATAGCGCACTGGTCGGCCGAGGCGTACACATCCGCAAGGTTGGTGGTGGTAGGCAAAGCGAGGGTCATGACACGAATGCGACGCTCGCCATTGCAGGTGGTGTGTAGGACCGCCGTCTGCAAGCAAACAAAGTTCTTGGTAAGGTTCTCATCGATAGCGACCTCAACAACGTAGCACTGATCACGGGGGAAAGCCGGGAAAGCGCACAAGTCCGAGCTTCGGTTAAAGAAGTTACCATAGAACGTGCTCATCCGCAGTCCAGTAGTAGCGCGAACACGGAGGACGGCCTCGAGGCCAATCTCAGACGACAGGTAGTCACTGAACTCGGACGCAAACTTGACGGCGTCTTCGGCCCTAGCAGCATTCCATCCCGGGTAGAACCATGTCTGACCACCAGTGTACCTCGGAAGGTTGCTCAAGGAGGCCACATCCTGATACTGAGAAGAGAACAGGAACATGTCGATAGACACTTGGTTCTTGGAGCACTCGACGGCGAAGCTCTTGTAGAAGGAATTAGCAGTCTGCAAGAGCCCGCTTTCCTTGGACGTGCCGAGAAGTTTCTTGTCTTCTCTCATCTCGAGCTTTCCATAGCCCACGTTGGGCAGAGAAGAGCTCAAAACCGTGATCTTGCCACCCAGGGGAGCGATAAGCTTGTGACCAGCCCTGAGAGCCGAACCCATGCAGTTTCCGTTGTTCTGGTTGTTCGCAAACATCTCGGGCAACTTGTTGAGGAAACTTTCAATATTCTGGCGGCACTCGGTGAGGGGAACCAGCAACTCCCCGGGAACAGGAAGGAATGGCTCATCCAGATCGCTGACCACAAGCATGCTCGTCTCGCCATTTTCCTCTGTGTCTCTCGGAACAGAGAAGTAATGCAGGCTCGAGTCGACAGCGATGAATCCAAGGCGGGTGCGGCGATCGGCATTCGGTATCCTGTCGAGGCTGTCCAGAATGGTTCTTGCGCTGGTGGCCAAAAGACCCGTAGAGACAGCCGCGTAGCTGACATCAAACAAGAAAAGGTAGACCAGGGGTTGGGGAGGCCTGACCATATACTCCTGCGGCGCAACAAACTCAACAACCGCATGGTTCAGTTCATGTCGTTGCCATCTATCCACACTCTTCTGGGCCGCCGCATCCCAATCAAAGGCCTGGGGGACGTCGTTAGTCAGGTTGCACATGTTGCAGCGCCATCTGTGACCATGATCGAGGAAGGTCACGAATGGGTTGATATAGGATCGACATCTTCGGCAGCGCGAGATGACCTGGTCTTGCACAACAGGGACCGGATCGTCCAAGTCATGAAGAGCTGCATAGGGCTGAATGACGAGCGCAAAGGGCAGCTTGCTCTTCTTGAGCAACGAGTGGGTGGTGGAACGGCGTTCAACGTGGATCGCACATACTTTGGCGCGCAGTTGGCATCTGGAGAAGGAGTGACGCTAGACTGGAAACATATTGTCAGCAATGAGCATATAAGCCAACTCGGAAGCCAAAGAGCTCACATTAGGGGGAAGAATAATAGGGGGAGGCGGCAACTCGAGTTCGGCGACATTAAAGGGCTGGTTGAGTAGATCGGTGGGATAAAGCTGGTTCACAGGACCCCTCGCCTGGGCAGGCTGCTGTGGCTGTCCTCCAAAGCCCATAGACTGGATACCGGCGGTGATGCCGGTAACACCTCCAGGGGCAGGGGCGGCCGGAGCAGCGCCCTGGCCGTAGTAGGGATCGGGGGCCTGATAACCTCCAACTCCGGGCACGGCAGGCTGAGGGGCGCCGTATGGTGTTGTGGGAGCGCCATATGCCGGTTGTTGAACATCTTGCGCCGGATATCCACCAAATCCTGATGCTGCTGGCTGAGGGATTCCGTATTGTGCTGCTGCTGGCTGGCCGCCTACTACGGCATTGCCTCCTGTGGCAACCTCGAATGCCTGGGCGGCGTATGCTCTCTTCTTCTTCTTGCCATGCTCGGCACCGTGCTGAGCGCCGGCTGGCGGCGGCGGGGAGGCCGGGCTACCATATGCTTGTTGGGCGGGATCGACGGGGTATTGGGGCTGCTCGCCGTACTGCTGAGGGGGATACTGGCCGTAGCCGTCGTTGGGAGGAGGAGCCGCCATGGTGTTTATTTATTGTCCGCTGCTTTGGTTGTCTGACGGCGCGGGAGAGATTAATGGCCGGGACCTCTTGATGGATATATCGATGACGCTTATGGCACGCGGGAGAGACGGCGAAAGGAGTCAGGGGACAAGTCGTGAGTGATGCGGAGCGGCGGGCGGTGGAGAGATTTGGTGACGAGGAGCTTTTGAGGCGCGCTTGAAAGTTGACAGCTCTCGATTTACGACAACAGCATTCGGGCGCTGGGCGGCGAGGGGCTGCCTGCCTCTACCTATCAGACCTATCAATCAGGAGGACAGGAGCTAGGAAGCCAGACTGGCCTTAGCTGCCTCCCTTCGGGCGGAGTACCAACGGGAGTGTCCACACAGGCTGGGGCCAAGCCTGCTGGGGTAATGATTCGTACCTACCAAGTATCGCTGCACCTTCAAGGCTTTGGATGGAGTTGGACAATGCGCTGTGTGATAAAAACGTAGAGCTCAAAATGCCCCACCAGTTGTGCACATCCAGATGGAGCTGGTGGGATGCAGATGAAAGTTACCATAAAGGAAAGGGTCCTGTAACTTACGTACCTTATCCCGTCCCTAAGCAGCACGTGATGTTAAGTTCTCTAATTAGTGGACTTATAACCAACCTAATCAAACTAGAATGGATTCTCTCCAGGTACACCGAGTCCCGTTGGAGCACGCGTGTTCTGCTTCGACAACTGCTAACCAATATGGTGCTTAAATCGCAAGCTCTGTTGTTTGTTCCTGTATTCGTAGCTGGAAACCGATGCCACCAACGCAGGCTTAAGCTCACATCGGGGGGAGGGAGCTTGAGCGGCACAGGGCACAGGGCAGCGGGCAGCGGGCAGCGGGCAATCACCGCAGTCAGTATCAAAACAGAAGCTGGACCCAGCACGAAGAGAAGAAGAACGGGTAGATCGGCTCAGGAATGGATACGTTTCGCGATAACAAACGAACGCCAAGTTAATTGTTGCTTAACAGAGGCCTCGGCATGCCAACTGCACCTTGAAGCACACGCGGCATGTAAGGGGTGTCCGCTGATTCACAAGAAACGGCGCCAGAGGCACACCGTTTTGAGGAAACCCAAGACTCGGGCAACTAAGCCGCACGTCACCAGATATCACTGGTCATCCAAGACTCCAAGCAACCATGCCGAGCATTTTCATGTGGATGGAGGAACAGGTGAGACGGGAAAGATGAACATCGCAATCCAGCGAATCTCGGCAATCTGGACACAGTGGATATTTTGGGAGAAGCTCCTTCCAAAAGTCCGACGGAACCATCTGATATTTTTACGGTTATACCCGCCGCCGTATGCCGCATCTGATCCGTTTGCACTGCCGTCTTTCATCCCGCTTTTAGGATCGAAGAGGTGCAGGTGGTATTCTTTTTCTACACGTATTTTAGGATCTGGACCCAGTTTATAGTTCTCACCACTCCCTCCTCCTTCGTTCCACCTAGCTTGCGCGTCACCGGAACCTCGACACCGGGTACAACTTTTCTGATTCGGCCTTTTTCGAAGAATACAGCTTACTCACATCCTACCTACAACCGGCTTGGTGACACCCGATTCGGATCATTAATATATCGAAATATCTTCCCTTGTACCTTTTGAGCAAGACCCCGAAATCTTAGGCCCCGGTCACCACTTATAAAGTCAGACGATTTCCCCAGTTGGCAACTGCATCCTTCACACGACATACCCTGTCACTGTATGCTCGACGAAAAAAAAATTACACAACAAAGTACAACAAATTCCACTCGTCCCTGGGACATCATTTCCTCATTTTACCTTGTCAACTTGACAACAATCGTGAACATTTCATCTTCGCGCCGAACTCGGAAAACAGAAATCGTCCGAAAATGGCACCTTCATCAGCCTTCAGGTATGACATCATATCTTGCTTCCCGTCGCTTTTGCGCGGCCCCGCCATCACAAGAACACGAACAATATTCTCAAAAAAACAAAACCCAAAGCTAACAAAAAACAGCCAAATTTTCCCCCTCATCCTCACATTAGTCGTTGTAGGCAGCATCGGTTTCGTGGTCTATCATATCTATCTGGCGGCCCTCCAATTCCGCGACCACACGGCCCAGCGCATGGAGCGCAAGAACCTCGCTTTTTCCAAAGACGGCGGACTGCGCGTTTCTGTGAAAGACGTGGGCGACGAAACCTACCTGGACCGGACGCAGAGCTGGTTTGTCAAGGCGTGGGAGCTGGGCGAGGAGGAGGTGAACGCGAACAAGAAGAGAAAGAAGACGGGGACGTTCCGAAAGGCGGCTTAGAATGTCGCTGAGGGATGGGTGGCTGGAGTGGTTGGTAGGGTGAACGTAAAGGATAACGAGACACAAGAAGACAAGAAACAGACTTAGCCGGACAGAAAAGGGTGCCGGTTTGCGACTGAGAGCAAGATTAGGTTGCTCTGACAAGGCTGGGTGGTTTGAATCTGCAAGTGGGAGGACAATCGGGTGCTTGTTTAAGCTAAGCGCCTTATTGAATTACACCCAAGACTACTCGGCGGGATACTGGTGCACTATCGATGACGGTGACCGCCGTCGAACTATGGTGTTGACCCGCCGCCAACACATTCAGAATTGTTGGTCGCCTGCTGGCCACGGAACCAACAAACGCAACGCGTTGTTGCTGATTTGAGGGCCGAGTTTGCTTCTGGATGGGCGGTTTTGTCACATGAGTAGATATCACCCGCCACTTGTGATGGCACAAAAAATAGCCCACCATTCACCACCCCCAAGGGAAGTCTGTCAGATATCATGTCTACTATCATTAACCAGTTAAGTCCCTTGACATAATGTCTAGCTGAATCGCCTTCAGCCTTGGTGTCTCCAACTATCATTGAATCTGCGGGTAATTTACGCAGCAGCAACTCTTGGGCTAATACCCTCTTCTATCGCTTCTAGAAGCTCAAAACACTCAGTCGACGAATACTATGAACACACAGTCCCGTTAGTTCCTGGGCCATGTCATGCAAAGTTATTTCAGGGATATGGATACTCACCAGTGAAGTCTTTAGACCCCATCTGTTATGGGCAAAAAGATTCAGATGCGATAAAGCGTCTAACCAAGGATCCAGTTAGTTTTCCTGCCGTCATAGCAATACACAAAAATAATAATGTTGGGGTAAGGGTAGATGTCATGCCGGAGCGAAACGAACCAGACTTGTAATAATACTCCTTTTCCGGATTGAGGACCCCGAGAGTTTTCAGTTTCTCCAGCACTCTGGCGGCCGCCAGCTTATCCCGGTAGTCGTGGGTGTAGACCTTTATCAGCTCGCCCTCCATATCTAGCTTATCTTTTAGGGCACTGCGCCTCATGATCGCCTCCGACCCGAGCTCGTTCTTCACCGTGGCTGTGACGATCTTCCTCCAGGCCTCCTCCGCCTGGTCATGCGGTATGTAGAGGAGCCACTTACCGGCCACAACCTCGCAGGCGCTGGCCATACGGGTGAGGTTCCTCATGACCTCGGCCCGCTCCGTTATGATGTTGCCCAGGTCACGCTTCCCCGTGGACCCGCCGCCGGAGGAGCCGTAGAAGTCCATGAAATCGGAAAACATCTGTAGTCGCTCCTTGCCAGCCTTGGTGAATGCGTCCCGGGCCGGCTTCCAGCGCGGCGGCGCGTAGGGGTTGACCGCCCGGACGAAGGTGCCGTATATGTTTGCCGTGCGGGCCAGGAAAGCGTCAGCGGTCTCGCGGGCTTGCCAGGCACATATACTCCCGCAGTAGGGGTTGTATATGGGACGGCCTTGGTCGTCATAGCGGAATACGCGAGGGCGTCTTGTTTCGGCCCGAGCGATGGGGTACCATTTCTCCCACCAGTCGTCTACGTCGTAGGTTTCTATTCCGGTCTTTGCCCGTCGAGAAACTGTTCGGTTTTGGTGATCTCCTGTGGTGATTTTTAAAGCGGTCCCGTCTGGTTTAGAGACTGATTTTTTCTGGAGTTTTTCTGTGATATATGTTAGCAGACTTCATGAATTCATGGCATTGACTGCACTGAGAGCAAGGAGGTGGAGGTTATTGACCTTCACTCGGCACATGTAAATCCGTGTACTCTCCCCACATGACTTTGTCTAGCCTATCCCATCTGCGTATCCTCGATTTCACTTTCGCAAGCCTCGACGGTGACATTTCATGCCGGGGGAGTGAGTTATGGAAGCCTCTTCTCAAACACTCGTGCGCTGTTGAGGTATGAGATGATGCATCCGCAAAGAGACATCGAGCTGCACCAGAAGCGTAGCTCGGATTCGGAGATCGGCGGAGTATAGGACGAATCATTTGACTGGACCAAGTGCGTAGTATATGAAGCTTTTAAATATGGCGGTTCCCTTTCATAGACAAAAGTTTTGTTGTTGACGGGAGCGGACACGACTAAAGGGTTGAAACTGTGGGGTGGTGTTGCTATAGCAGCGTGAGTGTGGTGGGTTTCTGCAATATTTCAAGCACCCCTAGAAAAGACAACAAAAAACACCAAGAAAAAGTCGAACGATCATCACGACAAAACACACGCCAAAATAGACACATTCTGACCAATCCGCCGAGGAGCAACTGCGACAAGGATAATACTCGCAACAACCATTTATTTTTCTTACCACCCGGCAGTTGCGTCTGCCACTAACTCTTTACGCGCCAAATTGTGCCTGCTGATTTGAAATCGCCATACCATCGCGACTTTCACAGACACTAAAATGGGCGATTCCAGTGAAAATTGGCCGGAACCGGTCTCCTCCCTTCAGTCAATGCAGCTGGATCTCCCACCAAGCTGCATTGAAATTTGCCCATCTGCGCCGTCATACTTTTTAATCGGGACGTACAACTTGGAGGGCTATGAAGGGCCCGCTGCGGCTGTTTCGCAATCTACTGAAGCGAAGGAGGTTGAGGAAAAGGATGAGGAACATGACGACCACGACGACAGTGAGGCTACGGTGATAGGAGAGAAAAAAGGGCCACAAAACCGCGACGGAAGCATTCTCACATTTCAGCTTGTGGATGACCAGTTGTAAGTCCAGCTGCAGTCAGTTAAACAAGGGCACACCGCCATACAACAGAAACTGACAGCCTTCAGAGTCCATGTTCAAACGCTGATGCAGCCATCGGCCATACTCGATCTCCATTTCAACCCAGCACCAGGCAAGCAAGACATCTGCGCCGCCGTCTCTAGCACGGCTACTCTGGCTCTGTTCCGGTTAAGTCCTGGGGACGCCCAGCCCCTGAAGCATCTCAAGACCATGGACATGGCAAGCATGTGCAAAACGGCGGAGGACTGGCTAGGCGACAAGGACGAGGTTATTTTCACTCACTTCGCCTGGCATCCGACGAAGCCGGATATGGTTGTTGTTACCACCACTGCCGGCTATGTACACCTGATCTACCTTGGAGAAGATCTTGATGGCGGCGATTGGGTCATGCACCCTGAGCCGATTCTCACTCACACCCTCGAGGCTTGGTATGTATCCATTTCTCCATCTCTAAGCTCTCCTAGAGAGGAAGAAGACGACTCGTTTCTGCTGTTATCCGGAGGAGACGACTCGGCGTTGCGCTACACAGTATGCAAGCGCACTCGGAGCGCCAATGCGATGGGCGACGATGAGGAATCACAAAGTCCCTATAACATTGAGGCGCTCCGCCCACCTCTCAACGTCAGCCGAGGCCATGATGCTGGAGTAACAGCGATATTGGCCCTAGGGCTGAAGGATGACGAATCCGAGCTTGTGGTTACGGGAAGCTACGACGATCACATTCGGCTCTTTTCTATCCCGGCCTACGGCTTTGGGCGGGCCGTCGAGCTGGCTGGAAGCAACCTCGGAGGAGGCGTATGGAGGTTGAAAGTTGTCAAGGAAGACATGGGCCTCTTTGAGGGGCGGGGTTGGCGGTTGACGATCCTCGTGTCGTGCATGCATGCTGGCGCGAGGGTTGTCGAGCTCGTCAAGAACGGTGCTGGGGAGTATGAGTTCCGAGTGGTTGGGAGGTTTGAGGAGCACAAGAGCATGAACTATGGCAGTGATTGTCAGCTGAGCAAAGAAGGGACCCTCTCAGCTGTGTCGACGAGTTTCTACGACAAGTTGCTGTGTCTTTGGAAGCTTGAGCTTGGAGCTTGAAGAACAGAAGCAAGGCGTCTCTTGGCCACCTCACAGAGAGGATAGGAAGATAGCACGGCACGCCTAAAGATACGACCACACGGGAGGAGTCAAGCTCCATGGTAGACGTGGAAGGGGGCTTGGAAGGACTTTGGGCTTGGATCTTGAAGAACAGACGCAAACTCTCAACCTTGGTCTCGGGGAGGATACAGCGCCTCTAGAGGTATGGCACAACCGAGGAGTCTGTCCATGGTATACGGTATATGAACGTTTTTGGATGAGCCGTATCTCTTGGCCTTGACATTTTGGGTTGAGTCCCGGCACGATTGCCGACATGCCTCAACACGAAGGCATACCTATCGGTGGTCTTCAGGAACAGGTGCCGACAACGGAAGGACGAACAGTAATTAAGTGTTTGTCGTGACGCAACTATTCCCAAGCGAACGGTTTCAGTGGGGAGTGCATGCCGCACCTGCATCGTTGTTGTACAGGTACACAGTGTGGGAGGTACTTGTGCCTCCCGATAAGATGCGATAAGCTGACCGCCTTCTCTTTTCTCTCAATGTACGGGCTGAGATGCCCCTCCCAGTGGGCGTGCTGTGGAGTTTTAGATCGATAGAGGATGTTCGAATGGATCCGCAGCCCGCCTAATTGAACTGCAGCCTGAAGCGCGCCTGCCCGCCTACGAGTAATTTCCAGAGGTATTTTTTTTAGCGTGGCTTGGGCAGACACCAAGTCCAGGTAGTGCCTGTGACGGAGGTCACGGACGGTGAGTCGACGCTCGTCAGCACTAAAACATAGGGGAGTTTTAGGGGCCTCCTCGCTGTGTCCTATGGCCCCCGCGGTCAAGCCCCCGTGGCCAACCTAACTCAACACTAACAGCAAGTCACGGGCAGTGGACGTGAAGTGGTTGACTCCGTCATTTCCCCGGACTGGTGGAATTTCATGCATGCCGCGCCAAAACATCTAGGCTCACAACTCCAATTTCCCGTCACCACTGCCTCTTGAAAGGTAACCTTCTCTTGTGTGCATCACCGGGGAAACGACACTCCTCAACACGCCTTTGCTCACGTTCTACCTTCAACATCTTATTCCGGCCTCCACTGTTGGCTGGCTTGCTTCATTCGCTCATATTTTACTTTGCAAGGAACCAGTCGAAGGCAACGGGCTACCTACCTACCTACCACGGTTGCGGTGTAGGTCAGTCATAGCACCACCTAGCCTACCTCGACCTCCCTTCAGCTTGACCGTTTACACGATCGCGTCCGAACCTTCCCAACAGACCCTCGGGCGATCTCCTGTCATTGAGGTAAACACCACACAAGCCACGGCAGCTCTTCATACTCCAGTCTTTTTCGAATGCCGGTCTAGTTGACCGCGACCTGATACAGCCATCCCATGTTCACGATAGCCTCTTTCTAGCACCTGTCTATTATACCCACACGACCTCGATCTCCGCCTCGATCTCCGCCGCGGTCCATATCGTTGCAAACAAGCTCGGTCCTCCTGCCCTCTGCGCCTTCGCAAGACACAACCAGTTCCACCGTCGATTATACCTATAGCCACTACATCTTCCCGTTTGCAGCATGGATACCGACGGGGCCGCCGGTGCCGGCGCCGACCCCGTTATCGCGAGGATTCACGAAGCCCTCAACATTGTCCACAGCCCCTACTCTCCCAACCAGGCAAGACAAGAAGCCCAGGCATTTCTGGAAGAAGTCAAGACGCGCGGTGACGCACCCTCGCATGGGTTCAGCCTTGCTTCCGGTGGTTCACAAGAACCTGTCGTTCGCCACTACGGCCTGTCTCTACTCGAATATGCGGTCAAGCACAAATGGTCTGAATATGACACCAACCAACGCGAGTTTCTCCGCAGTTGGATCTTGCAACTGGCACAGGGTGTCGCGAAACCCGACCCTCCCTTTCTCCGAACAAAGATGGCCCAGCTCTGGGTCGAGATAGCTAAACGCTGCTGGGGTGCGGATTGGATGGATATGGACGAGTTGCTGAACCGCCTATGGCAGGTTCCGAACTCGCCCGTACACAAGGAGTTCGTCCTCCTGATCCTCGAAATCTTGTCCGAGGAAATCTTCAATGGAGAAGATGCCATCGTTGCCCACAGAGAGGGAGCACTGAGCAAGGCATGCGTTGAGATCTTCACACCTTCTGCCGTGCTCAGCGAAGGCTTCCCAGGCCGTCAACACGAACCCCAGGTGCGATTCGGTGACGACGGATGGATCAGTAGAGTAACAGGACTCGTCCGAGACTGTTTGAACGAGAACCTCGACAGTAATGAGGACATCCGGGCTTGTGTCGTCAAAGCTTTGGCTGTTCTCAACTCCGTGATGCCGTGGGCAATTCCAAAAGCCATTCATGCTACCGGTTGCCGTCCTGTTATATGCAGTGGCCTTGCCAGCTCAAACGTGACCGTGCAAAGGGTAAATTTCGCCTCCCATCTCTGTCTAGTTCACTCTTCTAATTGTGCGATTGCTCCGAATATCTGCTCGTGTTCTGGCTGTTAACTCGTATCTCTTGTATAGGCTGCTTTGGAGGCATTGCATTCTCTCTATTCCCGGTCGTCATTCACCAGCGAAGAATTCGCCGACCTGGTTGTTCCCATGTACAGCCCCGAGTTGGTCGACCTTTGCAGGCGACTATTTGAATGGTCGACAGTGGACGCTGAGGACATTGACGACGACAAGTATCAGTTTGCCAAGAAATTCTCCGAGGCAAGTTGCTTCCTTTACACAGCTGGGGAAAACCGCTCCTATTTTTTCCTAGGTCTATACTGACAATCAACAGATGATCTCGTGCGTAGGGAATTACCTGGACCGGAAGTACGCTTTCATACCGCCCCAGGTTGACATCCAGGACTTCCTGAAGCTTCTGATAGAGGTGGTGCAGAGCCAGAGTCTCGTTGTTTCCATTCCCATCCTAGTGACTTGGACGCGCCTTCTCAATCACCGCTCGCTCGGTCCGGCTATTGGAAAAACCGACATGGTTCTACCGCTGTTGGACGGCACTAGCGCTCGACTGTTGCGCTATGAGAACCTCCCTGAAGATACGGAAGACCCTACGTTTGTTCTTCTCATGGAGGATACCGATACCATCCCGGAGAGACATGCTTTCCTCGGTAACTATAGGCGATATAGTTGCTCTATCATCGAGAGCATCGTCCAGCTGAGGCTCACGGATGCCTTCCAGTACATCTTGAGCCAGGCAGAGAATGCTTTGCAAACTCTGTATGAGGGCCAGCCACCTCTTAACCGTAAGTTGCATAAGCCGTGATTCACAGGACAAATGGCTAACGCGGCATCTAGCGGCTACCTATTCCAAAAACTCCATGCCTGTTCTAAGAGTAGACGCCCATGCCACGGTCATTGAAGCAGCTCTCAAAGGCTACGTTAAGTGGAGGGGAAGACAGGGAGAACTTCCTGGAGGGGTAAGCTTTGCCTGCTGCACTCTACAGCCCATGAAAATATACTGACAACCCTTTAGGAGGAAGAAGTTTCAAGTATCGAGACACATCTCGAGCAGTGGTGTAGCAGGCTGCTGGAGATGAATATTGAGGTACGTCGCCTTATACGCCCAGGTTTAGGGTCTGGTACGAAGGCAAAAAGCTAACGTATCTATAGGACCCTCTTATCCGCAAACGTATTCTTCAGCTGCTTGTCGCCTTCTCCACGACGGCTCTTGACACCAAGGCCAACTTTATGTTGAGGGTGCTCGAGCACATTCTCATGACATGGCCTGCATTGCAGCCCGAGCACAAGACCTTCAATGATGCGATCAGGGATCTCCAAACCGAAAGCATGGTTGAATTGCAGAGGCTCGCCTCCAAGATGCCCGATCATTTACTGGTAAGTGCTGCTAGACGCCCACATGCTGTAATGATTGGTCCCTCATTTACTTACAATTTGTTCGTACCAGGACGTCTATGACCAGCTTGAGTCCAAGGTCAAGGAGATGATTGCCTCTGGAACACTCGACGAAAAGCGCCAAATTGCGTATCGCAGTTTCCTCTTCATCATCATGTAAGAACCTCGTTCAGCCCATCATATTTCGACTTTACTAACCAATAAACCCCTAGCCACCGGGCAACCCGCATAGACCAGGAAACGCGGATCAGGCGTCTTGCTGAATTCGTCGAGCCGGTCAAAACCCAGTGGAAGGAAGCCCCGTTGCAACAAGCACTCGGCTCATTCGAGGGATTCTGCCAGCTCATCGGTTTAGACAAGGCGCAAAACTACATCGCCCAGCGTCGTGTTCACCAAGTTGGTGACTGGGGTGCTGTAGAGCTTGATGCCGAAGGATTGGCGCTGCAAGCCGAACTTGAACAGAGACAAACGGTATGTTTCCCTGGTAGTCATCTGTTTCGACGTGGTTGATAGTTACTGATACACTCGCAGTTCCTTCCTTTACGCTCAACCAAGTCATTCTTGACCTATTCAGTTGAAAAACTGGAGAAAAACTCCCCTGCCTATCAAGCGTCTTGCACCCTGTGGCAGGATGGGTTCCCGATCATCTTGCCTGAGCTGCTCAAGTTCCTGAGCTACGCACATGCGTGCCATGATCCGAAGAACTGGTCTTTGCTTCCAGAAGAGATGCGACCCGTCGTCAGCCGTCTCCTGACTGACCGTTTCTGGCAAGCCGGTATTTCTGAAGGCAGCAAAGACGACTTCTATGCGCGTGTCCTAGACAAGAAGAACACGCTTGAGGGGCTTGCCTCCACCATCCGTGGCACCGTGCGTTTTGTCCGCGAGGCATGTTATGCCGTCATCTACTGCATGAGCCGACTTGATGTGCAGTTTTACGGGTTCATGGAACTTCCTGGTCCCTTGGCAAACGCCCTGTTTGCCGATTCGTTCAGCCTCTCGTCTCATCAGCTTATCAATCTGTTGAACCTGGTGAGGTATCTTGTTGATCACTGTCCTGTGGAGCTACGGGATCATTTTCTACCTCCAATCCTGGCCTCGTGCTTCCAGCAGATGGATGCCAAGATCAGCAGTGAATGGGACAAACTGGGCCAGAAGCAGACCGTGCAGGTGGCTGATAATGAGGAACTAACGGAAGAGATGAAGGCGGAAAGCATTCTCCGGCAGCTAACGTATACCGCAGCCATTATGGTGGCCGAATTCCTTGACCCGGCGAGGACTGGTAAGTTGTTTTGTTGCCCTATGTTTCTGAAGTTCTACTGACTGTTCCCAGGACCACCTAGCAATCTTCCGGCCTCTCCCAACGGCACCACTGCGGAGTCCCGGTATCCATCGCTTCGGAGATTCTGCCTCATGCAAACGTCGATCGCCGGCCCTCTCCTCCTATTCCTTTGCCATGCGATTCACATGCGTGATACCAGGTGCTGTGGTGTCGTCCTCCGTGTGTTCCGATCCATCGTGCCGGAGTTCCAGATCCAGAGCCACCCTAAAGAGCAAAAGGACCCGTCTCATCCTTCTCTGCCCGATGAGAACTTCCCCATTCCCGATGCTACCAAGGCAGAAATTCACCAGTTCCTCGGAACCGACGTGATGAGAGCCGCGATCTCCTCGATGAACGATCCTTATTTTGTCGACTCTCAAAAGGACCTTGCAACCCTGATCGCAACGATCCTTGCCCATTATTGCGTTAGCGATGAAGTCTCGGGAGGCAATCCTGCGTCCCGCCAAATCCTGTGCTCACTACCGGGTATCAAGGAACAGGAAGTGGATAGGACCCTTACTTTCCTGAGACGTCCTGGCACACATTCACGCCAACAACGTGCTGTGGTCCTGGATCTACTGAGGAACGTGAAGAGCGTCAGCATCAGCGAGATGGGAAAGCTGAAGGACCCAAGAGAAGAAGTTGTCAGAAAGGCTCCCAAGAGGAGTAAGATGGCCCAGAAGTTTATGACGCCTCAGCAGGGCGCCGACACTAGTGCGACTGGTACTGAACAGGGAGCTGGCAGGAGGCAAGCGACTCCTGATCTTACAGGAGTCGCCGGGATGTTCGATGAGGGACACTGAGCGATTTTGAAATGTCAAGAGCGTACTGTATCTCAGTAACCTTTTACGCTTGCTCCCTGCGACACAGACTTCCGGCGCTACGCGGTTCTATGCCGCATGTGCAGAAACTCCCGGAGCCTACGGTCTCGTACATGCTCCCCAAGGGGCTACCGGAAGGTTCTTTGCTGCTTCGCAATGGCTTTGAACCTTCATACGCACCATTTGAGCGATAGAACCTCGTCATGGGGCGCATGATGGGTCTATCGATGCGATTCGGACACAACATATGCCTCTGCTGATGGCGATGTTCTGTGTGTTTATCCGGGACTGTACTTAAATCGCTTGTTTGGTCTGATAAGCTTTGCGAATTCGAAAACGTTGCCTAAGGCTTCGCCTTGAAAGTTCCATGGGCAGCGAAACTTATTTGCTTCAGTAAGAGAATGGTTTGGAGAAATGTTTGATGCAAGTTGACAGCGGAGACCAGAGCTACGATGATAGCATGGTTGATGATTGTCACGACTGACTACTGTCTTCTTGATACAAAGCTGTAGTCAAGCTTGACCCTTAGACGTCGGCGCAGCTGGAAAATTTAGGTATATAGAAAAACAAAAGCGACTGTGGGCTCGGCCATCGAGCCTCCGTTGGTTGGTATGGAGTGTAATGAATTTCTGTGACTTCGAAGGTGCCCGTTTAAGTTCTCGATGAAAGTATGACCTGTCGCCGTCTAATCCAAAGTTGAAGAGCCAAACAGTCTGCTAGTTCCTTTGGTATACAACCTCTTTTACATTCATCACGCATAAACATGTGAAATCCTTCCGACATGCCGGGAAACGGTATGTTTTAGCATCGGAGCCATTGCTACGTTTACTAATGGATTTAGGGGCGATCTGCAGTGCAACTCCAAACGGACAAGACGAGGCTAGACCGTGGAGACCGTGCTACTGACCCCTGAAGAGCTAATGCCACCGAAGCTATCCCCCGCACAGCCCATGTCGGAACAATCAGGGTGAGATGATGGTCTTGGTAGTCTGAGAGTTTGTGCCAGTGATACCATTTACGCATCGAACTACGCTCCGCACTTCCAACATATCTGAGTTCTCGATAAGGTAAAAGTTCACAGCTTCATCAGCATTCAGGTCGCATCGAGCGCCATTGTGTTGCGGACCAACCGGTTCCGAGGTCGAATCCAAACTTGGCGTTGTGGCGTGGAATCCAGGAAGTGATAGGCGGTTCACTCAACCCTGAACTAGAAAGGGGAATTATACCTTTCCGATCAACATCTTCTACCTACGTATATTCGTCTGTTTCACTCTACCTGTTGTCCATGCTTAAGATATCGCCATATCTACCCGTTCCCTTGAGAATACGGCCGCTAATCACATACCTAGAGCAGATAAGGTGGCAGCAACACTGAAGTTATAGCCATCCCCTGTCCTTGTCATCTCTGCCGGCTTTCCAAGAAATACAGAAGAAAACACTAGGAATCGTGAGGTACCAAAGAGCGTAACTTTCATCTACGTATTCGCTCTGAGGCCAAAGAATTATCGACCACCTTGACCCTTCAACGTCACCGACTCAAGCGAGTGCCGTCACTCTCTCTGGCGCTTACTTTCGCCTAGCCCGGCTCCCAGCCGTACTATACTCGGACAGGTCCCCACGGGAAAGCATCACCCTATTGTTCCTTCGGCACTTCATCCACCGGGTGTTATTGGCGAAAGAGCCGGCTTATAAGAATTGTGTGACCATGGTTTATCTCGGCAAGCCGTCCAAAGGCTGTCAAGTGTGCCGCACACGGAGAATCAAGGTAAGATGGGATATATGCGATGAAGTTAAAAACTACAGCAACGGCTGACCAAGCGGCACATCCACTCACTTTTCGCGCGTTATCCAGTGCGATGAAACCAAACCAACATGCAATCAGTGTTTCAAAGCAAGGAGACAATGTCCCGGGTACAAGGACGACTTCGACCTAGTTTTTCGGAATGTCACCAAAGCAACAGAACGGAGGGTACAGAGAGCCAACAAGAAGGGAAAGCAAAAGCTATCAGCGGCAGGGGGTGATGGCTCCAGCTCAGGGTCAAGCACAGGCCCAAGGCCATATCCAAGTCCAGAGGCATCATCGTCATCATCGCCGCCGTCGTCATCGTCATCCATGTCAGTGTCATCATCGTCTAACGTCGACGGGGAACAGCACCAGTTTTCTCTCACATCCACGGCGCGGAAGACGGTCAGGTCACCCTTCGAACTCGCCGTCATACCGGCCATTCAGATCTCCACTGAGACCCAGGCATCATGTCACTTCGTCTCCAATTTCGTGCTCATCCCCCGCCAGGGAACGACGAGAGGATTTATGGACTATCTGATTCCACTCATGAAAACCGAGACGTTATCTTCGGCACCACATCTGCAGTTTGCTTTCAATGCGTGTGCACTGGCTTCGCTGGGAAACAGAGTCAAGAGCGACGGGATCGACTTCGCGGCGAGCGCACATGGGGAGTATGCGAAAGCGTTGAGAGCCACTCAGGCCGCGTTGATGGATCCGGTCAAGTACACGTCTGATTCGGTCTTGGCTACGGTGTTGCTGTTGGGTATGTTCGAGAACATCACGGCAAAGAAGCTGGGCGAGTTTGCGTGGGGCTCCCATATCGAAGGAGCCATTCAGCTTGTCAAGGCGCGAGGAAAGAAACAACTCAAGACGCAGACCGGATTACAGTTGTTCATCGCCGTGCGGACACAACAGGTAGGTAAAGCTGGGAGAAGTACAGAACTGACCACCAAAATCCAAGACTTTACTAATGGCGTCCCCCCACAACAGATAATCCACGCTTTAACTTCCGGTAGCCCTCCGATAATGGGCGTCGACTGGTGGCTCGACAACGCCGTCAACGACTCGTACGCCGCCCACTGCCAGCGTCTCAACCTTCAAACCAGCGAGCTCCGCGCCGAAGTAACCCACATCATGACCCACGGGACCACAACCGCCGCAAGCCCGTCCTCCCCTTCCTCTCCTCACTCTTCGCCATCAATATCCTACGAAGAAAGAACCGCCAAGATCCTCTCCCTCATGCGCCGCTCCCAGGAGCTCGACCGCGCCATAGTCGACTGGATGGCCTCCCTCCCATCGCACTGGCGCTACCGCACCCTGTGCTGGCAGGACTACGTCGCCAACACCGACTACGCGCACGCCGAGGTCTTTCCCGGCAGGGTGGACGTGTACAGCGACGTCTGGATTGCGTCCATGTGGAACATGGGGCGCGTCACCCGCTTGATCCTTGCCAGCATCACGGTCCGCTGCGCCGCGTGGGCGTGCAGTCCCGTTGACTACAGGACGACGCCCGAGTATGCGCATAGTGCGCGGGTGTGTGCCGAGGTTATCAGTGATGTGCTGGCGAGCGTGCCGTATCATTTGGGGTGGCATTATCGGACGAGAAGCAAGAGGAGGGGGGGGAGACAAGGTCAAGGCCAAGGTCGTGGGAATAGGAGGAGGAACTGGGATCATACAGATGATGAGGATGAGGATGGTGAGGAGGATGATCATAATCATGATGATAATAATGGGGAAGATGGACTGGACGAGGAACAGCTGTCTGGATTCGGATGTGGTGAAGATGAACAGGGGGCAAAGGGACTAGCTGGCTATTTCCTGACGTGGCCGTTGGCGTGTGTGATGGGCCAGGATTATCTGACGGAGGATCAGAGGACGTGGGTGAGAGGGAGACTGAGGTATATTGGCGAGGAGTTAAAATTCGGTATGCAAATATCCTGGCACAGGTGAGTTGTTTGCATTCGTTCACGACTTTTTGTTTCATATGCCCCCCCCTTCCCCCTCAAAAAAAAAAAAAGTATATCGTCAATACATACTAACCCGTCCTCACCCTCACCTTCCAGCTTCAAGTCCGCATCCCATCAATGCTCATCCGCCGCGACGGTCTCATGGCCCAACCATACCCCAACGCCCAAGATTTCGAACGTCTACTCTCCTCGGCAAGGAAGTCACCCCCGGTTATGTCTGGATACTCGCTCAATCCAATACAGGAGAGAGAGAGGATGCAGATGGAGTTCATGGAGTTGAAGAAGAAAGAATTGCTGGCCAAAGCGACCGGTGCAGCAGGGAAGGAGGGACGATACGATGAGACCGGCACGAATAGGTCAGATCGAATAGGGAACAGTGGCGCCAACAGCGAGGAGAGACGGGAGGATCAGGAGAAGGTCATGGTTGTTGCGAGGAAGTGGCTCACTGTTTGAAGGAGAGGAGCGGAGGGGGTGATGTTGAGGCTCCTGATGAACAAACATACGTCCCAGAGTTTCTCAACATAGTACATGGAGAGTAGAGACCTTATATGAATGAAGTAGCGCCATACCAAGCATTCCCGCTTTTTGATAAATGTACACCAGCATCCTAATGTTATATATACCTATGTACCGTCCTGTGTTTCCTAGACCCATACATGCAGTTTGATGCGATCCTCTCTCTCTCTGTCTCTAAGCTTTTCCTTCCCGAAACTTTAGAACATCTCCGCTTCCCCAACCAACACTAGAGACGGAATTTGAGCACGCCACCCGGACTCGATCCACACCGGCCATATCCAACTTGCAGATACTAACTACATCCAACAATCCCTTTTCTTTCCGGTGTCACTCACTCACTCACTCCCTCTCCTCATCACTACCAGCACTCTTCGCCCTCTTGGCAGGACTCATATCTCCACTCGGCCGATGATGCAGCTTCTTTTTCGCCAGCACGCTATCACTACTCCTGCTATTGCTATTATTGTTGTCTTTTACTCCAAGCAACAACGACCTAGCACTGGCTACCGGCGAGGAGTGGTTGCTGTTGTTGTTGTTGTTGTTGTTGTTGAGGAGGAGGAGGTTCTGCTTCTTGGTGGAGGAGGAGGAGGAGATGCAGGACGCAGAAGAAGAAGAAGAAGAAGTGGTGGTGGAAGAGGAGTGATGAGGATGGGGGAGAACAGGTAACCCCAGCGAAGACGTTGGGGTAACCACCGGCACGGCCGCCTCCAGCCTGTTCAAAGCCTCGGTGAGCTTCTTGCGAGCTTCTAGCTCCCTGTTGGTGCTTAGAGAGCTGGAGGAGGAGGAGGTTGGCGACGAGCAGGTGGAAGGAGGGGCCGATCGAGGTCGGTAGAATTCCTTGACGATGCACAGTGCCGCGTGGTAGACTTGATATAGCAACAGTCGGATGCCGGCGTTGGGGAGGTCCTCGATTAGGGAGGAAATGTCACCGTCGCTGCTGCTGCTGTTGTTGTTGCTGCTGCTGACGGCGGGTGGTGGGGGTGGTGGTGGTCGTGGGGGGCTGGAAATGGTGGTTTGTTCGGTGATAGCCGTGATGGACATGACTCCTGTGTTGGTGCTGTGGGTGCTGACGCTGGTATTTCTGCTGCTACTTCCGTTACGCTCGTTCGCATTGGTAGTAGGAGGGCCGGTTTCGAAGCCTTCCATGAAGGATTCGGAGATGCCGTCGCTGAAAACGGTGGCTAGTAGGGGATCACCGAAGACGCAATTGCTCCAATCTTGAAGGCCGGTAAGTGTTAGCTGTCGTTCACCGCCAATGTTATCTGATGCTGATGTTGATGCTGCTTGTGGTGTTGCCATGTAGCTGCCATAACCGTTTGTGCTTGTTGGGGTCTCGACGGTGACCAAAGTGTTTGTGTCATCAGCCATATCGACAACCACCAGCCTCGGTACCTTGACCTCGTTGAGCAAGTGTGCAAATCGCCTGAAATGTCTTCGTATCGGGGAGTAGGCCATTGTGACTGCCATGTCTTCGCCGTCTCTTAAAACACCCTCTAGTAATGACTGGAAGGCGGTTGACCAGTTTCTCGCTCCGTCGGCTGCCATCAAGCCGCCTTCTCCAAACCCCGCGTTCTTGTCCGAAAGCTCTACTCCTGGCATTTTAGGGACGACAGCAGCCACGGGGCCAAACCGGCCCGACGGTGATGTTATCGACGAGAGTGATCGGTAAAACTGGCCGAGGTGTTTATCCAGACGTTTACGCTCCGAAGGACTGGGGGGAGACGGCAACAAAGCGACGGGGATGCCATGTTGATGTTCGAAAACGTTGTATGCTGACCCTAGCTCGGCAGGACCGTGACTTGATGTATGCACAAGGGCTGGGAGGAATCTCTGAAGTGTTGGTTTTGTGAATCTCGTCGAGTAATTTCTGGCAAGAGCATCCCTGATCCACCGAACAGTCGCGGCTTCGGAGCCTATCAAGGATTGTTCGTGCCTCAAAAGCCTGAAGAGGGCTTGTGGTGGGAGTGAAAGGAGGAGCGTTTTCCCGTCCGAAAGACTGACTTCGAATATCCTCTGCGGTCGAAGGGAAGCAACTGGCCGTAAGCTGTGGACCGTTACATGACTGGGCACGATCGCGCCAAGGGCAGCCTGTACCGATTGTTCGGACGGTTGTCGACACATGGTAAGGCCGGAAAAGGATATATCCTATGAATAGGACAGAGGTAAACAGGACAGAGGTAAGTAAGTTGGAGGGTCGAGGCCGGGAAAAGACAGTCAAAAGACAGTCATATATCTCTCGACTTCAATAACACCGCTGCCAAAATGATCTTCTCAGGGAACAGACAGGCGATTATATGGAGCCTGCGCACTTGTATCTGCCTGTGATGTGTGGAGATGTACGTAAAGACCAGAAGGTACTCTGGTACTTAAGGCTTGTTTTGATTGGGAAAGGGGGCGGAAGTATCCGCTCGGCGATGGGCATCGACAGAGTTGGCCAAGCGTGTTGGATCTTCTTGTACTAATACTCAGCAACTAGCCGGCAATTGGAATTGTAGATGGAGATGGCATGTGATGATACCCGATGCTGCTGCTAAACATGGGGAGGGAATATCAACTGTCGTCTGTTCAGCCTCTTTCTTCGTTCCAGACCATTGGGCCACAGGTGCTCTGGTACGAGTGTCTCCTCACTGTGCCATCTCTTTCTTGTTTTTTGTTCTTACTTTTGGTATTGTTGGCGGCCGAAGTTGACAGATTGACCGCCGCAAGGTGAGAAACTTGGAGGATGAAGGAAGGAAACAGGCTTCTGGCTTTTAGCTACCCACTTAGAGTGAGGTAGGCGTGAAGCTGAGACAGAGTCCGTTTACACATGCCCTTTACGGGTAAGACCTATACCCCATATGTCCGTCAGCTCGGTAGCAAGCCGGGATTAGGATGGGGTGGAAATGTTCAACAGGTACCAGACCCTTCCGCATAGGGGATGCGGCCCGGACGAGGAAGGACCAAGGACTGACTAGCATCGTTTCACTACTCGCTGTTCCCTCCCTGTACCCGGTATCAGACATAAAGAAGAAGATGGCAATCCGGCCGATGCATGGAAATCCCATCCCGCAAATCTGTCTTGCTAGTGTAAGTCCATGTGTGCTGTACATAGAGTACGAATACGAGCGTGCCTGGTAGGAGCATGAGAGGGTACTTGTACAGACCAACCAGCGCCTCTTTGAACTTTTCTTTCCCTCTTGGGCATGACAAGTCTGTCATGCTTAGCTCTTCCACTGGAAAACTCTGGCTCATGTTTCTAGAAAACTCTTGATTCTTCCTCTCATAGGGCATAATAATTGTAAAAGAGGCTAAATTGCAGTGAGCACTTTCTCTGCGGAATGTGCTGGAGGACGGCGAGGACTGCCTAAGCGTCGTGATAGATGGAGCATCGCCAAGCACAATTTAGGTGGAGCAATAACGTTGAACTGGCGAATGAGACGCCGAGAGTAGCGAGAGCGGAGACCGTCCGCGCAGAATATCGACGGCGGGAAATGGGTGTAAGAAAACCCGGAGTGCCGGAGTCCCTGAACCATCGAGGAGTTCCAATGACATGAATACAGGAACGTACCAGAGTTTGGTAGAGATGATTGCGGGTTACATCACCACCACATCTCAGTGTACGTACAATTGCAGTCTTCAATTTGCTGAGAACGGGAAGTCGGGTGCTTTCATGGCTTGGCACCGGCGCCTGCCATAACTGAAACCCACGGTGCTTACTGATGGTGATAGTCCTTGCTCATATCCGCCCGGGTGCGGCTGACAAGTTGAACGACGCCCTAGAAGCCCAACCCATGGCTAGCTACTTGCTAGTACATGTACCTCTCTCTACCTTGCTGCTTGTTTCGCTTGTTGAGTGGACTCGACGGGAGAAATTCGAAGCAATCAAGAAAAGCCTTGTGAATTCCTTGATGGAAGGGAACCGCGGCTTCGGTAGTCGACGCCACCTCGCTATGGGAGGACGTCAACTGGACAACCCGGCGGGATACATGTGCGTAAGAAGATGCCAAGGGAGCGAGTAACAAGGGAGACCACAGGGTCGGGCCGGGACCAAAACGTGGTGGGTGGGAGGTCAAAGAAAAAGGAAGTTTCGGAGCGTGGAAAGGTATGGAAGCCCGAGGGAATCACAAAGGTTCTCTTGGATCATGATGATAATGATGATGAATGGTGGTCAGCCAGTTTCAGATTACCGTGAGGTAGCTGGTGAGTCGACGTCCCCATGATGGATGGGCAAGATGGGCGGGTATAGGCCGGGCAGGGTGGTGTGCTACAGAGTGTCAGTCTCAAACTTCAATGTGAAAGAGCAGAAGCCAACCAGAAGGAACTGAAACCAGAGTTGAAGGCCACTGACCTCAAACATCAAACAAGCGAGCCGGGAAATTGCTGATTGGTCCAACGCTAAGCGAAAATCTCCGGATTGGGAAAGAGCCACGAGCCACGGAACAAAACAAGCGAGAGACAGGACCGCGAAGACCACGTTACACCAAAGAGCGGGAGGTTCTTTGGTGGCTTGTCTCTCAGTTGCTGTCCTCGGTCCTCAGGCTCCAGGCCCCAGGCTCCCACCCCAGAGCACCTTCCTAATGTGGTTGTGTGATCTGAGGATATTGTATAATGGTTCTGAATATTGCATACCATGTCAACTCATGTCATTACAGTCCCGCAGCAGATAGGTTATAAGGTATGGGCCTACCTCAGTCACGCCCTTGGGTCGCAGGCAGTTCAGTAATGTGATGTTGGAGATATCAATATCGGACATGCCCCGAAACGGTGGACAACAAGCGAGGTCATTCCGGTCCCCCACCTCGGTCTCCAGTCTTGGGATCTAGGATTCCCTGGGGAATCGACCATTCAATGACAGCGAGCTAGCCCCGAGCCAGCAAAGTGCCCGTCCCGTATCTGTGCTGCCGTCTTGCCGGCCAATACGTGGTGTAACATACCGTGGTAGTGTAGAACTAGACCCTCGACCCTCGAGACCCTTATAAAAGCGAATTCGAGGACAACCCTAACCCGAACAGTTAAAGTGTCCGAGGTTAACGAGGTGCTGAAAGGCAGGCCATGAACCCCCGCCAAAAGATGCGCAGAAAGCGCACAAATCAATGCATTTTGCCGCATTGCTGCCACTCGTCAAAGTTATCTGGAATAGGGCTTAGCGTCTTCCCCATTCCCTGTGACATTGCGACCTTCGACTGCAACTTTGAGGATGCTGATTTCCGGCCTGTGAACTGGTCTCCTTGTTAATGCCCACCCACCGGACATGTTCCTTCTACAGATCAGCACCTCTAACTACAAGCGCTGAAGATCATGGCATCCTGCAGTGTAGCCTCACACACAACCTCCACTACTATACAGGCATCACAACAGACCCCGGATGACAAAATGCCAAAACTGCATGATGATCTTGATGTAGGAGCCCGAGGCACATTGCACCTAGCTGGAACCAGCCTATGGTAACCGCCTCAATAAATTCCAAGAGGCCGGAGTACTTTCGGAAACAGTAGCTTCATACAAGTATTTTTCTATCCATCCAATGTACAAACCTAGCTAGTCAAGCTAGATACTAGTTCTACTGTACGAGCGGAACCTATCATTTCTACTAGTTCTGGTGTGCAGAAAATATCTCTTTTCCTTCTTCCCCGAACAAGAAGAGGATTCCATGTTGGTTTCAAATCCTGCAATTTCTATACGCTCGTCTGTTTATAAAGTCCACCTTTCGACGGATGGATGGATGGATCTCACCGACTTAGGTTCCTCGGGGTGCTTCCCCGGGGACCATTTGTCCCAAGCAGCTGCCTCTTTGGGTACAAAATAGCGAGCGAATCTGAAGGAAATATCGTCGGGTGGTGGCTGACAGCTGACAGCTCTCTAACACCATCATATCACCATTTCCAAAACTGTTGAACTGCCGATAAAATGCCGGTAGATGATCACTACCCACAGCGAGCGAGTCTAGTGATCTGAAACAATGCCATGTCAGCCACTGTTCGGTGACCACCATGTTAGATATATATAGCCACACACAACGTTTTGCAAACACACAAGAAGGGACGACACGGAAGGGAAAACGACAGACACGTGCGCTGGACCAGATGCCATGCCACAATTTTCAGTTGATTCCATGAGGAGGCATTCCACAAACCGATCGCTATTACTCTCGCTTGTTTTCACCTCGCTGATGAGCAACCATTGACATCCCAATGATCCTCCCACATGCGGGAATTCCACTAGTCTAGTACTGCGTCTCGCCAGAAAAACCAGGACCGCTAGACAGCAGCACATACGGAGCCAGTCCCCGCCCCGCCCCGCTGCTGCTGCTGCTGCCGCCGCCACCACCGAAAAGTCTCCGGGGCCGGCCTATGCCTCCACTGCCCCGCCTCTCCGGTTTCCCGATTTCTCAAGCATCGGTGGAAGCAGGCTTCTCCTCCTCCTTAGTATCTTTAGGCGGTCTCCTCCTTGGCCTCCTTGGCCGACTCCGGCTTCTTCTCATCCTGCTGCTGCTGCTGCTGCTCCTTCTGCTCCTGCGCCTCCTTCTCCTTCTTCTCCTGCTTCTCCTTGTTCTTTTGCCCAACCGACGTGATGCCAGCCGCTTGGTTGTATAGCTCCGTCATGTTGTATTTCTTCAGCTCATCCCAATCGCCGTCCACGACACTCATTCCGCAGACGGTCTGTTGTTTCCCGTAAAAGGTCAGCATTAGCAGATGGTTCACCACCAAAAAAGGTACCTCAAAAATCAGGGGGGAATCAAACTCTCTCTCTGTCTTACCTGGAAAATATCCACCAAAATGACCTTGTCCGGATTCGTAAGATTGACCTTGTGACGCTCATCGTTGATAAGACCGGCAATGGTGTTGATGACCACGTCTCGCTTGAGGTTACTGTGGTTGCGAAGCGTAGGCCGGATGGCGTACGTGTAGGGCTTATACTCCCTCTTCTTGTCCTCGCCCTCGCCCTCCTTGTTCTCCTCTGACGCCGCAGCCTCCGCACCATCGTCTCCTTCTGCTGACTTCTCGCCGTCGCTCTTTTTCCCGCTCAAGTCAAAGTGCTCCTCCAGAACCTGCCTAGCCGTCTCAGCCAGCCCTTGCTCTGTTGCTTTACCCATGACGCTCATGGGCGTCAACCGATTGAGATAGCGGCACTTGATCTTCCTGATGTCGATGCACTCCTTGGTGTCGACGACTATCCTCTTAACGAACTCGACCGGCTCGATGGGCGTCTTTGTGCGCACGAACAGGAGACAGTCGATGTTGAGCTTCATGGCCTTGAGCAGCGCCTTGTTGTCCTCTTCCTTCCTGACCTCGGCCGTCTTCCTCTCCTTCATTTCGCCGAGTTCTTTGGCGATGGCGGCTTCGATGTCGAGCTCGGCATCGTCGTCATCCACGGCTTTGGCTTCTTCTTTGCTGGCCGGCTTGATGCCGTACATGCTCTCGATGTACTCTTCAAAGAGGCTGATGACTTCCCGTGCCGCCTTGTTCTCCTGGTGGCGTGCGCACGTCACCCAGATGCCGCGGTCGCCAACCTGGGGAACCGAGTTGCGCTCGAGGGCGAGCTTGTTCGCTTGGTTGGGTGTTGTCCATTTGCCGCCGCTGCCAGTCTGTTTGGTCTGTGTGTTAGACATCACGTAGCTGGCCTAGGTGAAGAAGCTGGAGGAGGGAAGGGAGAAGGCTAGAAAGGTGCTAATTTGTGAAGTTTTTGGTCATGTCCTTGACACCCCAAATATCCATGGCGCGAGAGCAACCGTGAGACAATCGGTCAAAGTAATCCCATGAATGTTTGAGACTCTCCCACTGCGGAAAATCCGTGATGCATGATCAATCAACTTGAAAGTAGATTAAAGAACATACAGTGTTCTTCAAAATTCTGTGTGAATTCGTGGCCGATGGATCATTGGGGACTGAATACCTTCTTCTTCTTCTTCTGGCCTTCAGCACCGCCCGGAGCAGCCTTTCTTTTGCCCTTGTCACCTCCCATTTTGTTGTTTTTCTTTTTCTTGCAGACTCGGATATTCGTTGAGAATTTCGGAATCCTCTTCTGGCGGATTTTCTTCTCTGAAGCTAGTTGATCGGAACTTCGGTTTCCTTCCATCGCTGATATTAGTTTGTGATAGACAAGGGAGGATGGGGTGTGTGTGATAAGCAGTGCATGTTGACCAGGAATGCACTGGCATTTCTGGTAGCGACAATGTGAACAACAACCAAAGATAAAACTGGAACACTACCTGGTATGAAAGTACAGCGCCAAACGGCAAGTGCGATGGGCGATTGTGGAATAAGCTGAGTGGTGACTACGCGGCGCGTGTTCACATGAAAGTTACGATCGAGTGAAACAGGCAGAGAATATTTTGTAATGGTGTTTTTTACTCGTACATACAACCCTGCCAGGTACGCCAGGTCACGTGGGGCCCCAAACAGCCCCTTTTCCGACTTGTCTCGGCATGTCGACGCTCGCAAAAGTCCACTCAATGAGTGTAGACATGTTGAACCGAGTGAATGGGTGAACTCCCTGAGAAGTACGGAGACGGATACTACTTAGGGTTATCACGGGACAGAAGCAGATCAAGAATATTCTCAAAGTTCTTTCATTGTTCCTTTTCCTTGCCTCCTGCCCCTTCTGCTATCTGGTCCTATCCTATCCTATTCCTTTGATTTTCGTGAGTTGTGATAACTGTTTCGTTCCCCATAAAGACAGAAAACGCCATGCTATGTTCTTAGTCTACAATACAAAAACACACATAAGGTCATGTAGAGTAGCGGTGATAGTTCGTTACAAAAAACCAAACCTCCATCCGTAAAACCCGATCTCTTTCATCTTCTTTTCCATCCTTGATATTCTAATCTGCTTCCTTTAGTTATTCACGCACCTCGTGCCATGCAGCATGTCTTCTCTGTCTTCATGTTGGGTGTTTATCTTTTGGAGGCCCTGCATGGTTTCATTCCCCAGTCTTTCTCCCCTCATGTCCAATTCTTCTCAATTCTCACGACCTTCTCTTCTTAGCCGAGTTCAATACAAATCACCATAGTTGATCATTGGTACTTCAACAAACGACCATCTTTACCCTCCACATACTCCACCCCAAGCATCTGCGTGGAAAACGCGCAGAAACGATCCTTAATGGCCACGACCTCGTACGCACCCTCCTGGCTGGCCTTAATGACCTTGCTATACTCGTCGCTGATCTCGTGCTTCGTCTCCAGGACCGTCGCGCGCTCGCCCTTCTTCTTGGGGTTGGTGCTGCGAGTGTACGTGAACTCGAACGGCGGAGTACCGTAGAACTCGAAATGGAGCTCGACCTCACCGCCCTCGTGAATGTCGGTCTGCACCTGCTTGCCCTTGGAGATACGGGCCGCGGGGAGAGGGTGAATCGTCTTGGAGAAGTTGACGGGAGCGCGACACTCGGATGCCCGGTCACTAACCGAGGTAATCGTAAACTCACCGGGGTGCTCGGCGATACGGCGGAAAGTCGTGGTGGGAGATTTGGCCCTGGACTCCTCGCCGTTGAAGGTATACCAAACTTCGAAGGGGGTGGCACCAGCAAGGGAGTACCCGAGACGTTCGCCGACGCAGTAGTCGGTGCGAGTCTCGAGAGGATAGATGGTGGGCGCCTCGAAGAGCTGGATCTGAACCGAGTGGGCCTTGCCATCGGGAGTGTCTCTGTGGGCGGAAGTGTAATCGGAGATAGAATGGCAGCCGCTGCCATCGCGAACGCTGCGGATGCGAATCGTTTGGGTTCCGAGACGCAGCTGGTGACGCGGGATCTGGATCTCGTACGAGTTCGAGTTGATAGCAGGTGTACGGTACACTTCCGGAATTGGGCTGCTTTGGTGTCTGATTTCGAACTCTAGGTTGAAAGGCGGGACGCCGTTGAGAGCAATGGGGATCGACTCAGATTCGCCTTGGTCTGTCTTGCAGTACTTGAAGGTCTGTCCGGGCTTAACGAAGGCAGCAGTGGGTTTTTGATTAACCTTCTGCTTAACAATGACGGACTTGAAAGTCCGGTCATTGTTGTAGAGGTTGTCCGATAGCGAGTTGAACGTGTACGTGTATTGGCCCGCCCTGGAGGTATCTGCCGAGACAGAACCCTTGCCGAGGGCAGCTTCGAAGTCTTTCCTACTGATGGAAGCTGGCCCAGACGCAGGCTGGTGGCGGATCTGGTACTCGACATGGAAGGGAGGTGTTCCTGGGAAATGTTAGTAGGTTGCAAGGAAATAGAGAAAGGTGCCTAATGGGGTGACTTGTAGTGGACTTACCTTTGAGTGCAACTTCAAATCCAGACACGTCACCCTCACAGACATCGCTCACAACAAAGCTGTTGGTGCCCTCAGGTTGAACGTGCGCAGATTGGACAATGGCGAGCTCTGGACGAGCGAACCAGTTGACTTCGAAAGATGATGCCTTCGGATCAACAATGCCGTGGCACTGACGATCCCAAACATCCGTGATCTGGAAGATGCCCTTGGTGCGAACATCGAGGAAATCATTGTCGTTCTTGATCGTCTTTTCCAGAACCCTGGGGGCGTTTGTCGAGGTGTCATTAACATTGCTGTAGAAAACCTTCCATGGGCCCTCTCCAGTGAGGCGAAGCGGTAGCTTGACCGTGGAGCCCTCGACTGCCATTGTCCTGCGCTTGGCATCGATAAGACCAAACGCTGCCCTGGGGTTCTGGCGGCGCACCGAGATCTTGACCTCGTCCTGCAAGAAGTTACGGCACGCTCTCTTGTCCTGGACGCTTGTCAACGCCAGGGTGTACTCGCCGCCCTTAGCAAGGGAGCCCGTCTTGATCTGATACTTGTTCGTCTGGATATCTTTGACCTTGTGCTGCTTTCTCTTGCCGTCATGGATAACCTCCCATTCCAGCGTAAATGGTGCGTCGCCCTGAAGCAACACATCCACCGAGACATCGTCGTTAAGACAAGCGGCCATATTACCAGTGCTGTGCATGATGTTGGCAGAAGCTGCGGGCTTGACATCTTGTTCGAGCATATACTCGGGCCCACTGAGCTTTTGAGGTTCGTAGATGGCGTCGCCAATGTGGGTGAACACATACTTGTGATGGCCGGCGATTCTAGGAATGAGCTCTTGCTGGAAGCGCAGGCCATTAACCTTGATACGCTCGACCGAACGCTGCCCATTGGAAATGACCTCGTATCTGACGTTGAAGGGCGGGGTACCAATGAGGTCCATGTCAACGCGCAATCCAATGGAGTTTCCAGCGCAAGTATCGGGAATCTCATCTGAGCGAAGCGTAAGCTTGGGCTCAAGAGGGTTCAGTAGCAAGCAAGAAGACGGCTCCTGAACCTCTCCCTCGCATTGGCCGGCAACAACCGACTTGATAGTATACAAGCCGGGTGTAGTGAGTCTGGGCCGGTCCCTGGCATTCTTAGCGTCGTAGGTACCCATAGAAACGACATCACCATGGTCACCGCTCTTGGTAAGGGTATCAATCGGCGAGAACTGCCAGTTGATGGTATGTGTAGTGTCGTCAGGTACGGGCCCAGGAAGCTCATATCTGACGGGAAGATCCTTGGAACCGCCCCTAGCAACCTTGAGTGGGTTTCTCACATCGCACCCTTCGAGACGAACGCGCGGTCGCTCCTTGACATAGAGATTATGCACCAAATGCTTTGGCTTTGTCTTGGGATCCAAGTCGTCGGCATGGCCGGTGTACCTAACAACGTTACCGAACGCATCATGGACCTCATCGACGGAATACTGCCAAGCTCCGCCAGCGTTCATGGATTCATTGAGGCTAACGGGAACCCGCTGGGCACGAGCCCAGGAGACATCATCATCCTCTACGAGTCTCTCAAGACTGCGCGAAGCACCGAGGAGCGGAGAGGAGAAGCCCTCCGGCTGCAAGCTCTGGACATTGAAGCTGTGGTCCTTGCCGTTGATGGTGCGGCTATAGATGACCTTCAGTGGCGGCGTGCCATCAACCAAGAGGCTGAGATCAGACAAATCGCCGATACAACGGTTTGGCGAAGGGACTACCCCCACGCTAGCGCGAGGGCAGGGAACCACAAAGGTCAAGGGAGTCCTGCGATGGACTTCGAGCTTATACTCGTCAAGAGCCTTGCCCAACCGGTAGGCACCGGGCTTCTTGACGGGAAAGTTGTACTTAACAGTGAAGATCTCATCATCGGCGTTCCTCTTGACCTCATTCTTGATTTCCTTGAGCTGGCTTCTGGTCAACTTGAGGACTTCGTGTTCGTTGGTTTCGAGGTCGGTACGGATGATCTCGACATCGATGGGAGTCGTCGCGTTGAAGAACAGAGGGATCGAGGCAAACTTGGTGTCCCCTCCGATGCAGTACGGGGTGTTTTCGGGGTTGAGCACCACGGAACTGGTAAATGGTCAGCTTTGCTCTGCTTTGTCACACGCGGCGTATGCACTTGACTTACCCTTCTGGAAGAATATTGATGATCTGCCTACCCATGAGGAGAGAGTGGTTGTAGAGGATGCTAGACACCTTGACTTGGTGCTCGGTAATCGCAAGCTCTCGGTCGTAGAAGACTTTGACAAATCCGAACAGCCATGTTTGCCATGGGAGGCCGATGTTGAACATGAGCATCCAGTCAACCAGAGCGTGAGCCACAAAGGCGAAAACGACGAAAGACTGTGATAGTTCCAGCCATGGTATCCTAAGCTCTGGCAGGCCGAAGAGGAAGATGAGGTCTAGGGCGATCCACTTGAGGAACAACCAGAAAGACTCGGTGTTTTCTTCCACCACTTGGGTCCAGTCGTACAGCTTCCACGCAAAAAGAGCCGCGTATATGGCCACAGCATAGAGGCGCTGTGTGGGCGCATCGATAACGTGAAGCGGGATCACAGGCCCCGGGCCTGTTGGTGCCGGCGCATTTCTTTGGGGAGCGACGGGCAGGGCATTGGGTGTTGCTGTCCGGGCGCGATTCGCGGGAGGAGCTTCGGGTCGTCTTGGTCCGGCCATGGGAAAGCCGCCTAAAGAGTCCCTGGCTACCATGGCATGCCGAGTCTACGCAGGCTTGACGGCTTCGAGGCCGATGAGGTGGTGTTTAAGAGGTCGAATGTATACCAGCGAGGGTGTGGCTCGGGCTGATCAGTACTTGTTGGGTATGCCTGGGTGGGTGGCGGCCACAAGGCACAGCAAGGTGCACGTTGTGGTTGTCGTCGTGATTGTCGTGGTCGTCGTCGTGATTGTCGTGGTCGTCGTCGTGGCTACCGTCGTCGTCGTCGTCGTTATCGGGTCGCCAAAGGGCCGGCGGATGATCCACGGGGAGGATGCGTGATGTTTAAGGCCTCAGTCGTTGGTCGTGGTGTGTTGAGATGCGGCATCAATAACCGGCCTTCTCTTCCTCTTTTGGCTGAGGTTGTGGTGTTCTGTTTGCGGGCAGGCAGAGCTGGGCCTAAAAATTCACAGCACTCTCAACAGTCACGTCAAAGACGCGGTTCCCTTGTGGTCTTGAGGTTTGCAGTCGCTGCTCACTGCACACAGCGCTAGCTGCTAGCGTGTGCCAATGGCCGGGCCTTTGCTGTTTAGACGACCATAATTGGAGGAGACAAGGCAAATGACCCACAATTAGTTGAGACCCAGCGGGAAACTTCCCCACTTGCCGCTATCTTTTTATGGTTGGTCAGTGCTCGTCTGAAGCTTCCCGTGCTGCTTCAAGCTGTCAGATAGTGCAGTACGTACTTTCTGTAGGTCCCATCCCCGCCATCCTGAGGGAAGTAAACAACCTTAAGAGGTCTAACAACATCAAGCTCACCATGTCAGATAGGCTACATTTATAGAGAACTCTTAGTACGTAACATCGCGCGTAATCTGGAGCTCGAGATGTATCTGGGAGTTAATGCTCAGCATGCTCTTTTACAACCCTGTTGCACAAGTGTTTGCTGCAGGAGTGGTGGTCTCCGTGTACCTCCCCGTCTAGCAGCTGCTCAAGCGTCTACGTGCGCCTCACTGCGACATGGAACACTTACACGTTATTACATGAAGCAACATGTGGCCGACAACCTGACCTCTATGGTCATCGTTCTTTCTTTCCAGCATCACCATCGTGTCACTCGCTAACCGCATCAACTCGTCAATACACCTGCCGCTCATCAGTCCGCCAATCCAATTTTTCAAATCGTTTGTTCAAAGTCTCAAGGATTATCGGACTGAACACAAGCGAGTTTCTTGAGTGGTGTATTCACTTGTAACATTCCGGCGCACTCTCTCTCCTCTTTATGCTTTGGAGCCATCAACTCCCATTCGGGTTTAGAATCAACCTTATTCATCCTTTGAATTTGCGGGCGAACAACATAAGCAGCCTCCGAAAACTCGGGATTCTCTGTTACATGCGCGGCATGCCTTATCCAGAGTCTCAAAAGTCAACAAACAAGATCGCGCGGTACACTCTCTAGTTGTCAGAACGGCGGTAGTCTGTGAGACCAAAGCTAGGAAAGACAAGCTGCTTCGCCTGAATCCTCTCCTATCCCTCAGCATCCGTTGCTGAGCTTGATCGGTTCATTATCTGTCCGATTCATCAAGTTCAGCTTACGATACATCATTCCCAAAATGGAACCAAACAGTGAGCCGGCAGCAATCCGTCGCTCAGGGCGTGCCCGCAGGCCAAACACGAGATATGCGGAACTCAGCTCTAACGACGAACTCAACTCGTCCGTCAGTGTCAAGGCCAACCAGAAGAGGGCGTCGCTCGGATCGAATCACTCGGCAAAGCAGGAGGAAACACCCAATTCCGAGGAGAAATCAAAACATAAGGCGTCGCCTGAGCTAGGGGAGCAACAGACAGCTATTCAACCCCGACGAAACGCCAAGCGCAAGGCAGCGCCCGAAATCTTTGACGTACCCGTGAACGTCTTGGAGGCTTCGTTAGGACCGTGGCAAGAAAATGAGTTGACAGAGTGGCCAAGTTGGACGGACGTGGAATCTGACCCAGTCTTCTTCAATCGCATTCTCAGATTGCTCGGCATACGGGAGGCAAAAATAAGAGAGGTGTTGTCTGTTGACGAGGAATCGCTCCTCCTTCTCCCGTGAGTGTGATAGTGTCCCCCAAGTATATTGCATCAAAGTCAACAGGCACTGACTGCACGTAGGGAGCCGCTATATGGTCTAGTGTTCCTATTTCAGGTCATGAACGAGGAGGAGGAGGATCTGGAGCCCGATGAGGAGTTTGGATTATGGTTCGCTAACCAGGCAAGTCATTAATATCTCCTTGGATGACTCCCTCTGTCATCAGCTGTGGCTAACTGTGCTTGGCAGACAACCAACAATGCATGTGCGACAGTTGCTTTATTCAACATCATCATGAACGCAGAAGACCTCGCACTGGACGCCAACTTGTCCAAGTTCAAGGAGGAATCTAGACCCCTATCTCCACCCTTGCGCGGCCACCTGCTCAGTACCAGTTCGTGGATAAGGGTAGCTCATAATCATTTTGCAAGGTAACTACCCTTCCTGCCTCCAGGACGACCATAAATAGACCGCAAGCTGACGTTTAGACAGGCGTTTGGACCTCCTCAACGCAGCCCTGGCTCTCGAGAACAAGGTCGAGGAAAGCAAAAAGAAGCGGGCTAAAACCACAGCGCGCCGGAAGAAGAATCAAGAAATCGAGGATGCCTATCACTTTGTTGCATATGTGCCAAATCACCGGGACCGTAGCGTGTGGGAACTCGATGGGCTGAAGTTCAACCCTCGCTACGTCGGTATGCCACCCCTGTTCAAACGGGAAAATTCAGACAGGACGTGACTAACAGATAATGTAGGAAAATTCGAGGAAGGTGCGCACTGGACGAGTATAGTCCAGCCTGTGATCCAGGAAAAGATGATGGAGTACGAGGACAGTCAACTGGCGTTTAGCCTCCTGGCTCTTTGCGGAGACCGTCTGGCCTCACTGCGGCGTCAACTCGCTCTCAACATCCATTACACGAAACTGCTGAATGATGCATTCGGAAAAGAGTCTGCATGGTTTAAAGAAGACGACGGCTCGTCTTCATGCAAGGACCATATCAGCAACTTCAGCGACAAGAGCAAACTGGACGAGTTCCAGCTCAGTGCCGACGAAGTTCAACTCATCATCAAGGGTTCATCGGACGGGCTTCGGTTGCAAGATAAAATACAAGTGGGTGGTATGGAAATGGCCGAGGCGCTGCTTTTTAGAACGGAGCTCCGCCAGAAGCAGGAGCAGCTTCGGTCGGGGTATTACACAGAAGTCGCGTCTGGGCCGGAGGGAGACGAGGACGGTGATTCTCAGGATGAAGATCCCGGACGAAGGAAAGACCACACACCAGCCATCCATGAATGGGTAACCAAGCTTGCCGAGCGTGGTATGCTGAAGGAGCTTCATGAACAGGTAAAAGCGCGAAACGGTTCATAAATGTCCCTGCGATGGACTAGTGTAGCACAACTCGTCCTCCGGGAATAGATATGGCGACGGGCCATTTCAGGGTCAAGGGCCTTTGTCGCGGCTCAAGGATCGGAATGTGGGTTTCGTTTTTGGACAAAGCCGGATAACCAACCAGCCCATTGCCAACGGTCAACTTAATATTAGTTTCGATAAAACTGAAACAGGGTCGAAAGAGATGTTGGGAGACCATGACGCGCAGGAATCGTGCCATATGGTCTCTTGATCGACGATGTTTCGATGCCTTGCAATTTGAATAAAACTTACCATTACAAGTCTGTATCAGCTGTTACCTGTGACGTAATTTTGGACAATGTCCCACGGCCGAATGAGCGATAAGGGCAGGCGGTCAAGTACTTGTAGCGACTCGTTGGGCCGGCAGAAAGGTGGCCGTTAACGGCCCAAGCACGATTCGAGAAGGCGGTCTCGAGTCGGTGGACGACCTGGTTCCCGCCAAGGTCAGATTTCGCTGGGCAGAATGACGGCATAACCCCTGCTACCAAAAGCAGGACCCTGTCATTCATCCAGACTTTCAGAGAAGCATTGACCTGCACTGCCGTAGTACTGAAGTTGTAAGAAGAGGGGAACCTCGAAACTGAAAGGCACCGTGACCAACACTTTTACCACCACCTTTCTTATCCTGGTTTTTCTGGTCACATATTCATACAATTACTTGTCCTTCCGACAAACAAACATTCACTTCTCTCTCCCTTACAAATCTCGCTTGAAAAAGGCTGTGAAAGCATCTCTCTCGTCCTTCGGTAAGCATCTCCCGTTCAGTCTCCATCTTCACATGTACGAAGAGGCAACCAAACAGCAGGCTGCATCATTTCTGTTCCCCAACTGACCAACTTTTTTTTTACCTAGACCCTCCTTGCATCCGGCAACCACCAAAAAAAGACGATAAGCGCCAGACACGACAGCAACCCATTTCTTCCATTCACAAGACCCCAAGTGAATCTTCAACTCCATCTACACAACCGCAATTATGTCGAAACGGCCGAGCGCTGCGTCGGTCGCCAATGGCGCTGCACCCCAGGATGACTCCACCTCCGCCGCTGCTGCCGAGTTCGATCGCTGTATGTTTTCCTTCCTTCCATATCCCCGGCTTTCCGCGAATCCGTCCGCTCGATATCATCTAGCACACCGTTTTCAAAAGAATCCAAAGACATCGACGCTTAATCCAGACAGGACGATAGTTGCTAACATGGCGCGTCAATCTCCAGCTCACGACAAGCAGGAAATTCTCTTCTCTACAGATGCGGGGCACTTCTCTCTGATCCGCGCGATGCACCTCGCGGATCTCATCACTGAGTTGAATGGTTAGTTTCTGTCTTTTGATATTTTCTCGGACATCCTGTCTGGTTGGGGTAGGAAGCCGGCGCTTGTGACACCGGGACCTTTCAGGCCTATAAGCGCCCAAGAGGCGAAGGTCGTCACGAACTGCGGTTTTCGGCTCCTGAAGGATGATATCAACGCATGCATAACCTCTTCACCAGTTAAGATATTATAGAATAACGCGGAAACAGAATGCTAACAGATTTTGAACTCTTCCAGGTCTTTGCGGTGTTCTCTCCCTCTTCTCCTCTCTGCGGTACTGCCTTGGCGACCCCGCCGACAAGACTAACCTCTACTACGCGCTTGCCTTCCTCCCCTTCGGCCTGTTCTTCGATTTCATGGATGGCAAGGTAGCGCGTTGGAGGAAGAAGAGCAGTATGATGGGCCAAGAGCTGGACTCGTTGGCGGATCTGGTATGTAACAATACTCCTCCCCTCCTTCAACCCCCTCCAGGACATCAACCATCTAACCCGCAACTTCTCCCAACCTGCAGATCTCCTTCGGCGTCTCCCCCGCCGTCGTTGCCTTCGCCATCGGCATCCGCACTCCTCTCGACCATCTCTGCCTCGGCTTCTTCATCCTCTGCGGCCTCACCCGCCTCGCCCGCTTCAACGTGACCGCGACCGCCATCCCAAAGGACGCCAACGGCAAGGCCGCCTATTTCGAGGGCACGCCCATCCCCACGACGCTCGGTCTGGACGCCATCATGGCTTACTGGGTGTCGCAAAGCTGGATCCATGACTCGCTTCCCTGGGGTACCATGTTCCAGGGCACCGTGCTCGAGTTCCACCCGATTGTTCTCATCTTTATGCTCCACGGATGCTTGATGACGAGCAAGACTATTCATATTCCCAAGCCCTAAGAAAAAGGAATTGCGAATCACGACGACGAGAGGGAAACGAACGAACGGGATGGGATAAGGATAAGGTGTTATGGAAAGGGCCTGGATTTCAACAAGGAAGAGGCCCTGCTACGAGTTTGGGAACGTAGGGCAAAAGGGAAAGAGAAGATCGAGACAGAGGTGGCGGAGAATCCTTCATCAGGTAGGAAGCCGAGACAAAAAGAAGAAAACACAGGGTGGAATAGGGAAACTAGCCGTGGGTCTATTGGGGGGTTTTGGGAGTTGTTGAAACGACTATCATGCCTGCTCTTTCTTCTCCCGCCATTTTCCTTTCTGGTTACTATCAGGTTAGCTGCGTTGTGGTATGTGACTGACGACTGACGAGTGTGTGCTTTTCTATTTATTTCGAATACAAATACCCTCTACTTTTGCGCACTGCGTACTCCGTTCACGCGGGATTCGTACGTCCTACCCACAGTGTTGTGACCTACGCAAAGATACACAATGTGCGCCTGAAAAAAAAAACCACCAAACCATCTAAAACATCAAAGAGTCGATAATTTTGAATAAAGATGATCGCCTCTTTCTCTACCTTTCTGTAACAAGCATATGCTAGACTAAATGCTCCGACTATAACCCATACTCCGACTTGCTCCCAACATGAACTTTTGGATATTTATTTTCCTTTACACAATATGTACTTTTTTCTTTCCTTAAGTTTATTGACTTGAAAATTTAAGCCTTGACCTCCTCAGCCGCAGCCTCCGCCTTCTTCTCCTCCTCCTTCTTGGGGTTGTGGGCGGGGAAAGGGTTGTACATGCCGCGATCGGCCTTGAGCGCGCGAAGCTTGTCGACGGCCTCCGAGAGAGGGTAGGGCACGTCACGGGCCTGGGTGGAGGTGTCGTCACGGTAACGGATGTTGACCTTGCGGTTGGTCTTCTCGTCGTCGCCGACGACGAAGATGAAGTTGTCTGTCGTTGTGCGATTAGCAGGTGTAATAATTGCGCGAAAAGGGGTACGGAACCCGGGAGTGGATGGAACTTACATTGAGCGAGCTGAGCGGAACGAATCTTCTTCTGGAGAGTGTTGCCAGAGCTGTCGACATCTGTTGTGGTTTGGTGTCAGTGACTATCCAAAGGGAGTGATGAAGGGATGGATGTTGTGAGGGGCAACATACCGACGTGGATCTTCTCCTTCTTGAGGGTCAAAGCAACCTCCTTGGCGTAATCAAGGAAGCCCATGCCGACGGGGATGACCATAACCTGGCGGGGCGACATCCAGAAGGGCCACTTGCCAGCAAAGTGCTCGGCAAGAATGGCAGTGAAGCGCTCGATGGAACCAGCCATGGCACGGTGAATCATGACGGGACGGGCGCATCCGGGGGCAAGGGGCTTCTTAACAAGAAGAGGCTTCTTCTTCTTGTCCTCACCCTCTTTGGGGGCCTCCTCCTCCTTAGGAGCCTCAGGCTCGGGAGCTTTGGGGGCGAGCTTGCTCTCATCCTGCTTGGCCTGGGTCTCAGCGGTCATGTACTCGAGAGAGAAGTTGATAGGCTGTTGGAAGTCGAGCTGAATGGTGGCGCACTGCCAGGGGCGGTTGAGGCAGTCCAAAACAGCAATGTCGATCTTGGGGCCGTAGAAAGCACCATCGCCCTCGTTCAGCTCCCAGGTGCCACCAGTAGAAGCGGTGAACTCGTTGAGCGCCTCCTTGAGGCGAGCCTCGGCGCGGTCCCAGGTCTCGATCTCACCCATGTACTTCTCAGGGCGAGTAGAGAGCTTCAGCTTGAAGGTGAGGCCGAGCATGCCGTAGAAGGACTTCATGAAGTCGAAGAGATCGGCGACCTCGGCCTTGATCTGATCCTCACGGCAGAAGATATGGGCGTCGTCCTGCTGGAATCTGCGCACACGGGTGAGGCCGGAGAGAGCACCACTGGCCTCGTTTCTGTGGAGGACACCGAAATCAGCGAGCCTGAGGGGGAGCTCCTTGTGGCTGCGGTCACGGTGACGGAACATCATGGCGTGGGCAGGGCAGTTCATGGGCTTGAGACCGAACTGCTCCTTGTCAACGTCGAGGATGAACATGTCATCCTTGTAGTGGGCCAAGTGGCCGGACTGCTCCCAAAGGGAGGTGTTGAACATGTTGGGGGTCATGACCTCGTCGTAACCGCGCTTCCAGTACTCCTCCTTGATGTATTCCATAATGGCGTTGTTGATGCGCATACCGTGGGGCAACCACATGGCGGAACCGGGAGAGCACTCCTCGAAGTAGAAGAGCTCCTGCTGCTTGCCAATGAGGCGGTGATCACGCTTGGCAGCCTCCTCAAGGAACTTCTTGTGAGCGGCCATCTGCTTCTTATCGGGGAAAGAGACACCATAGATACGCTGGAGAGAGTCGTTGTTGGCGTCGCCAAGGAAGTAGGAAGAAGAGTTCTTCATGATGGCGAAAGCCTCGATTCTGCTGGTGTCGGGGACGTGAGGACCGCGGCAGAGATCGATAAGGGGGCCGTTACGGTAGACGGTGGTTCTGGTGCCGTCGGGGATCTTGTCCTTGATGATGTGCTGCTTGTATGGGTTGTAGGCGAACATCTTGAGCAGATCCTCCTTGCTCATCTCCAGTCTCTGGAAAGGCTGCTTCTCCTTGACGATCTTGGTGACAATGTTCTCGAGGGGCGCCCAATCGCTAGACTGAACGGCGGCACCGCCGGGAAGAGCCATTTCGTAGTAGAAGCCGTTGTCGACGGGGGGACCAATGCAGAGAGAGCAGCCGAACCTGCGCTCGCAGGCCTCACCGAGGACGTGGGCACTCGAGTGCCAGAAGACGAACTTGCCCTGGTCATCGTTGAAGTCGAGGAGTTCGAGCTTGCAGCTCTTCTCGAGAGGGCGCTCGAGATCCCATAGTGTCTCTCCGTCGATCCTGGCGACAACGGTGCGCTTGAAGAGGGAGTTGGAAATGCTCTTGGCAATCTCGGCGGGGGTGGTCTCGTAGGCCTTGCCGGCCTTGGTGCTGCCGTCGGGCATGGTGATAAGGATGTCATCGTGGGGGCGCTTGGCCAGCTCCTCCTGCTGCTCCTTGTAGAGTCTGTCGAAGAGGTCGAGACGCTCCTGGATGAAGGCAGGAGGAGGGTTCATCTCAAGAGGGCCGGCATCGCCGCCAGCGGCGGGGGCAGCCTTCTCCTTCTTCTGCTTCTTCTCCTTCTGGGGCTTGTCGCCGCCAATGGCGACCTTCTTGAGGGTCTCGGTGACCTTTTCGGTAACCTGCTCCATGTTGAAATGTGTCGATAGAACCTCGGGGGTGTTCGGTGGTATGCGACTGAAGGGTTCCTACAGATAACAATATCGCGGGTTCTGTCAGAGACCCGGGGCCGTGACTCACTTGGACGTGTACTGTGTATGGTCGCAAGGCTTTGGAGCAACTTGTAGAGGGACGGAAGGCCGGGAAGGAGGGGTTAGGTACGGGACGCACTGGATGGGACTTTACTCACAACTCTGAGACACGACAGCACAGAAGGGAACGTCTGGACCGGAACGAAGGCGGCGCAAAGAGACACCGCAAGGGGAAATTTCAGGACACTTTTACCCCGCGGTCCAGATCAATTGGGGGCAAAAGTGGGGCTCTTAAGCGTGCCGGCGTGTCACTCTTGCTGCACGAGCGAGCACGAGGTGGAAGCCGCATATCAAAACCCAACACAGTCACGACCGACACGGACAGCGGGCATGGCAAGGGCGGCCCAGACAGTGCAGCAAGAGCAGACAGCAAGTGAGACACTCCAATGTTTGAACATTGAACGAACACCTGCGGACACAAGCATCTGTGCGTGTTAAGGTGCATAACAGCTGACGCTCGGGCCATATTACATCCAAGCCGTCGTGCCGTCCCAACTTTTGGCACCTTACGGACCAAATGCCTGCCTGACCTCGCGCTACGACGATAATAAAGCCAAATTATTCGATAAGGTGCCGTCATTCGGATTCCAGGTACCGAGACGCCTCCCATCTTAAGTTTTTGTTTTTACCACTAATATGACGCCGGGGCAGAGAGAGGAACGGAAAGGATGACATATTGATTTTTCAACCTCATTCCGGCACACGGAGAAAAAGAAAAAGTCTCCTCCTTCCCTTCTTGCTTCCGCTTTGCTTCTGCGTTCCCGTTAACGTCCCTCTTCCCTGTGCCGATCTGCCCCAGCAGCACATCATTGAATTTCCCCTCGACAGAGTCTCGACTCTCGACCCCCAATCCCAGAGCTGAGCTCTTTCTCCATACCTCTGACGTTCTAAACAAATCAGCTCCCGACAACTCGGACGTCCAGGATCCGGACCGGGAGTTGCAAGACGCGCAAATATATTGGCGACTAACACACCTTGGGTGTGTACATGGAGAGCCGCGCCATGACGTCCTCGTCACTGGATTGCTTCCCCGATGAGCTCATCCGTCACATCCTTCTATATGTCTCGCCCGAGGACAACGTCCTGAACATCCAGTCGGTCTCGCGTCGTTTCTACCACGTTGCCAACGAACCGCTGCTATGGCGATATCTTTGCCGAAACTCGTTTACTTTCTGGAAACCTGAACACTACTTCTTTGCGAAACTATCGGACCCGAGACCAACTACTATCGAGTGGAAGAAGCTATGGCTCCGAAGAAAGAGGCAAAATCACTTGATCAAACGCCTTCTGGACGAGATCCTCACGACGAGATATCGCCAGCTAAGGAACCTGCAGCGCATCTGTCAGTTCGGTTACACGCCAAAGACTTTTCTTTTGGAGCAGTGTCACGCCGATGAATCCCATGATGACGTTTTGGCCAGAAGGTACGAGGCAGCTCTCTTGTGGCAAGGCAGCTTGGCTTTTAAAGTACACTGCAGTCAAGGGTCTTATGTATCAGTCGATCCCCTCTGATGGTGGCTTTACAATTACTCTCGACCCAAGCGGGACACCTCCCTAGATCCAAAGATCGTTCGGTTACTCTAACGCTCATCCAGGTACTATGCAAATTCGGCCTTGGACAGCATCCACAGGGGCATGGCTGTAGAGGTCTGGTCCAAGTGCTATGAAACAGGAACCGATCCGTACTCAGGGCTCGATCGTGCTCTCGGCGCATTCGACATGTTTGTTTTACACGACCAGCCCCAAGACCTTGAATACGTATGTTGAACGCCCATCTCCCACGACCAAGCCTGTTAGCTTACAAATTTGCGGCAGATATTGAGCACACTAGACGAGCTCGCCCATAGATTCACGCAAGAGCACCCAGAACACGAGATCATGTCAACAAGGCAGAAGGCTTTAGCCTTAAACCGATGGCTGAGAGCCCAGAATCTGATGGGGATGGAGGCCGAGACCGTCAACTACCACAACCTGAGGAATTGCCTTCTAGGCCACGCCCTATCCGATGACGAGCACCCGTCGCTTCCCATAATTTCGAGCGCTATATTTGCTTCGGTTGCCGAACGCCTTGGCATGTCAAGCGCATGTTGTGCATTCCCGAGTCACGTCCACGCGTCTGTGAAGGCCCCTCCTGGTATGACCCTGGATGGTGATGTGGTACAGGATCCCAAAGCCGAACCAGAGACCATGTATCTGAACCCGTACAAGTGGGATGGGGAGGTTACACTTGATGAGTTACGGAGGGCACTGGTTGAGTTGGGGTGGACACAAGGCTCAGAGGTGTTTCTTAGGCCGTCGCCTGTCCCTATTATCGTCCTCCGAACAGCGGCCAATATCAAAGCCGCCACCAGCCGGATTCAAAACCTCGCCGACCGACAAGGGGAGCCCATCGAGGTCGAAGCGAAAAGGTTGCGGGCCGGTCATCCAGACATCAACGTGGAGGCGGCCAAGTATGCTTCGATGTGGGCGGAATTGATGGTTAAACCGGTGTCTACTCTCCACTGGGACCAGAACCTCGAAGCCTTCCTGCATTCGTTTGCCATGTCGTGGGGCGAAGACGCCTGGATCGTCCACAAATATCTTCTTCCACTGTACGAACAGTTCGTGGCATCGCCGGGGCACGCGCGCAACCGCACCGGATGGGAGAACGTTCGCGAGATCTTGAGAATGCTGGACAACCTCGACGGGAGGGAGGCAGTCGTCTCCCGTCGCTACACACAGGAGATGCAGGAGCGCGTGCGCTACAGGATCGGCCAGGTCTTCCGCCATAAAAGGTACGGATGGATTGGGATTATCAACGGCTGGGCGACTGGGTCCGCAGGCCTTCCGGTTCCGCATTACCTGGATGGTTACGAGGACGAAGTCCAGTCTCCTACGACTTCTCCTCGATCTTCGGGGGATAGGTTGCACTCGGAAGGCTTTGGTTTAAGGCCTCAGTTGGCCAGAGTGTTTTATACATGCATGTAAGTGGCGATGGCCATGTCGTCCCTCCCTTATTTCGTCTCTTTGTTTACTTGTACGCTCAATCTCCATTCTGTCAACTTCTTACTAACTACGGGTGTTATAACAGGAGTTCTAAGAGGCCCAAGGTTGACCGCTTGCGCGTGGCTCAGAATAGCATCGAGATCATCACCGATCCTGACTTGATTCCCGAGTCGCTCAAGTTCCTGGCGGGCAAGTACTTCAAGCGGTTTGACAGGGAAACCTGCACTTTTGTGTCGAACATCAAGGAATCATATCCGGACGACTAGGCTTCCGTTCGGAGGTTACTGAGGGGGTGAGAGCAGAAGGGGGAGGGGTGCAATAAGGGGCGTCAAAAGATGTGTGTGTATCATATTGTAACAAAAAGTGGTGTTTTGGTCCAATAGTTGTTTGTAGTGTAGGAATAAGGAGCCCGTAAGTGTACCCTACCCTATACAACAAAGGCAGCTGAGTTTCATTGAGGTTATATGAGCATCCTTATTTTCACACATTGCAACCTTTAGGTGTTGCCAGATCAGCTGGAGAGGGTCGATCTCTTCAGATCAAGAGTGCTGAGATCTGTGTCTTGAGTATTTATATACATATTATCATTTCATGCTTTATCTTTACGTCTGTCTACATTCGACAACATGCTTCTCTTTCCAAAGCTCTTCCCGGCCCCTCCCGGCGTGTCCTTTTCCATGGCATGAAACATTCCCACTCTGCATCCCCCCCATTTGTATTGTTTCCGTTATGTGTCATTAACCGCATTACCCTGAGGCATCTCATTTCCATCCCATCCCATCCCATTTCATCCCATTCCATGCCATGATGCCATACCGTGCCGCACCGTGCCGTGCGGTGCCAACAACCCCGATTTCAGCTGGGGGCCCCTGCTTTATTGATGATCCTCCCTTGAACGAGTGTGTGTCGTAAACGATCGTATGTGCGTTTGTCGCGTATATGTGTGTATGTACGTATGTGTATGTGTGTTGTGTGTGTCGTGTAGTGCCAAAAAGAAGGAAAAAATTGGGTATAAAGGGGGGGTATCTCTCTTTGTAAAATCAATGCGCGAAAATAATCAACCGCCCAAAAAAAAGTGAAAATCAAAAACACCGACTTGACGCAACCCGTCGTTGGTATATGGAATAAATCTCAAAGCAAACCACCTGGGGGTATCATGCACCATGATGATGATGATCATCATCATCAAAGTCAAGACTTGTCTCGTCTAGTCTCTAGTCAACGTCTTTTTGTTGACATGTATCGGCTTGTTGCAAGCTTCTCTGGGGATGGTGGATCGCCTCGAGAAGCGGACTCGCCGCTTTTGGTTAAGGTAAAGTCAACCAAGCCATGTAGGTAGGATGCTTAGGTCGGGAATTGGCGGGTGGGAAAAGAAATACCCCCATGATCCGGCCAAGTCATCCTACTGGCAAGGCTGTATATATCGCATCCGCAATCTAAGCGGGATGCGCGGGCGGTGTTCTCATACTAAGAGAATTGCGTCGCAAGAAACAAGCTCGAACGAAGAAGCCCTTTCATTTGCGATACCGTCCCGTCTCCTTGCGAACCGCCCAACCCTTGAGCGCGATGCACAGGATAACCCACGCCATCAGCAGACCGACCAAGCCCATGGTAACGGTGTACATGAACATAGCATCGAGCTGGTAGTGGATCATGCCACTGACGGTGTCGCTCGCGCTGGCCATGAAGATGATGCCACCGCTGATCAACCCAAAGGCCGTGAGGAGCTCCGTCGGCGGGCGCGAAGGGTACACGGAGCGCGGGGGCTTAAGGTAGGTGATGACATAGGTAAAACCGCGTGCGAAGGAGGCACCCGTCAACAGGTTGCCCCACTGCTTGTGCACCATGCTGGAGATCATGCTGTCCTGGGTGTGCGAGGACATCATGATGCCCAGGAGAAGGATGACCAGGGCCGGAATGGGGTTCATGCTGAAGGAGTAGGTTTCCGGCTGGCCGCGATGCTCTTCAGAATCCTCCACGTCGTGGTGGAAGTGGTGCTGGTGCTGGTGCTGGCGGAGTTCCTCTGAGGAACCGGGGAGACCGGCGGCGTCGGTGACGGTCGTGTTGAGCAGGTCGCGGATGCGGACGGATTCGATGAGCATGCCGCACAGGCCGCCGCCGATGAAGAGAACGGTGATGGAGAAGTGCTCAAGATCCTGAGGCGACCATTCGCCGCCCCAGTTGCCGAGATGCTCCAAGAAGATGTTGGTAGCGCCGTAGGTGAAAATCAAGGCACTCTCGACGAACTCGGCAGATGGACGCCATTTCTGGCCCGCCTGCTTAGGGCGCACGTTCCAAGCCCAACCAACTTCACCGAAGCAGCCGGCCCAACGTCCGAGTGTGAAAATACCCAACCAGAAGAAGATACCGCCCTTGATCCAGTGAGCAAGGCCAGAGAAAATACCGGAGCCCTCCTATAAGCACAACGAATTAGCTTCCGATTTCAGAGCCCTTGCTGCATCGCCCTTACGAAAACCCGCGTGAGGTAGAAAGGAGGCGAGTACTTACAAAGAAACGACCAAAGGTCACAATACCAGTGCACAAGGCTACGAAACCCAGGGGCAAGATAGCTCGATCAACCACGTTATACGCAAGGATCAAGACCTTCCAGAATCGATCAGAAATCTTGCCGGCAATCTTCTGAATGGTGGAAACGGCCTTGCCGGAAGCAGGAAGCATGGGTCCAAGAGGCTCGCTGCCGCTGTGGGAGTCGACATCGTAGGAATCATCGCCATCGTCATATTCCTTGTCGTGGAGGTTGACGTCGTGGAGTCGAGGAACGTCACCGGGGCTAGACGAAAGGGAAGGACTCCGCAGAGCATCGCTGGAAGGCTCGGTTCCCTGACCACTGTCGTTGGAGAATCGGTAAGCGTCGTTATCCGCGGGCTTGACATGACTGTTGTGCTCCTCAATGGCCTGGGTCGAGACGGGCATGAAGCCCTGGCGTTCCCTGCTGTTGCCATCGGATGGCTTCTTCTTAAAGACGCCTGCAACGCTCGCCAAAAGGCCAATGACGAACTGGGCCCCAACGAGCCAGGTAACAACCCATCCGAGCTTGTGGTGGGCGTTGTTAGGATACAAATCCGGTGTGCTGGCATTGTAAAAGATACCAACGATCATGCCGCCGATATTGGTGACGAGAAAGGCGAATTGGGCCAGAAGCCTATACCGCGAACGGGCAATAGAGAGCATGACACCTATAGTTCACTTTCAGTCAGCATTTTGAATGAAGCCTTCGTTTCCTCTTAGCGCGCCCACAGGGCCTGAGGGCGGTGAGTTCCTTACCAACTGGGAGTATGAAAACCCAGGCAAGAACCATCAGGGCGATGTGTGCGTAGATGGCCGTCTTGTGATCGGGGTGCGCAAAGTACGTGAGCGGGTACTCTTCCTCCGGCTTGGGCTTGTCGGCATCAGTCATCTCCATGCCGCCGTGGCCGCCATGGCCGCCCTCATCGCCGCCGTGCGCGAGAGCGGTCGGAACGAGCAGTCCCAAAACTGCGGCGCCAGCCAGCGCTGCGAGCAGCGGCCTTGTGGTAATGGACTTCATCTGGTCAAAATCGTTCTAGTCTTCAAGTCCGTACTGGGGATCCGGCTAGTCGTTATGATGAGGTCAGAGTGCAGGAGCTTGGGCTGGGTTGTCAAGATGGGATGAAGATTGGCACATTCAACTGAGTGAGGTCGGTGAGGTGGTAATAGGAAGATAGGGAGCTGGAGGTCTTCACCAGTCTACCGTGATGGATGTGATAGAAGGACAGTGTAGACAAAGGCGAGTCGAGGTGTGGCTATCAAAACATGAACAGCAAGCAGGGGGGAGAGAGGGGAGGTCCGGTGTTTATTTGAGATGTGTCGGGATCGAAAGTGAGAAAGAGACCAGCAACGAAAATACATGACGGTGACGAGGAGGATATATCTTGTCGCTCCATGGAGACACCTCGTAGAGGGGCAGGGAAGATTGTGCATGGTCAGGGTATATGGTGGAGGCCGGCGAGACAGCCCCAGGTAGGGGATCACGGATCGGGAAGGGAGGATAGCAAAAAGCTCGGCCTCCATCAACCTTCGCCGGCCCCCGCTGATTGGTAATGTCCCCCGGCCAAGAGCGACGACAAGACATTCGGTGCCATCCAAGACTTTCTTCCATTCAAAAGGTGTCGTCGAACAAAACACCACGGCATGGCGTCGAGTCAGATCTGATTCTCCATCCGAAGAGCCGGCGCCATCAGCCGACCCCGGAATCGCAACCAGCCCGTCTTCATTGTTGCTACCCGGTTGCCGTTTTGGGGAGGGTTAGTGATACACTACGGTACCTCTAATGGTGTGCGAATGGTGCCTGACGGTTCATGACGAGTCTGAGGCCGTTCCTGCCAGACGAAGGTCGCGATCGTTCTTCGGGATCACGTTCGCGCCTCCGAGCTATCCGAAGCTTCAAAGCCTTTTGGTAACAGATTGGCAAGTACGTGCCGTATTGTAAGCCGGTAAGGTAATGGCGGGCGCTGTCGCTGTCTCACTGCAGCGAGAAACGTCACAAGCACAGAGCAAGCCCGACCCACGTCGCTCGCTCCCGCCCTGGCAGTGGCCGTGGGCGCTTGTACCTGGGCAGTCACAGCAGACTGTGTGGGGCACGTCCCAGCAGAGCTCTCACGCACTGCTGCAGGCAGGCTTGGCAGGACCCACGAGGAACGAGCAGATCACGATTTGAAGATGAGTGGGGACCAGTTCCTGGGAAAGCTCACACTTCCATTACACGGCCATTCCACGGCTTTCACTCGCGCATGTGCCATCGTTAGGTTCCAGTTTCCAATGACTACAACACAGTATTTCCGATGATGGTGTAGGAGATCCGGTATCGAGAGTGCTTCGGAAGTTCATCCTATCTCCTCCATTGGTTTCAAGTTTCTTCTCGTTGTGTCACCCACGACCTCCTTCTGTTGAAGGCATTCGCTCCGATGCTTGCTATAGGTAAATCCAGGCGCGCCGTTTACCTTGATCAGCCGCAAAAGGGTTACGCGGGTCAGCCCTTTTGACCCAAGATACCGGCACCACTCGGACGAGGACGGATGGTGGCTTGCAAACCTCCGGCGACCGCGGGCTCGGCGTCAACACCGGAGGGTCACACGTAACGAGTTGTTACCCAAAGGTATTTCCCGAGTACCATTTCAACCTGCAGTCGGTTCAAGACACGTAACACAAGACAGCTATATGCCGCATGCACTGTACTGCTTATACTACCTATCCTAGTGTAGATGCTCCGGTGCGTTGGGCGCGATGATGCCATGCACTTTACGCTCGAACCACCATTCAATTTGATATCGCACAAGCTGCCCTGGACGCGTGTCATCGACGGTTTGACTGATGTTTCGGCTCTGTGAAGCTAAGCTGATCTGAGCATTCTTCATCACGTCTCATTTAGCGCAGGCTACGCTGTAGTGTAAGTGTTTCACTAAGGTAATAAACCATCGGACAGCACCGAAACGGGTTTATCTTTTGTCAACAACGGAAATGCGTTGCCGTCAAGGTGACAGTATCTACACACACGTGTAGTAGAATCGGGAAGAAGCGTCCATCTGATCATGCTGCAAAGCCATTTCAATCTTTCAATGGTTGTCATCATTCGCAAGGTCATATGGAGAGTGGGGAACGCCGTGCAGCACAAAAAGCCTCCAAGTCCCGTGGCCGCGCGTGGACAGCCATTGAGCGACAGCTAAACTCACATTACCCACCATCTTACCCAAAAAGAACCTTCGTCGCGAGACCGCCATTGGTTTTTTGATGTTTTTTTTCTTTTTTTCTCTCGATGCTGCCCTTTCAGGTTCTAGATGCCCTGCGTCTGCGCCCATTTTTGTTATTCTCGGGTCTCTCGGACAGTCGAGTCCCCCGAAGCTGTGGTCGATCGAGATCTTTCAGATCGCAGCCTTGTTAGTCGCGCACCGGTACGTACTGCTCACTCACCTGTGAAAACTTTTCACAGACCGGAGATGATGTCCCGATGCCCGAAAGTTCTCTCCCATATCTTCGCAACGGTCTCGACATTCGAGAATCCCCTCCCCAGGAGTTCGAACGTCTCCAGTTCATTTCACGAGAAATCAAACAATCTCCTTCCCCGCATTCGATCCGAACCTTTTTTCCCCTCTCACTGACATATGTCCATGACCCGGAGATATCGTTTCCTTAAATCCGCTGCTCGCCGTGAGTAGCTGTCACAGCATGGTGAACAAGATGACACTGGCTGCGGTTCTTGAAGATGATGGCCTTGTGCAACGGAACCTTCACCGGATCTCACCATCCCTGTCACTATCCTGCACGGCACTGCACTGTGACCGCTCCACCAAAGTGCTGCACACTCAGCAAGGCTACCCAACATCGCTTAGGAATCCCAACCTGCCATTTTCTTTTTTTCTTTATATCCGTTACTCGTTCACAAATCCCTTCTTTCTTGATCGTACGAAGATGGCATCTCATGATCCAGACAAGACCGTTATCATCCGATTGCAGTGTCAACCCCGCATCGATCCCTTTCGGCAAGCAAGGGATCGGGAGCTGTCACTTTGCCAGTTATGCACAACTTTGGCGATGCATAACAGATGACATACAGACGTCGGAAACGTCAAAGGGCTTATCCCATTATTTCCTTTCCATCCCATCCCGTTCACTGTCAACGACAGGGCACGAATATGTCTGCCTTTCCGTCCCGTCGAGTGTCTGCCGCTTACACATCGGACTTTGTGGGAGCCATTGTTTCCGTCAGAAAGCAGAGCACTGCATAGTAACTCCGACAGAACTGATTGGCCAGTTTGAGGATTGGTGTGGTCCCTGGATCGACGCGGTACCTGTCAAGGTGCGATATCCAGCCACATGGACACTGTCCTCTAGCGTCGTGCAATTGTTTTTCTCTTTAAATCCACCAAATCCACATGTGGGCGGACGTCACGGGACGTCGAGGAAAATTGACGAACATTCATCGAAAACAGTTTTTTTTCTCCTCCGTCCTGCGATGTGGGGACGTCCGAGATCGTGCCATGGCTCGCGCTGGGAAGTCGTGACTCCCAAAAGACATCACGACTTGGCCAAAAGCTCAGCTCAAACTTTCACATAACTGATCGACAATATATCGAGTGGTCATACATACATAGATCCGCCGGCCGTCAATCACATGCTAACAGAGTATAGTACATAGTACTGGCTTCGGGCTTCGGCACATCGTAGAAGAAGTTCAAAAAAGAAAAAGAAACAATTTGTCTTGTACGTTCTTTGTTCACTGGAATTGTAGAACACACGCGACAGCGAAGTTACGGTTCGAACGCATAAAATACACGGGAGTTTTCGGAATCCACTAACGGCCGGCCCGGAGCGGTCCTTTCATGCTCGGGGTGGGGCATCTCGGTGCGCGACGGCACGACCGGGATCCATATGGGATGAAAAAAACCACGGGAACCTTAACCGTTCATGTGGTTTAGTTGTTGCAGAAATTCGGTAAGACCGCATCGTCGGGATCCAGAGAGTAGGTACCACAAATCCCGACGAGCCAGTCTTGGATCCCGTCCTCTGTGACGGACCGACGTCGGGCGGTGTACCCCTCGTGGGAGCCCTACGTACAACAACACCATACAACAGCACATATGTATGCGCCGGATTGGCAATCGATTCGGTCGACTGTATTCTTCAAGTTAGCTACGAAATGTGCTTTCCGGTATTGACACCCGTCTAGACTCCAGCCGTCCCAGACGGGTGGTCGTCGGTTATTATCTGAGGCTCTGCTCCCGCAGCGAGAAGCGAGCTAAAGGCATCCATTCGGCTCCGTCACTGACTGACGTCACGGCACGCTAGGGCTGAAAAGAAGGATTGGTTTATTACTGTAATGCACATCACTACACTGCACTGGACTCTAACTGCACATCAACTCCATTGCACACCCACTCGTTGTAGCACGCTGAACTCCATCCACTCAGAACATCCGAGTCGCCAAAACGTGCGTTGCACGCGAGCCGCGCAGACAATTAATCGTCTCCCACACGCTCCCGCCGGTCCATCTAGGCAACGGGGTACCTATGCCTTGAATCCAGTATGTACATGTCGGGCTGGAGGGGACCGGCCCGCTTCGAACGGTTCCAGTCGACTGGATGTTGGCAATACACGCCAAGATACAAAAACAGGAACCATCTTCGTCAGGCGAACTCGGTGTTCACAAACCGGCACGGCTAGTCAATTCGGTCAAACCTTCCTGCTTGCCTGTCAAGGCAAATGGCGATCATGCATGTAGCCCAAAGAGAAGGAGCGCAATGCACATCACATTTCGCGGCTCCGGGGAGAGTGCGAAGCGACAAGCGACAGACAGCACCAGATATCCTGGCCCCAGCTTCTACCATACTACACCCATCATTGTCATTATCGTCATCACCTCACATATGATACGTACTCTCAGTCATGAACCGGCCGGCTCATCTCCCCCATGACATGACATGACATGACATGACATGACACCCAGAACCTTTTATGTCTCATAGAGCCGATCGATCAATCAGCCGCCATCGATCACCACCATCAACCGCCGTCACCTTCCCTTCCTTCCTCAGTTTATTCAGGATCTGGATCACCCCTCCCGCGGCCGGTATATGCAAGCCCTCCGGCACGCCCTGGTAGATGACCTTGACCAGTTCCATGGGCGTCCACCCCTCGCCATGGTCCTCCTTGGCAGTAAACGCACGCAGCGTCTCGATAACCTGGTCCTCCCTCTGCTGTCGATGGCGGATATACTCCCCAATCTTGGCCGGCCCGTCCTCCACCACCAGCCCGTGGCCCGGATACCCCCTTCCCCTTCCCCTTGAACAGTGTCCTCATGCGCTCGAGACTGTCCAGGTACGTGCCCAGATCCTCGTACACGGCCGTCCCGTGCCCCAGCACGTTGTCGCCCGTGAAGAGCGCGTCCTCCTCAGCCAGGTGGAGAACCATGTGGTCGACCGTGTGGCCGGGGGTGTGCACCGCTTTTAGCGTGGCGCCCTCTACGCTGAACTCCTGTCCATCTTCGATGTTAAGCAAGGGAGTGCCGATGTGCTCGAGAGACACGGGGCTGCCGTGGTGGCCTGGTAGGTAGGTGGGTTGGTTCTTGTAGACTTTGATCTCCTTGTTCCAGTCGAGCAGGTGCCGGATCCCGCCCGTGTGGTCGTGGTGCCAGTGGGTGATGATGGCGGTTGATATGTGAGCCTTTTCTTCCGTGAGCGTCCGCTGGAGGGCCGAGATCCAGGAGCGCTCGCCGGCGCCCGAGTGATGAGGAGACGTTGCGGGCCGGTGCCGACTAGGTAGGTGTTGGTTCCTTGGAGGGTGAACTTGCCGGGGTTACCGCCAAGGATCCGGATTACGGCTGGGCTGAGGCGGGTGACTTCGGGGAGGGGGGTAATTGGGGGTTTGGTTGCTGCTGATGAAGACATTGTGATCAATCTGCGGTTATGCTTGTTGTTGTCTGTGTTCAGATGTTGATATTGGGTTTTGAAAAGGCGAGGTAGCCGTGTTGTATTTGAGATTGGTGATCCTTGACACGATAAAGGTCTGGTAGAGAATCCCAGGAACAGGAAGAGAGGCGATGACATCCAGAACTAGGAGTAGTACGGGCGCCAAATGAATGACACACGGGGCGTAACGTGTGATAAAGTTAAGCAAAGACTTGGGAGTTGTAGTGACTAATGGCGACCGTGATTATGTCCGGATAAGTGACACATTGGGTGTGAAACACGGTGGGATATTTCGTTCTGGTGAGGCGGGAGTACGGCGTTGTGTAGAACTATGTAGAGAACTAACGGACTGCGGGGTACTGCCGAGCCGAGGTGTCGGCAATGATACCATCGCACACAATGAAAGTCGAGCTACCGCTCAAGCACCGAAGATCACTTGGAGGCTCGGCCAGATGAGCCGGGCTCGGAATGGATGGTTTGATGGCCGGGTGCGCTAGTTGGAAGTGCAAGTCCGGTAGCTACGGTACAAAAACGGGTGTAACCATCTGCATCTCTTCCCGATCTCTGTTGTTGATAGGTACAAAACAATGCCCTGTACCTCTGCTAAGCGGGAGAAATTGCCTACATAACTTACATAGTAGAGCCGCATCACCGGTTACAAATGTATAACCCCTACGTGGTGGACGGATGTGTTGCCAGCCTTTTGGACAATGGTCTCACCGAGAGGCCAGGATGCGTTACCATATGGCAAGAGACGAAGTCCGAAACGAAGGACTCCAAGCCAATTCCATAGACTTCATGGCTTTTCGAATGCTTGGCGTTTCGAGAGACGATGGCTTGCCTCCTGGGTTGAGGATGGTTCATGACGGAGGTTGCCTTGTCGTTGGGAACCTCTATCTTTGGGGGACTTCATTGTAGCTGCAGGCAGGGTAGGCACCTCGGTCGAGACGTAACAGGAAATAGACCAATAACAAGCAAGAGTCGCCTTGCTGCGTTAAAAGGGTTCCACCCGCTGTCCCCTTTCCCGTTATCGATAAGCATTGCGTAGCGTCTGATAAGCCATTCAAGTCGCTGCAGGGTGCAGTTGGCGTCCATTGATTGATGTTGACGCCGCGGGAATCGGATGGAGATTCTATCCCCGAACAACTTAAACAAGCCATCTTGCCAAAAAAGAGAAGCAACACAACCAGAGCAAAGCTTCTGTTATTGCCGAACCCTTACACGTTACTTTCATAAACGGTAGGATATCCCGTACAAAAATCACCAGCAAATGTTCAACAATTGAAGAAGCGCGACAGTTTGACGTGCACGCGGCTAACAAGTCAAGTATTCTAGGGCACTTAGACCGAACCGCCAGAAACCGTGCTCTTCCCCGATCAGGACGCGATTTGCCCACCTCGCCACGACGCTTACAAGCCCTCTCGACTGTATAGAAAGACCAGGCTGAAAATAGTCAATCCTTCACCATAATTCCGCCCACCATTCCGAACTACACGAGCCAAGGTCCGGGGACACCTTCTGGAGCTTCGGAGGCAACACCTGCCCTCGTTGCTAACCCGGTCACGGACCACACCAAAGACTGCGGATTCGACACATCAGCTCTGCTTCAGACACAACCAGCACAGACGAGGTTCACAGTGAGGCTTCTAGGAGCCAACGGTCACATCACCATGTCGGCCAACGCTGCGTCCTCCAAAGACCACAAGGTCAAGGAGCCCCAACCTGGCCAGCCAATGTACGGATGTGGTAAGATAACCCAGTCCTGTCCCTGCTGAATAGCCCTGTCCTAACCGGTTCATAGAGCATGTCGGACGTCTATTTAACCAAGATCAAGCGACCATCAACATGTCCATACAACATTACAAGACCATCCTGCGGGCCCTGTTCGACATCAACCCTATGGTCCCCCAAACGGCCAGGGGCATGGATGGCCTGGTTGTGACATCCCTTACCCCGACTTACCTTTGTTTACAATGTCCCTCGACCCTCACTGAAGATGACCTCTCAAAACATGGCAGCAAAAAATCACATCGCTTCTGTACGTTTGCCCTCTGTCAGCAGCCACACGGCTGGAAAAGAAAGCTGACCATTTTGTCCAGATGTTGAGTCGAGGTGTGGTGCATTGTATTGCCAAATGTGCGACGACATCGTCTGGGACCCTACCTTTGAGGATTTGAGGTTAAAGAAGCTCGGCACAGGGTCATTTTTCGGCAGTAGGTTCTCCTCTCTTTTTTCGTTGTTGCCTGCATGGGAATATACCCGGTACCGTCTCCGGTATCGATGAATCCGGTCCATTGCTGACACATATCTCCATTTCAGGCCGAAAGCGTAAACATGAAGAACTCTTCGCTCCTGACCCCGTCAAGGACGCGCCCCAGTATATATCAACCAACACCACCCTCGCCACCTGCAAGGCAAATGGTCTCCGTGGCATCTATAACGCCGGAGCAACTTGCTATCAAAACGTCGTACTCCAGTCATTTCTCCATAATCCTATATTACGCAACTTCTACCTGAGCGATGGGCATCAATCAGGCAGTTGCGACACTCCCCACTGCCTCAGTTGTGCCATGGACGATATGTTCCAGGAGTTTTATGCCAGCGAAACCACGAACGGCTACACCGCTGCCAATATTTTGTCAGGCTTCTGGATCAGTGAGAAGAAGGCTTTTGAGAACTTGGTGGCCAACAAAGAGCAAGATGCCCATGAGTTTTTCCAGTTCATGGCAGAGGAATTACACGAGAGAAATGGCGACGGCAAGAGACCTGAAATTGGCAGTGAGCATACGTGCAACTGCATCATCCACCAAACATACTACGGAAAATTACAGACGTCAACAACGTGCCAAAACTGCGGGGGCGTTACGAACCAAGCTCAGAGCTTTTTGGATCTCAGTGTTCCCTTGGAGAATTTGACGCAAAAAAGGGGCAAGAAGAACTTGGCTAATGGTGACGGACCGGCGAGGTCGCAAACCAGTGTCACTCTCCAGGAATGCCTGGACGAGGAATACATCAAGTCCGACAAGTGCGAGTATCGGTGTCAGAACTGCAATTCAGTACAGCAAGCAAGGAGACAGACCAGTATCAAGAAGTTACCCAACGTTCTGTCTATCCAGCTCAAGGTAAGATGACCGGAAGCCCTTCCTTTATTCACCCGGTGTGCCTTTTGTCAGAGGCAACAGAACAGACGCTGATAGTTACCAACAGAGGTTCGAGTTCAAACAAGGGCGTAACGACCGTGCCCAGAAAATCGAGACGCCGGTTCAATTTCCCTTACAGCTCAACATGCTGCCTTACACGACACGCGCACGAACACAGGATCTCAAGCAGGATTACGAGCTACAGCGGTCCTGCACTTACGATCTTCTTTGTGTCGTTGTGCATGTTGGTGACATGGATACCGGTCATTACATTTCTTATTGCCGTGTCGGCGAGCAGGTATGTCAGACTGACAATGGGTCACTCAAGCGTATACTTGCTAATTCACTGACACATTTAGTGGTTTGCATTCAACGACCACAAAGTTGAACTGGCCCAGAAGTCTGACGTGCTGAACGCAAAGGCCTATCTTCTTTTTTACATTGTTCGTTCTTTGTCTTGAGCCTAGACAAATGGTGTACGAGTGGCAAGTAAGGATCAAGTGTCTGATTGCAGAGGACGTTGTTTTCATTATAAAAAGTGGTGACGTGCCAGATAGCACGTTTACGTGTTGTAAAGAACTTGATCTTTCAGGGGGCATGTTCAAGGAAGCATATTCTGTCGGCGTCTCTCGGGTTTGCTTTTGTTCATAGAGCGTACATGGAGAGGAGTCAATCAGATAGATATAACTCGGGCCAAAACAGGAGGGGGACTGGATGTCTAGAACCGGTAAATGTAAAAGCATCGACTATGCATTACCTGCGAACCGTGGAATTTCAAGGTTTGATATTTATGCCCAGTTCGCCTCCCTCTGGTGGTTCTCCATGCAGTCAGGCTACGAAATCCAGCAAGGGGCTGTGGGATGGATACCTTTGAACCTTATGATCAACTCAAACTATTATACTTCCCCATAAGCAGGGCCACTGCTGCCTCTCGCCTTTTCTCGTCCCTCTTATACAGACATGCAAATTTGGGCCGTACCCCGTAAGGGTTGTGATGCGTTAATGGGTATTCATATGTATCATACGAGGCGGTATGCCTCATGCAGCGAGTCAACATCTTGCCTCTGGCTGGCCACATTCCCTTTCTAACCATTTGGATTTGTCTGTATCTCCAGGTTTACGCCATCCTTTCAAACGCCTGACGAGCTGTTTCTTCTTCACCCCGTTCGCAGATTGTCCAACCCTAACAAAATCCCAGGCCGCCTACTAAGCCCAGACATCCTGGCCCACGCCCTCGATCCAGTTACCTAGCTTGTCAACGCTGGAATCCCACTCTTGCAGCCGTTGCCTCATGTTCTCGATCTGCTTCATGTCCAGCACCTTGGGCTGCACCCAGTTGATGTGGGCCACCTCGTCGACCTGGTCGATCGTTCCCCGCAGCAGATCCAAGCTCAGCGCCTTCATGATCAGGTGCTCGATCTCGTCGGGGTGTACCTTTGTCTCGTTCGCGATCGTGGAGAAGGACATGGCGCGGTCGTGGGGCGGGCGGCGGAAGACGGCCTCGGTCAGCGCCGCCAAGTAGATCTTCTCGCGCAGCTGGCGCGTGTGCTGCGCCAGCAGCGGGTCCGAGCTGATGTGGCTGGCCAGGAGATCGTACGCGGCCAGGTCGCCGCGGTTGAAGGCGAAGAGGAGCCGGTGCAGCCACTTGTGCCGGTCGTCGATGGTGAGGGCGTCGAGGATCGGGTGCAGCAGGAGCTCGCCGAAGTTGTAGATGCTCGAGCTGACGAGGGCCGCGATGGCCAGGTTGTAGGCGCGCTGGCGCTGCTCCTCGACCGAGAGCGACTTGACGTCGATGCAGGCGAGGTAGAGGAGCGCGTTCTTATAGTAGGAGCCCGAGTCGGACTTGGCTTGGAAGTAGTTGGCGTTGGTGTCGTAGAAGGCGGCGTGAACGACCGACTCAACCGAGTCGAAGTTGTCGAGGATTCGCTCGGCCGTGTCCAGGTCCTTGCGTGCGCCGTCGAGATCCGAGAGGTCGAGCTTCACGCGGGCAACAGCGATCGTGGCGAATACATATGCATCTTGGGAGTCTTCGTGGTCGACTTTCTTGACGACGGCTTCCAAAAAGGAGAGGCGCTCCTGGTTGTCTGCAGTTTGCGCGCCCAGACATGGTTAGCGAAAGCTGCCAGAGGGAGGTTTGGAAGAGTAGGAAATGGGGGCTGTCTGCGCACCTCTACATTGTGTGGCGGCCTTGAGAGCAAGATCGACGAGCTTGAGCTGGTTGATCTTGTCGGCGAACTTGAGAATGAAGACCTTGTAGAACTGTAGCCTCTGCGGGGCACTGCCGGGGTGGTTGAAGAACTCAAGGAGCAGGTTGGTGAGCTGATGCCACAGCTTGCGCTCCCATAGTGTCTCGAATTCGAGGACGAGGGGCTGAAGTTCTTCGGGCGCCTGGTCGCGCTGTTCGGCAAGGAAATCGGAGATGGTGTCGACGTTCATGGCTGTGATGATGTGTGCTTTGGTGTTCTAGCGTTCCTTGCTGTCCAGTCCTTGGATGTAGGCAGGTTCTCGAGCGCCGGGTTTCTTGATGGGAGGGTCGGCCGAATCTGCTACGAAGGGATATCGGTGTGTTCTGAAATGGTGTTGTCGATTATCACAAAGTTCGACCGAGAAATGTAATGGGTTGTTTACGTGGAAGGACGATGGAAGGATGGAAGTTGCCGCCTGAGGTTGACGTCTTTCAGTGAAGCCTTGACGCGGCGTTAGGCGTGCAGCCAGCTACGGTCGGTCATTGTGGATGCTCCTTCAGCACTGTGGAGGCCCCCATAGTTACTGCCAAGTGGAAGCTGCCGTGGGTGAAGCTAAAAGGTACAGACGGGAGGGGTACGTACCGCCAACTGCAGTGGCAGCAGCTCCCCAATCGACCCCAATACCTACCAAACCGAAATGGTACGTACTGCCGTGTAAGTGTATAAAATCTTGGCACACGTGATTCACCAGCTCGGTTGGTACCTTGAAGGCGAGTGCTGACGGCAGGCTGGCAGCAGGCGGGCAGCTAGAACAGGCGGCTTCGACGTCCCGAGATTCGATATCGAAGACGGCAGCTTGAAGCTCCGGATAGCCTCCATTTCCATTGCCAATTGAACGGGACTCGGCCAACCCTGCCACCCCACAACCTGCAAGATGGCTCCCCTGACGGCCGCGATGCGGTCGACTCCCAAAATCATCGCCTTGAACACCTTTGCCTTTCAGCGACGGGCTATCTCGGACGTGACCATCACCCGCACTGGCAAGCCCATTATCCGTAACCAGGGTGGCCGGTAAATTGCTGCTATATATCTGTTTAGGTGGAATGGATCATGGCTAACAAGTCGTCTACCTCCACAGCTCCTCCCTCGGTGGACATACCGCGACAGTCTTCGGTGCGACGGGCCAGCTTGGTCGCTACATTGTCAACAGACTAGGTGCGATCTGACGAACTTCGAAGCGCATATCTAGAGAATCACCATGGCTTATCTCAAAACGATTCACAGCGAGACAAGGATGCACCGTCATCATTCCCTTCCGCGACGAGTACAACAAGCGCCATCTGAAAGTTACGGGTGATTTGGGCAAGGTCGTCATGATAGTGAGCTTTTCCCCACAACAAGAGTCATGTCCATACAGTCGAGGCCCACGTGCTCGCAAGGATTCAGCTACTAAGCATGACCACCTCTCCAGGAGTTCGACCTGCGCAACACCCAATCCATCGAGGAGAGCGTCAGACACTCGGATGTCGTCTACAACCTGATCGGTCGCGATTATCCGACCAAGTGAGTTTGGACTTGCTGGAAAAAGTAGTGGTGGTGATGGTGATGGACACGTGTTGACCTGGGTTTCAGGAACTTCTCGTTCGAGGACGTCCACATCGAGGGTGCTGAGCGCATCGCCGAAGCTGTCGCCAAGTACGATGTCGACCGCTTCATCCACGTCTCGTCTTACAATGCCGACCCCAAGTCGGCGTCCGAGTTCTTCGCTACCAAGGTACGATTAAAGGACAGCCTGGCCCAGCAAGTCACATCTTGATGTTTTTCTAATTGAATCTGTAGGCGCGGGGTGAGCATGTAGTCAGGAGCATTTTCCCCGAGGCCACCATTGTCCGACCGGCTCCCATGTTTGGCTTCGAGGACAGGTTGCTTCATAAGCTTGCCAGCGTCAAGAATATTCTGACATCCAACTGGATGCAAGAGAAGTACAACCCTGTTCACGTATGTCTTCTCGAACGATTCAACCGTTCACGCGCGGACAATGGCATCTAACAGCCGTTCTAGGTGATCGACGTTGGCCAGGCTCTTGAACAGATGCTCTTCGACGATAACACTGCTTCCGAGACCTTTGAACTTTACGGCCCCAAGACCTACTCTACCGCTGAGATCTCCGAGATGGTTGACCGCGAAATCTACAAGAAGCGGCGCCACGTCAATGTGCCCAAGAGGATTCTCAAGCCGATTGCTGGTGTTGTGAACAAGGCCCTCTGGTGGCCCATCATGTCTGCCGATGAGATTGAGCGTGAGTTCCACGACCAGGTCATCGATCCGTCGGCCAAGACCTTCAAGGACCTCGGCATCGAGCCTGCAGATATCGCCAATTTCACCTACCATTACTTGGTAAGTTCCATACATCTCAGTTCGGGTGGAAAAGGAAAGTTTACTGATTCCCATATAGCAAAGTTATCGCAGCAACGCCTACTACGACCTTCCTCCAGCCACCGAAAAGGAAAAGAGGGAGGACAAGGAGTATATTCACGTGCTTTAAGTTTCTTTGGGGGATACACAGGGATGCATGTAGATTGTATAAATCCACCGTAGAGCATTTGGTGAGTCGACGGAACACAGGACGTCCAGACCGGATGATGTGGTGAGAAATAGAGCAATCAAAGGTTTCGCACAAGTGTTTGAATGGCCTGGGGTGAGGTCGAAGGGTTCATCCCGACTGGGTTGTGTTGGCTTGTGATGCGACTAAAAAGGGGGACGGATGGGGAAATGTCATCAATGCATACAAGCGTGCCCACAATTTTTCTCCGATGCTGCCCTCTCCCGTTAAACTTTAATTGTTAGTGCCACGAGCAAAGCATTCTCCAAGACTTACAACATTTACTCACTGCTCATTCATACAACCGATTGAATTCGAGCCGGTCTCAAGTTATCCCGTGGTTATTTGAAGTTGCATCATATTTTGGCCGTTCTGAGAGATAAAAAATGGCGTGCATCATCGACAAGTTCTCCGATGATGAGAGTGACCTGTAAGTAATGCCTCACTACCAATAACTATATGATATGTATATTATTATGCAGGACCAATACTGACTGTCTAAAGCGAACTCTCGGGCTCAACTCTCGATGCCCTCAAGTCCTTTTACGCCGAGCGCGATGCCCGTGCCGAGCAATTCGCTAAGCTTCAGGCCGAGGCCGAGGAGAGGCATGCTTTGAACGTCAAGCTGTCCATGGATGCTTTCACCGAAGATTGGAATGAGAGTCAGTTCTGGGTGAGTTCTACATTTCCCTCTTTTGAAATCTGGCTTCTTTTCTCCGGAGGGTCCAAATAAAAAACAGTTAAAAAATCAAACCAAAAAGCAACCTGAACCGCTCTTACACTGACACAAAAACCAGTATTCGGACGAAACAGCCACCTTCCTCGCCAAACAACTCCTCGCGGGCGCCACCGAATCCACCTCCATCGCTGTCGTCTCCGCCCCCTCCGTCTTTGTCCAGCTCAAGAACATCCTCAACTCGGACTCCTGGGCGGGCATGGGCAGGCCCAAGCCCAAGCTGACCCTTCTCGAGCACGACAACCGTTTCGCCGTCTTCGCCGACGAGTTTGTCTTTTACGATTTCGCCCAGCCTTTCAAGCTCCCCGCCCACCTGAAGGGCGCCTTCGATCGGGTCATTGTCGACCCGCCCTTTCTGAGCGAGGACTGCCAGACCAAGGCCGCGTTGACGGTCAGGTGGATGCTTAAGCCCTCTGGGCCGGAGAAGATCATTGCGTGCACGGGCGAACGCATGGAGAAGCTGGTGACGGAGAAGCTGTACAAGAGCTATGGCGTGCGGACGACCACGTTCGAGCCCAAGCATGCGCGGGGGTTGAGCAATGAGTTTTATTGTTATGCTAACTTCGAGGTCGAGCCGGAGGAGGGAGCGGCGGCGGGTAATGAAACGCCCGAGGCGAAAGGGTGGACGTTGAGGGAGTTGGGGTGGAAGGGGAAGGAGGGTGGTGGTGCTGCTACTGCTCCTGCTGCTACTGCTTGAGTGAGGGTGTGGGATAATAGGCTTGAGATGGATAAATCTGAGGGTTTGTTGTAGGCGTCAGGGAATTAGGAATTGCAAAACAAAAGCACTTGTTGATTTGGTTTACGAGTAAGCCTTTTTCGAAGACCTGATCGGAAATACAAGGCCAACATTACATGACTTGGACTTTGTAGACACGTCAAGCCCCGAGAACATCGAAACCCACCTCATCGTCCATCCATGGACGTCTTGCGGATGAATAATTGCCAATCCATCACATTGAAGAAGACTCCGATACTCGCAGGGCCCTAATCCCAAGATGAAATCTGATGTATATCCCGAAAACCCCGTACCACCCCCTTTTTATTTCCCTCCAGCCCTATGTTTAGTCATACAACATCAAACATTAACAGTAAGTTATCTTTCTATATTTATCATTTCATGACACGAATCATGCCCTCCATATGCACCCATTTTATACGTTTCCCATGCTCTCTGCTCATGTACATCATATCATGTACGTAGTGGCAGTATTGCTCCTGGAACCCGTGTTATCTGTTCAAGGTCCCATCGCTGACCACCGGAGACCCCGGCAAACGGAATGCCAGCCTCGGCTGAAGAGGCGGACTGGGGGAGAACACCAAATCTGCCAAAGGTCTTCTGGTCCACGCTGACGTAATGAGGCAGTCTGCCCAAGAGGTTGAGCTTGCCTTCGATGAAGCGCAACGCCCACTCGGGAGGGGCGAGGAACTTGAGGTAGCCAAGACCGACTATTATCCGTGTTAGTGGTTTAGACTCAACAACGTAGAGGAGCGGTTGGGATCAACACTTACATCCATAACCGACAAGCAGACCAGCCAAGTGGCCGAGGAAGCTTGAGCTCGGCAGCAACGCAGCAGTAACGACCACCAGCAACAAAGGAGTGATCCAAGTAGGGATGTTGTAGGTGCTGATGGTGAAGTAAGGGTTGGTCTTGTAGGTGCGAATGGCTTCCATGCCAAGCAGCAGGAACACCCACATGCTGGCTCCCATAACTGGTGTGTTGGCGTGAAGGATGAATCTTTCGATGAAGACGTAGATCAGGCCGGGTATCGTGGCGAATGCTAAAGAAGAATGGGCGTGTTAGTTGAAGGCTGTCGGAAGTCGAGAAGTAAAGGGGTGGATATCTTACGGCCAAAGAAGAGCGCTACAGCGGTCAGAGTACCATGCTCCTGCTCAAACCTCTCGAGAAGAGGCGTGAATGCAATGATGTTGAGTACTGCGTGAAAGATGTTCAGGTGGATGAAGGGGAATGTGTTGATGCGGTATACTGTTGTCATGAGTGTTAGCTGGTGTTCGTGCAAGAAGTCTTGGTCCAAAACCGCATAACCCGCTCCAGATGATGAAGCCTCTTTCCATCCCAAAGAGCTGCCGTCTGATATCCACCCCAGGCGCATGCTTTCCGCACAAGTGAGGATTCATGGCATGGTGGTTCGCCCGTTCTCGTTGGCCTGCGCCTGTTGCTTTCTTCCCATCCCATCCCATCCCATCCCATCCTCCACAGTGATATCCTCCACCCCAGCCAGTCCCTCGCAAAACCCAAATCAAAAGACCAAGATTGGAAAAAGACCTACATGTCGCAATCCCAATTTCGTCCGGTATCAACGCTCCCCACGTCTTGACGTCCCAATCCCATGATTTTCCGACCAACGTCAGGACCCACGTCAAGACAATGATCAGCACCGTGGCTCTTGTGAAAAGCGGCAGCTTGAGGAGATAGGCACGCGTGCGCTGGGTGTTGAACGTCACGGCTGCCCCGGAGGCAGGCAGTGTTTGGGCTGCCATTGTGTGTATTCGTTTGGTATCGTGATCCGTGTAGCAGGTTCGTTCGTGGTCGGTCAAGAACCCAAGGGATAAGATGCGCCGTGGGAAGAGGGGAGTGTATTCGTCAATATTTAGACTTGTGTGAGCGCCGGTTAGAAGCGCTCTTTAATGTCCTTGGGATGGTATACAGCGTCTCGGGGACTCGAATAGTTCGTCGTGGATGATCAATCGCCGATGTTGTCCTGTCGAAAGAGGGAAAGGGTGGACGGGAGTCGGTGTTGTATGACCGCCTTATCGAGAGCAACAAGGGACCATTTGGCGTTCTCTTATCGGTCTTTGCTGCGAAATAGGTATGTAGGAGTTGATGATCCAACGTCAATGGAAGAACCAAGGAGAAAATAAAATAAAATAAAATTGACTCCTCTTCGATTGTCGGTCAGGAATAAGGTCCGACTCCAAGCTTTTGGTGAACAAACTAGTCCTGCTGAATAAAGCTGACAGGCGGGCACTCGGTGGTTCCCACGGTTCCGTCGCGGCCGTGGGGAGCGTGGTTAGGGGTCCCCGTCCGTGTCGGATAGGTCGCTGGTTCGGAAGTGGAGTGGAGGGGCCTACTTTTTCTCTCGACTGTCCCTGGCGTCTTGGCGGTGCTTTCTGTTTAACCCAGCGGCCAGTTTCCCCGTCCATGGTATTATGATCCAACTTTCGGTTCTCCCCTTCAAAGGCATGGAACTCTAGACGTGAAGGGCCCTGTTGTCAGTGATAAGTTGTGGAAAAAGTGGGGAGAATGCTGGGTGTATCTTGGGGACCGAAGAACCGTACTTCGGCAGAGCTTCAACCCGAACCACCCGTACATGGACAGGGTAAACATATCATACACTGATCAAAATAGTCGAGGCGAAGTGTTAATTAAGCCCCTGTACGTCCTTGCCCATCTCTAAAAGAGGGAGCAGGGAGTAGGGACGGCCGAGCAATCTTTTAATCCTCACTGCACCCTTTCCCATTTCTTTCTATCGCTCCTTCTTAAACCTGGTCTGGTGCCTAGCCAAGAACCCATCCACCACCACCTTGAATGAAGTACCAACATTCCAGAAATCAGAGAACAAGCAGTATGCCATTCCAAAAAATGTCCCAAGCAACGCCAAAAAGAAATCAAAAAAGTACCATCCCATATATGTCGATGGAAGTCATGTTGAATGAGAAAGAGAAGATACAAAAACCAAAAAGAAAACGTCAGCTGCAGGATTTGAACCTACGCATCCGAAGATAACAGATAGCTGAATAAGAGTATTCAAGTCTGTCGCCTTAACCACTCGGCCAAGCTGACACTGGATGTTGTTGAAAACTGGTTCTCAGCCACCGCCTATAGAGGCAAACGCAGAGTAACTTACATCAAGATGGGTATTTCTGATGCAAAATTATCGATATGTTCGATAGAATTGCGAAACGGCCACAGTGATCCAGTCTCCTTCATTGAATACATATAGCGGAAATTTCGTGCTGTACACTTTGTTCTCACTTCTCGCATTTCCTATGCTGTTACGGGTATCCCATGCTCTACTCCTCCATGCCGTTGGCGTCTGACTTGCTCTCCCACTCTGGTCATGCAACCGACCGGACTACCATTATAGATGACGGGAACGGCTTGTCTTCGGTCTGCTACGACCGATCAATCTCTCTCCAGCCATGCATGCTCCAGCCATGCCATGTTACATAGCTTCGTGGACGCAGATAAAATGGGCATGGCCTTCTCAAGGATCAGGTGCATCCAACCTTTCCCACTCCTCGGCCTATGGAATGCCGTGCTCAATGTCCGCTTGAGAGACGTCCTCTCGTCTTTGAACCTTCCTGCGATCATGCACCACGCAGCAGCCGCCAACCCGTCTGAACTTCCCACGATTCCTTCCCTTCGAAAACTCTTTCTCCTTGCGTCCCAATCACTTCCTCTCCGGCGCAGTCTCAACTATCCTTCTCTGCTCCTCGGGAGAGAAGAGCGCAGTGCCCTGCTGAAGTGCATTCACGAGCAGGTGGATGGCATCGTTCTTAAAGTCGTCGGCCGTGCGCACCTTGTCCAGATCCTCGGCAAACTCCTTGGTTGCTCGCTGGAGGTAGTATGAAGTGAACTCGGAGGAAATCTCCTGCTGGCTCTTTTGCTTGTTGTCGGACATGTTGATGGCTTTTGGGTTGGTGCTGGTGATGGTGGAATGAGACAAGGTGGTGAAAATGAACAGAGCTTGACTGATGGTAAAAGTCGAAATGAGAAGACAGAAAATCTAATAAATAGGTTAGATCAAGCTGTAGATAGTAACTTTTCTCTTCAAAACTTACGGGTCTGTTGCGGAAAGGTTTTGCGATTTATCGTTGGTGTTATTGAAGGAGGAAAATTCGGTGGCACTGCACCGGTGAAGGCAAGGTGAAGCTTCACCGTGCAAGTGCCCCACTTTTGACTTCATCAGCCGTTGGAAGACGAGACGGAACTGACAACTCGACAACCAAAACCTAACAAGATCACAGAAACATAAATCTAGAGGAAGAACCATTGTAGGAAAGGCCAAAAGCGCACAACGACCAAGGTTTCGCAAGCACTACAGGCGGATCTTCCTTCAACAAAATTCTCGCCTTCATCCTTTCTTCTTTGCTCATACCTCAGGGGCAACCTTTACTGACGACAACTTCTCCTGGTTCTTCTTCGGTCGGTGAAATGTGCGCCGAACGCGGGTATCTGGTAAGGACAGCATTGCTACGACTCTAGCCATCTTTGGCCGAGTAATTGAAGCGACAACCTAGTTGGATTGGATACCCTTGGTCAGCTATCTGTTGGTTTGATTTCGGTGGCATTCGTCCACACCCTGTGTTTGACGGACGGCCGGACGGCCGGCCCATCAACTCAAGTGTACGGATATCTCTGGATAAATTGACAGCATAGCATTCTGAACCATCAATACAACTCTGTTTCGCCTCCGCCCTCCCCCCTCCGCTTCCCGCCCTGGGAAGACTATGAATTACAAGGACTATCACGTAGATGAATGAGTATATAAGATGGCATTGCCGACGGAAAGTCCTGGGTCATCTCGCTGTTGTTTTCATGTTTTCACATTCACATGATTGTCGTCGCTCTTCCAACTTCCGATAACCACGAACATGAAACTCATTACGTCCTTCGCGCCAGTCTTCTTCTTCGGCAGTGTAATAGCAGCAGCCTCCATCTCACCACCACCTCCATATGGAAACCAGACAACACCCCCTTGCATCTTCGCCGGCTCCTCGGGCTTCGACCTCCTCCAGGTCGCCAAACGCAACAGCTCCTGCCAACACCTCGTCCTCTCCAACCTCCTCGTCCCCGCCGGCGTCACTCTCAATCTAGACAAGCTCAAACCAGGCAGTACAGTAACCTTCGTCGGCAAAACCACCTTCCCTTTCCTTTCCACGGGCTTCTCCGGCCCCCTCCTCTCCATTTCCTCCTCCTCCAATCTCACCATCCGCGGCCTCCCTTTCTCCTCACTGCACGGCAGCGGCGAACTGTACTGGGACGGGCTAGGACAAAACGGCCCCATTGCGAAACCGAAGTTTTTCCAGGTTCACAAATTGGTAAACTCGGTGATTGAGGGGATCACGATCGTGAACGCACCTGTTCATGTCTTCAGTATCAACCAGTGCAAAAATTTGACTGTGAAAGGGGTGACAATTGATAACAAGGCGGGAGATATGGAGTGGAATGCTGGCAAGGGCGGAAGAAATACGGACGCGTTTGATATCGGGGCCAGTAGTGAGGTGGTGATTGAGGGTGCGAGGGTGTGGAATCAGGATGATTGTGTTGCTGTTAATTCGGGGACAGTAAGTTCGCCTGGTTTTATTCTTCCTTCTTTGCGAGAGGAGAGTTTGGTGAAGCTCTCAAGCTGACAATGAGCTTTCGTCTACCTACCCTACCTTACCCAGAACATCACCTTCCGCAACGGTCTCTGCTCAGGAGGCCACGGTTTATCCATTGGTTCCGTTGGCGGAAGAAGCGATAACACTGTCCAGAACGTGCTGTTCGAGAACTCGGTGATTGCGAATTCAGAGAACGGTAAGCAACACACCACACCCACCTTTCCCCCTCCTCATTGGTTTTCCATCTCTTTCGCATTCGCAACAGAAACAGACAGACAGACTCTGATGCCACCCCCCCTATTTCGATTACCACCTCAGGCGCCCGAATCAAAACTAAACACTCAACCACCGGTCTCGTCTCCAACATCACGTACCGCAACGTCGTGCTGCAAAATATAACCAAGTACGGCATCGTGGTCGACCAATCCTACAGTCCTCCGACCAAGAATGCGCCGCCAACTAACGGTGTGTTTATCACGGGGTTCACACTTGTCAACGTGACGGGCAATTTGCTGCCGACTGGCACGAATATCTTTGTGAACTGTGGTGATGGTTCTTGTAAGGAATGGGAATGGAAAGGGGTTGATGTTAAAGGTGGGAAGAAGAGCTCCAAGTGCTTGAGGGTTCCGTCGGGTTCGTGGTGTTAGATGACACTGTGTCAGTTGGTAAAGTGTTTGGATGGTGCGTATGTCGCGAGGCTTTGAGAACATCTATATTCAGTTTCATGTTCCAACAGCCATGAATGAACCAAAACTGGGAAATAGTATGTACCGAGTAATGGAGTCTAATCGTAAATCCCAACAAATTCCCAAGTTGAACCATTTTAACCAGGTTCCTCAAGCTTTCTTCACCTTGTTCTCCCTAGTATCAGGCCGTCCCAAGACAGATACAACCCCCACGATCCAAGCAGGCCACCACACACACCACACCACAACAGGCGTATACGTCCCCGTGACATCCCACGCAAACGCCGCCTGTCTCAGCACCTCTCCCAACCCATACCCCACCTTTTCATCCAGACCTGGAAGCACGCTGGCAACGAACACCACCGTGGTCGGAGACAAGACATACAAAACGACCATAGACAGCCATTTGAGGGGGAGTTGGGGCAAGGGCGAACGAATGTCAGAGGAGCGCTGAAGACGCCTACGAGAAAGGCGAGCGAGAAGTTGAGGGTCGCGAGTGAGGAGAGGAACATGCCGAGCAGGAGGAGGGAGAAGGAGCGGATGAGGTGATATTGTTGGGTTGTGGTTGAGGTCGTCGAGTTGTGAAGGATGCTGGAGAGGAGGAAGGGGAGAATGGCAGAGAGGATGGTGAAGAAGATGAAGGCTGGGATTAAGGCCTGTGATCACGTTAGCACGCCAGCAACGGGCAAGGAAGAGGTGAAAAGGGGGAGACACCTACACTCTCTGAAAGGTGGTTGAACAGATAAAGAGGCACCACGCCTGCAAATTGGCAGGCTGCGACGAGGACCAAAGGAAGAAAAAGATCCCTCTCCACCGTGACGTGGGGGTTCGGCAAAGCGACCTTCCCAGCCTCCTCAGCCGTCTCGGTCTTCTCCGTGATGACCTCCCGTACCTCTGGCTGTCCGCTCTTCACCCAAAGAGCAATCGCCATAATCGTAAAGTTGGCCGCCACCAACATGGCGCTGGGCAAGTACGTGCCAATGCTGACGAAGCGCTCCTTTTGCATGAGCAGGTAGAAGAAGAAGCTCTGATGCAGGTGTTCCAGCAGGTTATTCAGACTCCTGAAGGTGCCCTCGATAACCCTTCCGATGGCCATCTCATCCTGCCAGCCGTCACCGAACGGCTGCAACGTGACCGCGTCCACATGGTACGGGATAAAACTGCTGTGCGGGCCGCTCGCCAGTCCCAGCCCCTGCTTCAGCATACCACGCAACATAGTCTGTAGCCGATCATGATAGCTATTGCTGTGCTCCCACATCTCCTGGATCGCAACGCCCATGCCCATCTGGCCGCCAGCCACATGATTAACCGAGTTGATCAAGTCGAGGTTGGGAAGCTGGCCATTGACTCCATCGTACACGATATGTACGCTCTTGAAGCGGGTTTCGCGGGCGTAGTCAAGGGCAATGGCGCCCTGCAACGCACCGCTCTTGAGGGGCAAGCTAGCGACGAGTGACGAGTCGTGGGCGTCATGGTATGCGTCGACCCAGGCCTGCGGGCCCGCGATGCTGTCGGGCGTGAAGAGGAAGATGATATCCTTGGACCAGAGCGACCAGCGCTTGAAGTAACGGGCGAGGGTGAGAACGAGGGGCACGCCGCTGCGGTTGAGTTCCCCATTGACGTTTTCCCAGGCGGCGACGAGGACAATGGCTTCGGTGGCGTCGCCGCGCGGGGCTTGGAGGATCGCGTAGATGTTCTGGCCGGAATGGGTGTTGCCGGCGGAACTGTAGGTGAAGTTTTGACGGCCAACTTTCAGACCGAGGCCTTTGGCAATCGATTCGAGTTTGTTGTTGACCCTGAATTTTGCAAGCTTATGTTAGCAAGGTTCCCCCGACCAGACCAAACCAAACGAGGGTGGCCGGTGGACGTACTCGATGTTTCCCTTGCCAGCCAGCTCGTCCGTCTCGTACTTATACGCGCGGAAGACATTCTGATCGCTGCCACCAAAGTATGTATGGACTTGGCCTGGTAATAGGGCGTTCTCGGATATGTATGTTCTTCGGGAATAGTCGTCGAGTGGAAGAAGGAAAAGCCAGACGACGCCAACGACGATGCAGAGCAGAGAGAGGTAGGGCGGGAGCTTGAGCAAGCGCGGGTCGCGCCGCAGGCTCAATGCGCTAGCTGTAAGCAATTGATTGAAAGGTCAGTGATTTTGCCAGAAGTTTCGGTTTGGAAAAAACAGACGATTGCGCAAACCGTACCTAAAAGACGTGGCATCTTGAAGCTTTGCCTGTCCACAACTACAGCCGGAAAGGAAGGCGTTGTGACAAGAAGCAGTTGACAGTCTTCCAATGTCGATGGAGCTCCCCGTGTCAACTTACCTTAGTCAGGGGTTGCCATCGAGGTACCCAGTGGAGTAATTTACAGTACTTACAGTAAGACTTCCACATGGTTACCTCAACTGCAATGCTCTATGCATATCAGGTTAGCGAAGTCCGTAAGGGTGTGTACTATGCGTCTATAAGGTAGAGACTATTCACAGCGCGATACTGTAATTTACATGACACCGAATGGAACTAATTTTACAGCACGCCTGTTCTTGCCCTACAACTGTCTATCTTTGAATCTTAAAAAAGTGACAATACCTCCATAAAAGTGCTGGCTATTACCATGGATCGCTAAAAGTACCATCCGAGAACCGACGCTTTGTAACACACAATATCTATGCAAATGCTCTGCGTCTCCTTCAAACCAATCCAGTCAAAGAAAAGAAGAACCTTGGAGTGTCGTAGTAACACTAATATCCAAATTAGTCGTACCGCGGCGGCGGCGGCCATCCCTAGTAGTAGGAGTTGATATCCGGTCCTCCCGATCCATATCCCATTCCGCCGCCTCCGCCACCTGTTGGTCTTCCGCCTTGGTGTGGTTGATTCTGATATCCTTGTTGTTGCTGCCAGCCGCCGCTGCCGCCACCACTGCCACCACCACCATACTGCTGCTGTTGCTGGTATGGTGGCGGGTGCTGGGTATTGTTGTTGTTGTTGTTCCCATTGTTGCTGTAGAACCCTCCACCACCACCGCCCTGCTGCTGTTGCATCGCTGCCGGGGCTGTAGGCGGCTGAAAAGTGTTGTTTCTCGACTGCTGCTGTTGGTGAGACGAATTCCCCTCATCCTCATAGGAGACGCCGGAGTTGTCTTTTGTCCCTAGGTCATCGAGCGACTTGTAGTGATGACCACCAGCGCCGCCACTACCACCACCCCCTCGACCACCACGACCCTTGGCACCTGGACCGCCTCCTCTTCCGCCCCTGAAATTACGTCCTTGGCCTTGACCACCTCCGCCGCGGTTGAACCTACCGCTGCCACCGCCTTGGTTACCTCCGCCACGGAAGCCTCCTCCTTGGTGGTGAGCGTTTCGACCTCCCTGTCCATATGCGCCACCCTGACCCGAGAACGCACCCGGTGCGCTTGGCCGCGACCGAAAGTCGTCTTCATGGCTGGTATGATGCCTCTTCTTCCCTCTACTTTCTCCATAGTTTCCATGGGAATCCTCAGGCTCTATGCGGAGCAGGATCTTTTCATCCACAGTCGTCTCGAACCTCAACACCTTGTCCGCTGGCAATTTCTGCCAGTTTTGGATCCTGCTGGCGTCTTGAAGACGGGCGCGATCACGGATAGCCAACACGACATGTGGCGACTGGTTGTCTGTGTAGAACTCCGCGGTGGCAGGTACTGGCTTGACAGACGCCGCCCAAACTTTGTTATCGAGGCACGCCGTCCCCGTCACCTCCCAGGTCATCTTGGCACGCAAGCCACCCACCTTGTCCAGGATGCTCTGCGAGGCTGATCCCACGCAGATCAAGATGTAGTTACCGTGTATCTTGAGCTCGGTATCGGATAAATTCGTCGGCAATTGTACGAGACTGAGTAGTCGTTTTGTGTCAGCGCTTCCAACCATGTAACCCGTATAGAAAACTTTCTTCTTGATCATGAGGCGGTCGTTCCGGTGACCACGCCGTGGCTTCCCCAAAGAAGAGTTATGCTCGTTGATGAGTTGCTGAACCTCGGCAATTTCCACAACTGGATCCAAGAAGGTAGAGATATCGGCGACCTGAACAACCTCTCCGGTGATGGGCCCCCGAGTTGGCGTGGCGTTCTGTTTTCTGTTATAGTCCGCCAGGAAATTTCGGAATGCTTGTGTATGTTTAACACGATCCTCGTAAATCCGTATCTCCTCGGCGTGCTTGTACGTCTCCATCAGTGCCTCCAAAAAGGCCTGCTTGAAGTTCATCGTGCTTGTGAAACGCTGGTTGTCGGGGCCAATGGCGGGCTTGAGTGCGACGATATCGAATACGAGCCCTTTGCTCTCCAGCATGCGCCGTACAAGACTGCTGAACCCAGCTTCAGCGCGACCCGTCAACAGAACGACAAGAGCATCCTTCTGCTTCATGCTGAGCTCAACGAGCTCAACGATCTTTTCGTTCCACCACCCGTCCCATGCGCGGGGCTCCTCTTTTGCAAGTCCTTCTCCTGTCGCAGCAAGGATGCGAGAGTCGTGCCACCATCCGCCGTTGACGAAAGCATCGGGGTTCGATAATGTGCCGATCGTAGGGCCTATCCAGAGCTTAGGGTTCGGAAGAGGGGTCTTGAATACTGGTTGTAGAGAGCCGGGTTAGTCAAAGTGTTATGACGGTAACGGGAGGGTGTCGTGCTTACAAGTATTGTCAAAGTCATAGACGTGGATTGCCTTGATAGTATCAGGTTCTAGCGAAGACCGAACGATGGTTAACGACTGAAGCTGGACAGTTGATCGGACAGATGATGCGATTCCAACTTACTTGGAGGCTCCTTGGGCAAAATGGACCATCTGCCCATGGCCGTGTGGGTGTGGACGGCATTCACGCCATGGACCGCCGCAGAACCACCATGACCTTTGGCGCCGCCGGCTTTACCATGCGAGTGATGGGATGCCTTTGGTCCTTTTGGAATCCCGCTAGGGAATGCTGGAGTTTGGGCAGAGCCATTCAGCACTGAAAAGGCTGACGAAGCCATCATGGCTTTGGGGGCGACTGGAGGGAGAGGTTGTGACATGCGCAAAAGCTGACGAAAACCAACGAGAAGATGGACAGAAGTAGTTGCAGTCTTTCGATACACACTTGTAGCGTTTGCTGTTGCTGAAACCATGAACTGGAGGAAGCACACTGACGCGCCGCATTTTTGGGAACTGCTGCTGCACATTGGCCACCCGATAAGATAAGTAGCAGCAGTACGTACCCGTAGTTAGCGCATAAGTGCATATTACAAATCATGGGCGAATTTGTAATACCGGTACTCAAAGTCCCGAGCCTTCAACGATACAGGGGTTAGGGTTGGCTCAATCGCTCGCAAGGACGACGTCTGGAGTTCTTCCAAGATATGACAACCATTTCCCAAACCCTTCTGTCGTTAACCTTTTGCCTATTTACTAAATCTTGGATAGGGGTGCTGAGATATGTGCCTCTGCCTCCGTCTTCCCCTATGACAAGGCCATGCTCCGACTTCTTGCTTAGGTATACTTGTGTCCGGGAAGGAACTATCGTGTTACCGATCTCCTACGCAAAGGTGAACGGACTGGATCTCTTATTGGGCAAATATTGGAATACTTCAGGATTCCGGATGAGACTTTCACGATCAATCTTTAACAGTACTTGAGGGTTGTGGTGCGGCCTGGGGACCTTTCGTCAACCGCCTACTTGTAAGAAAAAACCTGGGACAGTAAAATATTCTGGGACAATCAGAAATGTGAGCGTTCACTATAGGAAATTGTTAGTGGGCAAAGATACAGCAACGAAAACCACGACAACGAATTTTCTAAAGTTCCAAAAAAAATCTTTGAGATTCAGAAAGATATTAAAGAGCCATTTACTAGATTGCATCCATTTTGGTTAGAGCATTGGTGAGAATCTCAGGTTGCAAATGCTTTTCCCAATAAAAGTGTAACTTGCTTTAACGGTTTCGCGCATCCCCAAAAGTACGACATTTGGTGAGGAACGAAAGGTTTGTGAGCTTTCGTTCATTCAATCTGGAAGACGATTTTTTTTGCAACTTCTTCAAAGTAGTTTCTTCTCCTTAAGAGACTCTTCGGGAGTTTGCTTGGAAATTTAGAAAATTCGTTGTCGTGGTTTTCGTTGCTGTATCTTTGCCCACTAACAATTTCCTATAGTGAACGCTCACATTTCTGATTGTCCCAGAATATTTTACTGTCCCAGGTTTTTTCTTACAAGTAGGCGGTTGACGAAAGGTCCCCAGGCCGCACCACAACCCCCAAGTATCTAGGTCTGATGGCTGTTATGTTATATCGACAGCGTGGAGGAGCTTCTGCCGGAGATCTGCGTTTGGGTTAAAGTTTGATAGACAATATGCGCATGTATGAAAAGCGATGTCAGAAAACATCATTCACGCGGGATGAAACAATCAACATCTTTTGTTGGGAATTTCACAGAAATCAATTGAAACGCAAAGGCCATGACTTTGTACATACAAACAAGAAAAAGCGCGATGTCTGCGTATTACGCCGATCCGAGTTAAAAAATCCCTGAAAGCCGCCCGTCCATCCCGACTTTCCTTTATAGAGTCCCGTCCTTACTCGTCCCTCTTGTCATTCTCATTTTTGATGTTTTTATGGGTATTTTACTGCTTAGTTCTTGGCGTTCTTGGCCATGGTGTTGAGGGCAGAGCCGTTCTTGAACCACTCAATCTGGGCCTCGTTGAAGGTGTGAGAGAGCTTGATCTCGAAGTCCTTGCCGTTCTTGGGGTGGACCTTCATGGTGATGGGCTTGCCAACGGCGAGCTCAGTGCAGAGGATGTCGACCTTGTCCTCGGGGCTGAGCTTGTCGTAGTCGGCGGGGTCAGAGAAGGTGAGGGGAAGCATACCCTGCTTCTTCAGGTTGGTCTCGTGGATACGAGCGAAGGAGCGGGTGATGATGGCGAGACCGCCAAGGTGACGGGGCTCGAGAGCGGCGTGCTCACGAGAAGAGCCCTCACCGTAGTTCCAGTCACCGACAACGACCCAGCGGATGCCCTTGGCCTTGTAGTCACGGGCAACGGCGGGGACGGCACCCCACTCACCGTTGGTGAAGTTCTGGACCTTGTTGGCCTCACCGTTGGCGGCGTTGATGGCACCGATCAACATGTTGTTGGAGATGTTGTCAAGGTGACCACGGTACTTGAGCCAGGGACCGGCCATGGAGATGTGATCAGTGGTGGTCTTGCCCTGGGCCTTGATGAGGATGGGCATGTCGGTGGCGTCCTTGCCGTCCCAGGCGTTGAAAAGGAGAGAGGACCTGGAGACGGTCAGAGGTGGGGGAGACCTGGACCTGGACGGTGGTGCGGTCGGCAGGAGGGGCCTGGTAAGTGTTCTGGCCGGGGTCGTAGCCGCGCTCGGGGAGACCAGCGCCAGTGGGGGCCTGAAGCTTGAACTCCTTGCCGTCCTTGTCCTTGAGGGTATCGGTCAAGGGGTTGAAGGAGAGGGAGCCGGCAATGGACATGGCAACAACGAGATCGGGGGAGGTAACGAAGGAGTGGGTGGCGGGGTTACCATCGTTACGACCACTATAGAAAAGGTTAGTTGAATGTTACTGAAACTTTCAATAGTAATTACGGTATCTTACGTAAAGTTACGGTTGTCTGGTTAATTACACACCTATTAGCACGTGTTTACAGTATTTGAGTGTAAATTACCGGTAAGGCGGTAATTTACCCAGTTCTGGGAGAGTGGAAACTTACAGGAGCTGAGAATCGAGTTGGGAGTGCCCTTGGGGGTATCACGACGATCCCACTGACCGATGCAGGGGCCGCAAGCGTTGGCGAGAACGGTGCCGCCGAACTCCTCGAAGGTCTGGAGCTGACCATCGCGGGCAATGGTGGCGCGAATCTGCTCAGAGCCGGGGTGACGACGAAAGCAGCCTTGGCCTTGAGGCCGTGGTTGAGAGCGTCGCGGGCGATGGAAGCAGCGCGGGTCATATCCTCGTAAGAGGAGTTGGTGCAAGAGCCGATAAGACCGACCTTGAGCTCCTCGGGCCAGTTGTTGTCCTTGGCGGCCTGGGCGAACTTGGAGATGGGGGTGGCAAGATCGGGAGTGAAGGGACCGTTGATGTGGGGCTCGAGCTCGTTCAGGTTGATCTCGATGTGCTGGTCGTACTCAGCACCCTCATCGGCGCGGAGCTCCTTCTGGTAAACCTTGGCGAACTCGGCAATCTCGGAACGCTTGGTGGCGACGAGGTAGTCGAACATGGCCTTGTCGTAGGGGAAGACGGAGGTAGTGGCACCAATCTCGGCACCCATGTTACCGCAGGTAGCCTTGCCAGTGCAAGAAAGAGCCTCAGCACCCTCGCCTGTGTCATTGTTAGTATGCCTGAATTGTATGTTGTTCCCAATGTTTGGTATTTTGGTGCAGATTGTTGCTGTTGGCAACCCGCCCCATGGAAAAGGGGCAAGTGGGTCCAGCCAAACCCGTGACTTCCCGTCCATTGACATCGAAGTCAGGACAAAATGCATTTGACAGGCCAGTCAAGGCAGTGAGATAAACTCACATGCCTCGGAGTAGTCTGCAAATGCATTTGCCAATTCCAACGAGACCATTGGCGGGAATTTCAAGGCGTTTACAGGATCCCCAAAGGGATTCATCGAGAGGGAAAATGTGTTTAGGGAAGTAAAACTTACCATAGTACTCAACAATAGAGCCAGTACCACCCTTGACAGTGAGGATACCAGCGAGCTTGAGGATGACGTCCTTGGGGGTGGTCCAGCCGTTAAGAGCACCTGTGAGCTTGACACCAATGACCTTGGGGCCTTGAGCTCCCAGGGGAGGTTGGCCATGACATCGACGGCATCGGCACCACCGACACCAATGGCGGCCATACCGAGACCGGCGGCGTTGGGGGTGTGGGAGTCAGTGCCGATGAGGAGACCACCGGGGAAAGCGTAGTTCTCGAGGAGGATCTGGTGGATGATACCAGAGCCGGGCTTCCAGAAACCGATGTTGTACTTGGCGCAGGCGGAGGCAAGGAAGTCGTAGACCTCCTTGTTGATGTTGACAGCGCGCTCGAGATCCTTCTCACCACCAATCTGGGCCTCAATCAAGTGGTCGCAGTGGACGGTGGTGGGATTGGCAACGGAGGGCATGCCAGCGGACATGAACTGGAGGATGGCCATCTGGGCGGTGGCATCCTGGCAGGCAACGCGATCGGGGCGGAGGCGGAGGTAAGAGACACCGCGCTCAATGTCCTGCTCATGGGGGTTGTCCAAATGGGAGTAGAGGATCTTCTCAGTCAAGGTGAGGGGGCGGTTGAGACGGCTGCGGACGATGGCGAGGTTCTCGGACATCTTCTTGTAGTTGATAAAGTTACCCTCCTCAAGAAGGTTCTGCTTGACCTATTTTCCCACAAACATGGCATGTCAGCGCCCTGTTGCGCTCGTTTGCGACTCTATGCGCTTCATCTTCCTATGCTCTATGCGGCGCTGTAGGGGGGACTTACCTTGCGGTCGAGAGGGTTCTCGGTGGCGGTAGCCATGCACCGGCGGCCGAGGCCAGCGGCGGCACGGCTCCGGGCAACGCCCAAAAGCTGACGGGAGGCCAACATATTGACTTTCAGCTCAAGTGAGCAAGGTATGAATTACAACAAGAGGGGAGAGTTGCGCAAAAGGACAAACTAAGAGAAGAAAAAAAAGAATGGAAAGACGGGCTCCCCAAACTAGGACGGGCTTTTTCTTCAGCAGAGGGATGGACGTCTGCGAAGAGGGAAAAAGAGGGAAAAAAATACGGCCGGGTGGAGAGGTTTTGTAGATAACAAGAATCTGGCTCAAGCGGTCCATGAGTGGTCCACGGGAGCGGGCGGGATTTTAGGTCGGAATGCCAACCACACAGACTGGCAGGACTCGTGGAGTCTGGCAGCGACATGGACCGAGCGGGTGCTGTGGCAACCACAGGGGGTAACGCGACTCCCTGCCTTTCCATTGAACCTGGGCTGGCTGCCCACCCGCTGGAGCTCCCCTCCCACCGTCATAGCCGAGCAAGTACCTGGCTCGCCCGAATGGATGGGACTTCCGGCCAATCAGCAACCGGCCAATTCTAACTTTTGACCACTTTTGCAGTGTGGGGGAAGCCAGAGATGACATCGGGTACAAGGCAAAGGCGACGCTAGCCTGTTTCAATTCGACTTTCACGTTGATGCCGAGAACCATGATGGACAGCATTTGATGGGCTGCTATGCACCCGCAGCGTCGTCCCTCGGGTTTCACGATCCAGCTTCCGGGAATCCGCTGCAAATCCGCTGCCTACCGCCGACCGGTCACCGCATCGACATCGACCTTTGCGGCCCAGAGGCAGTTCCGGCGACTCCAGCAACTTCAGGGGGTCGACTGTCACGACGACCGTTGGGCCGGGATGCTTTCACGTCCTCAGCCTTTCTACGGATAGGTAACCCTGGACTGCCCTGTGCATCCCTCGCGGCGACTGCACTTCCATGTACATATACGTACATTATGTCTTTGTAAACAGACACCCCGGACCCCAGGGGCCAGCGATGAGACCCAGCGAACAGAGTTGGATTCTACATATAGGTCCAGGGGAACGCTCGCGTGGGTTGAACCGTGTTGAAGCCGAGGCTGCCATGCCATGGTTTGCTGCTGATCGATACTGAATCATTTCCTGGGCATCCGGACCTCAGGATCTATCTGAACCCAGAGTCCCCGTCTTGACCGGTCCGTCCGGGGATTAAACCAGATTGCGAATCCCGAATCTTCAACCTCACCGTCTTGTGGCCAAAAGGAGGAGAGGACATTCGGCCTGCTGTAGCCAGTAATGACGGATGGAAAACTAATGTAGAGTGTACAGTAGCCTACTGTGTATGTACCTGACCTGCTGTCGTGCGTGCCACCCCAGATGCCAGACGGGACTGCCGCTCGGCTCGGATGGGCATGTGCTTGCTTGCTGCACTCTGCAGCCACGGGCAGCCTTGACACCCCAACCACTGCCGTGCTGTTGTCAATATCAAAGCTCCGTCTCCAACAATTCTCTGCTTCCATGACATCTCTTCCTTTGCCATGAAGTACGGCTGGTGGTCCAAACATGTATAAAGCCAATCTCCCCATTGCTATTTCCATCGCACGGTGATGGATCTCTTATCCAGCAAATGCCTCATTCGCCAATTCCGGTTCGCTCAGGGTCACCGTGTTATAATTATTGTCCCCGCCTCGATCATCCTGACGTGGGGCAGGCGGGATGGAACGTCCACGAACGCTTGAACGACAAGTGTGGACTACAAGGCTGGTTTCCAACCAGTGACGCAAATCCTAAAAGAACACACGACCACCCCATCTTCCACGGCCTGTGATTGGTCCGTTGTCAAAGGTCAACGAGTCAAGACTTGAAAGCTCAAAGAATGGCCATCTCAAAAAGGAGGGAGGGGAAGACAGCATGACCCGCGCGAGCCGGAGGGTCAGTTACGAGGTGTTGACGAGAAGATGCAACCTTTTTGAACCCTCCATCTCCAAACTCCAAGGAGCTCACCTCGTCGGCTCTAGCAATTTCCACCATCTGTTAGTCCTCCAAGTACCATCCTCAAAACTGCCTTTGGGCGCCAGGGACCAGGCGAAGATGATAAAAATTCTGCAAATCTGGAGACAGCCCCTAGGGTGGGGTCGCCCCGGTTCGTTGGCCGGCTCGGCGAAGGTAGTGTAAGGTAGCGTAGCAGCAGTGGGAACTGGAGAAAAGCCAGAACCCTGGCCAGTTCGCTGGTTCCTCTCGGCCGCGAAAGGAGATTCGAGGGCGATAAGCCTGGTTAGCTCCGCGTCGCTCCGTTCGCTCCGGCGCTGTGGGCCCCCGGTTCGTAACAACGGACGGCGCTCCGAGGGAGGGGAGGACAGGCGCAACAACACCCGGAAGAAGTCGTCGAGAGATGGGGATTTTGGAGATAAAGTAGTCGGATGCCAACGCCGTGCCGTTTCCGTTCCTCGGCGTGCCGGTGGGCATTTTACGGCATTGAGGTTGGTAGTCCCAGACCGGATCACCGTGGATTCCCACGTTGAGAGCCGATCTGGGTTGCGACAGATGGATACGCATTTTGTCAGTGAAGGCAATTGACAGCCCGGGCCAGGTGCCAGAAGCTGCCGGCTGGTTTGTGCAGCTGGCCATCCAAAAATTGAACAGGTTCCCGTTCAATGGGCGGCGACCGTTGTGCTGAGTTTTTTCTCCACTTTTTTGTCAACTGTGCTTCGCTGCTGGACCCTTCTGTATGTGTGCCTCTCTTGTGTGTTGTGTGCATTGCCCCAGTTGAGACCTTCACTGCGACGACGACAACCACAACGCCGTCCAAGTAACCAACATTTGGAATTTAGAATTCCAACTATATCCTGACAGTTCTTTTGTCGGGTACATCAAACCATACTTTTTCCACCGACGTCTCTAATCATTCAAAATGGGCGTTTTCGCTAAGCGCACAAAGTGCAAGACCAGGCGTCGCCTGAGGTGAGTGACAGGCTCAGCACACCCATGCACTCTGTAATGGACGGATGGCTAACATGGGAGAACAGAGATGTTGATCAGGTCCAGAAGGATTTGACCAACGCCAGGCACTTGGAGCTCTACAAGGAGACCAAGGCCGTTGAGGATCTGCCTGGTCTGGGAAGGCACTACTGCGTTGAGTGTGCCAAGTGGTTCGACATGGAATCGACTCTTGTCAAGCACACCAAGGGCAAGCCTCACAGGAGAAGGTGAGTTTCTCTTTTTTTCTATGAGACTTTGTAAGCAATCTGGGACTAACGTGGTTGGACTGAACAGGTTGAAGGAGCTCAAGGAGGGTCCCTACACCCACAAGGAGGCCGATGCCGCCGTGGGCCTCTGGACCGACAATGGTCGTGGGCGGGCTGCGGAGACCAAGGAGATTGACATGATGTGAAAGCGCGGCTGCGCTCTTCTTCCAACAACATCATTGCATGCAGACCAGTTTCAACTCATGGACGGACGCTAAAGGCGGTTTTCACATTGCGTTGCTTTTTCTTACTCTTACTTACTACTGCCCGATTCCCCAACATGGTTGAAGAATGGGCAAAGGCGTTTGTTTGTTACCAAAAGGGCTATATGGGCGGCGTTTCATCATCATCAAGTAGGGCTTTGTGGTTTAAATGACTTTATTCCCATTTCACAGTCATGGCTGTTGTAAAATCCGGGGAGTGAAGACTTTGTCTGGTTTTGAGGACGGGATAGCTTGGCAGCGGTATTGTTTAAGATCTAGGCTGTCCTCATAACATATACGACAAGTCGAATTCAACAACGGTGTGCCGAGCCAGCTTACGACCAGGTATACTCATGCTTCTCGTACTCCAGTCAAGGATAGGATGTTTCGTTGTGCTGGTCGTGCTTCGAGCGAACAAGGAACCGCCAGTCGACATGTTACCTGACTAGCCTGATTTCGTCGAGGAGTGTGGCTTTGAGAACGCCACCAAGATTGAGGAAGGCACGCAAGCGAAGTGACGATATCAACATCATCCGGGCGGTATTAGAGGCGGTGGTGTGCTGGATGCTGGGATGTGCGGAGGGAAGGGAGTGCGAAGAGAAGCGTCTTGATCATTTTCCCACATCGGTTTCCGCCCTTAGGAACTCCGTGATGAACTACTAGCAATCTGTTGTTTGGGACCTCGACGACTCAATATTCCTTTTGCAAAAGAACCTACCATATCTGCGCAGCTCGTCATAACTATTGCTATTGCCTCATCACATTGCTGCGCCGACAGACATGCCTGGTAAAATTGAAGGCCACCTTCTATCTTCTCGTCAATCCGTTCAACACTTTGAAAACGCCTTCCGTTTCTCCTAACGAGCGACCATGTGCTTCGGTCTATCCATTGCCGACAGATGATACCGAACTTCTATGTGCTGGCTGGCCTATAACACTCCAATATTGGCTTCCATGTCAGAGAAAGTCGTTATCGAACCAACAGCGCATTTTCATCGTCAACCCAAAACCAACTGCCCAAGAATTCGGTAACCGGGATTGGACAAACTACGAACCTTGAAGATGAATGGACGGGAATGATTCCGTTCTGCGAACGAGAAAGGGCGAAAAGTCCAGTTGGGAGTGTTAAGTAAGCCCAGTTATCGACAGTTTTAGAAGATCATCTGGTATTGCTCACCTTGTACAGCCACAGTAATACGGAGATAAAATTCGTCCGTGGCTTGCAAGGTGACAACCCTCATTCGTCCAAGTCGAAAGAACTACACATGATGAGGAGTGCGGTAAGGCTGTGCGGTAAGGCTGTGCTGATCGCTGAATTTGGACGTTCCAAAGCGTCGAAACCAACGAAACTGACCAATGCGACCAGAGTAATGTTGAACAGTTTGGGATTTGAAAACCACAACGACAACATAAAAACGCTGCATAGTCTTCGCATTGTTGTTGATATGGATCTGGTTTCGGAACAACACCAGTAAACATTCGAGGTAAAACTACTACATTTGAACCTCGCTCGAAAAGTCTCCTTATCATGTCGGACGGGAAGTACGGTATGACAGCCCATGTTGTTATTGACATTCCATTGTTGAATTTACAGCTGACATAGTCTCCTTCCAAGTCGACGGCAGTATCTACTTCTATGCGCCTAACAAGGGTGCTCCGGTGTTCTTTGCCGTTGCCTTCGGTGCATCTGGTATTTGGCATATTTATCAGTGCCTGTACGCTTTCTGAACCACATATGTCGAGAGAAAACATGTACTTACTTTGATTGCGCTACATAGTCACTACAAGAGCTGGATATTGACCGGCTTCTATGTATCCTGCGCTGTCCTATTCACTGCCGGCTTCATTGTCAGAGAACTTGGCGCCTTTGACTATGGTGACTTGGTCAAGTTCATCGTCAGCACCTGTCTGGTATACGCAGCGCCGTGAGTGTCAACAACAACAATAACAACAACAAACAGACGAGAGCTGTCAAACAGCTTACTGACATGGCATCAGACCCATCGCCGAGCTAGCCAATTACAACATCCTCGGAAGAATCCTGTACTACGCCCCATACCACTCACCGATCCACCCTGGCCGTGTTATCACCACCTTTGCCTTCATCTCCACTGTCGTCGAGGCCCTTAACGGCAACGGTGCATCGCTAAGTGCTAACCAGTCCCTTCCGCGCTGGAAGCAAGACATTGGTCGGAACCTCCTCAAAGCGGCGCTTTTGATCCAGGTCGTCGTCATCGCTCTCTTCCTTCTCCTAGCCGGCGTGTTCCACCGTCGGTGCCGTCGCGGCGGCATCAGGAGCGCCAAGATGGAGAAGGTCCTTTGGACGCTCTACGCGTCGACCATACTCCTAACCATCCGAACCATCTTCCGCGTGGTCGAGTACTGGAGCATAGCGGATCTTCACTACGACGACAAATCTGTCGACCCGATGTCGTTCAGTCCGATCATCCGTTACGAGTGGTTCTTTTATGTGTTTGAGGCGAGCCTGATGCTCATCAACCAGGTGCTGATGAACGTCAGACATCCGAGGAGGTACCTGCCGAAAAGCACCAAGACGTATCTGTCGGCAAGGGACGGGAAGACCGAGGTCACTGGACCGGGGTACAGTGACAAAAGACCGTTTTTGGTGACGCTGGTTGATCCGTTTGACCTGGGAGGGCTGATCAAGGGGACAAAAAAGAATGTCAAGTTCTGGGAGGAGGAGGATGGGCACAAGGATGGCAAGCCGGAAAGCCAGACGGCGAAGGCTACTAAGAATGAGCCTATCGGTGATGACATTGAAGCGGCACGATGAATGGAATGTCGGTCGAGTCCCAAATCGCTTTTCTGAAATGGAACCTTTCTAGAAGCCCTTTCCTTTTGTCTTTTAGATTATTCATTGACCTTGTACACACGAAACAATCAGCAATTGCACATAGCCGTTACGTGCCACGAACGCCACACCTCCTCCGCCCAGGGGTAGCTCACACAACCGGTGCCGCCGATATGGTTTACTCATCATTCCTGGCGCTAAAGCTCCACGTGGGATCTAAATTAATGGGTTCCTTCCTCCGGCCGGTCTTTGCGACCAGTATGCCTCGAGCCCTTCTGTATCGTCCGATTGAAAGGGACAATGAAGGAATAGCCGAAGGCATCGAGGGAATCGCATACCAGGGTCGAGATCATTGAGTCCGACGAGGTTGCTGGCCGATGTCAATTGAAGTCATTGCTGGGACGTTCATTGTCTGCCTAAGAAGCCACCGAAGAACGGAACATTTCCCAGATCCAGTCAAGCAGCTCAAGTACGGGGCGTAATTCGGAAGAGCGCCGGATCCTAATCTGGAGGCAAGTGCGAGGTTGCGAGGGAAATGAAAGAAGCAGTGCCGGCTGTGACGTGAAATCAGGAACCAACTGCAGCTTGGTGAGCAGCCTGAAACGACGCCACAGCCTCAGAAGATGGCAACTTCATGATGAGAAAATGGTGGATACAAGTAACTGATACGCAGAATTTCCTTGTGGTGAATAAGCAATGGGTAGAGGAAATAGGGAGTGTCAATCCGGGAGGCTTGCCGGCCATTTAAGGAAACTGTGGAGTAAAGCCGGAGGAGAGGGGAGGATGGAAGTCGGGGGTTCGGAGGTAGTCGAGCGCCGGTCACCCGGGCCAGCTAGCTCCACTTTACGACTGAGTGCGATTTTTGATTGGGTAACCGGCAGTGGCAATGGGTAGGTACCACGAAGATCATGTTTCGCAGTGTGCAACCCGCGGAGTGCCACCATGACAGAGAGGCCGTTAGCGGAGAAAGAGCGTCTTTCAGAACGCATTTTAGTGATTGTTCACTGACTGCAAAACCAGGTTAAGATTTGAGGTGGTGCTGTCATTCGGCTAGGGACTAGCTCTTTCCGTACTGAAATTCTGTCTGATGGTGATGTTAGTGATAGGGTGGTAATGATGGCAACTGCGATGGAGGTGATGAAGATGCAGATGGTTGTCTGAACCTTCGAATTCTTACAATTTGCCCCGCATTCAGTAGTACTCGTCTGGGCTAGAAACGCGTGCCAGGCACAGGGTCAGGTTCACGGATTCGCGAAAATGCATTGATTCGCGAAAATTTTGATACTTCCCCACCCATACAGAATAGCAGTGTAACTATATAACACTATTTTTATAAAAGAAGTTACATTAATATATATATAATATTGTTTAACTCAAAGAATATCTTTGTATTAAATTAGCTATTTAACAAAGTAAGGTTAATATTTATATTCCTAGTATTACCACTTTTTAATATAGTATTTTTAATAGGTCCCTTGTTCCTATTCAAGTTCTCTATTATAATACTAGAGTCGTTTAGGTTTCTTAGTATCTAATTTATCTCATCAAATACTAGTAATGACTACCTATAGCTAAGGCTATAATAATATGTATTCTTATCATTCTTTCATAGTATTTCGATATACTCTTCCTACGTTAGTCTAATATATTTCTCTACCTTCTCCTTGTGACAAACGGCAGTCTGATCTGCCTAAATGAGATAGCTAAAGGTAGTAACTATCAGTGCTGTTCAGTGAAGCCAAAAGGTTCACAACAAGTATGCTCATAATACTGGTCTCGGTGATAATGATCTATTGACTACTGTCAAACTATCTGACAATCTGAGTTCTCCAGTCGTCTCTTTATACCTTGAGTGCCTGTTCATGTTTCCTATGTCTCAAGTGTCCGTTTGTGATGATGGCTCACTTATGGTGTTAGCTCACCGTGAGCTCGTGCGTTAGTGAGCCTGCATGCGTCCTTCGGGTCAGTGCTTGACCCTCTGAAGGTTACACTGGTCATCAAAGGCGGACAGTTGGGTCTCGATGGCTTAAGCAACTCATGTGTTGCTTAAGCTCGTAGCACTCCTCCTTAAATTAGGAAAATTTATTATTATTAACCTTAATTTCTGGCTCTATAATAGTAATGAATATGATAACAGCCTATCTTATAATACTTTCAATATAAAAATTATAAATTTATAGGATAATAATCTTTAGCTTACTACTAAACTGTACCTAATGAAATGATAGTATAATATCCTTCTTTAATTTACCCCACCGAATTATTTTTATTTAGACAGTTGCTTTTTGTATCTCTTAAAAACTTCCGCTATATAAATTTATACTACTTGAATAAATTGCTTTAGTTTTTAAGCTTATTCAAAATTGAATCAATCATTATATTCTATTCAATGCGAGATTTATTAATGTCATAGAATGCACTCAT